CCTAACCCTAACCTAACCCTAACCCTAACCCTAACCCTAACCTAACCCTAACCCTAACCCTAACCCTAACCCTAACCCTAACCTAACCCTAACCCTAACCCTAACCCTAACCCTAACCTAACCCTGATACTCTAACAAACCCTAACCCTAAGTCCTTCGACTTCTCTCGCAGGATCTCCACCGCCCGGTGACGATGCCGCCCACCCGCAAACTTCAGTCCATACTTTGCTCTCTTAACCACCTCCACCTTCAGCTTCAGGTACGGCGCCCTCTCAACGTTTGGCTGCAATTCGTAAGATTCCACCTCCACGTCGTCCTTCAAGATCACGAGAGGGAGCATATTGTTGCGTGCGAATGGACGCACATTGGTGCTTCCAATAGTTGCGGCAAATGTCTTTGCCCGCGCCTCCACCAACTGTCGCTTATTGAACTGTCCAAAGTCCAATGGTGCAGGTGGGTCAAACAGATTAACCCGACAGTACCCAAATATTGCGTTGTTGCAAAGGGTATCCATCGGGTCAATCGTCGTGCTCGCCCCAACTCCGTCTCCCTTCGATAGTCCCTCCTCGTCTTCTTCTTCTCCGTCTTCTTCTTCTGACCCTTCGTCTCCTTTCCTCGCACCCTTCCCCTTTTCCTCCCTCGCACGTTCCTTCCCTTTCGTCGATTTCGTTGCTTTTGTTGATTTCGTTGCTTTTGTCAATTTCGTTGCTTTCGTCGATTTCGTCGCCGTACGCGCATTTACCACTGTATCCTCTTGCATCTCCACCTCGATTTCTTCTCCCACATCCCGTTCCATCGACTGCATACCTTCTTGTCCAACGTTAGTGCCACATTCATACCATGCATGGTATATCCGTTGATGCGACTCACCCGTCGATCCTGTCCGCACGTCTTTTTGCCCTGCGATAACGTCAGTCTTCTCCCATCCGACACATCTGCTCCACTCACCTTCTCCTTGCGTCATCTCCTCGTCTTTCCTCTTTTTCGGCACAGGACGCGGCTTCGGTTTCGTCGTTGTCGTCTTCTGTGGTTCATGCGAGGTGCTGGCCATGTCTTTGTATCAGTGAAGTAGAAGGTAAGTGTTGTTATCGAAGTGTGATCAGATCAGAATCAGCTTTGTTTACACGTATTGCCCTTTGGTTGACTGATCGGATCTCAACATCAGGATCTAACATCAGATCTCAAGATTAAATCTAAACATCAGATCTGATCTGACGATGAGATCTTAAAACCAAAACTGATTTGTGTCAGATGTACACATATCTTACAGTATACACATTGAATATTTATTTCATTGGGCCAACGTGGCGCACGGTCGAACACATTCNGACTTTGCGTAGAAAATAATCGTGCGCACGGTCGACGTGCGTACGCACTTGCGTCCTATGTACGTCATCACACATCAGTTCTTTCGTAGCAATTTCATCACTTCTTAGTCCCTTAATTTCATCCCGTTCTCAACTGCAGGTAACGCAATACTCTCATCTAACTTATGCTGATTCGACCTTGCGGACTGATTTTACTCATTTTTCTAATAAGACTGTAATGCCAACCCAAACCCTCTACTTTAGACCCCTATAGAATAAACCAAGTTCAACCATACTTAAGATGGACTTGGAGATCGTAAAGAACTTCCTTGGTAAGTCATCTCCTGGTATGCTACTTGCATGTCTGACTTCACTTGCACATGATAGACTTGATGCTGGGTTACTCATTCTGAGTGTATCTTGTATAGAAGATGGACTTCAACCCAGATGGAGATGGTAGAGAACATGCTGGGCTGACTCTGACTGTAAATCTGGTATGCTACTTGCATGTATGACTTACACTGCAAATGGACTTGTACAGATTGCTTGTACTTGCATGTCTGACACTAAGATGGTTCAAGTTCATGGATATGGACTTGTCCAAATTGGTTGACATCCATGACATGTATCACTTTGCTGATATGTTGATTGCCCACTTCATGGTTGACATCTTCCCTGCATACTTTGGACATGGTCTGGTCATGGTATGGTACTTCCATGTCTGACATACACTTGGTACTTGTTGCTGGATATCACCTTGTATACATTGCTTCACATGGAAGGACTTGGGTTCTTAAGCTACTGAGGCTGACATGGTTCAAGTTCTTGGATATGGACTTGTCCAGATAAGTTGACATATATATGGCTTTGCTGTAGGCACTTCATGGTTGAAATCTTGGCTGGATGGTTATGTGGAAGAGCAGCTGAAGATGGTTGAAGTCATCACTGGATAGAATGTCAAGTTCATGCTTGGGTCTGAAGCATGTCTGCATTGCCTTGACAGATTGCCTGAGTGGTTGCTCATCTTGGTGCTTCAATGCATAAATAACCTTCTTCCTGGTGAGAAAGTTGGAGGAGCACCAGCACTATACTTATGTTGTATGATGGTCAGACATCCAAGTTCTTAGGATCTGGGTTGTCTTCATGCCAACATATAGACAACTGCCAATACCTGTATTCCCAGCCAAGATGTTGACCACTCATCATCAAAATTTGAGAGGTGCCTTGCTTATGATATACAATGGTCCATTTAAATTTGCTAAGGTTTCCGAAGATGTAATGTCATTAAGCCGCCAAACAGCCTTGAAGGGTTACGATACTTGGTATGTGAAGTCAGATGTGTGAATCCAGCTCTCAAATTTTGAGCATTGCTCCGTACACCTTGCATTGTGATACCCACAAATTTTCAGATCTGTATGTCCAAAACATAATACTGATGGACTTTAAGTCACAGAGCTGCAGCAGGTAAAGAGTTTTGGCACAAGCAAACTCCGCTTCGTACATGCAGGGCTGTATTTCAGTACGTTGCTTCGTCCACCTTGAAACATGGCCTTCACAAAATTTCAAGTCCGTGCGCACCAAACTCACTTTGAGTGCACTTGATCATACATGAGGACAGATTCAGTGCACCGTCCGTCACTTTAAGTCACATCCACCCCATTTTTTGTAGACGTCTTTAAACACCATAGACGGACCAACCTACCAATTTTCAGGTCCGTGTGCATGAAGCTGACGGAATGTGCACTGGATTACATGCACCTGCGATGGCTTGACAGATTCAGTGCACACTCTGTCAGTTGACGTCACACGGACCCCATTTTTTTGTAAACATATTCGGACACCATAAACGGACACACCTACCCATTTTCAGGTCCACATGCCACAAACTCACTTGGAGTGCACTCAATCATACGCAGGAACAGATTCAGTGCACCGTCCGTCACTTTAAGTCACATCCACCCCATTTTTTGTAGACACCTTCGAACACCATAGACGGACGGACCTACCCATTTTCAGGTCCGTGTGCACAAAGCTGATGGAATGTGCACCAGATTACATGCAGCAGCGATGGCCTGATAGATTCAGTGCACCGTCCGTCACTTTAAGTCACACTGACCCCATTTTTTGTACATTGGTCCATGCGCTGTGTTTGACGATGCTCACAAAAGATCACACTCAGACACACGGAACTCACCCAGTGTGCACCATATCGATCTCAGCCTGCTTGACGAGGAACAGATTCAGTGCACCGTCCGTCACTTTAAGTCACATCAACCCCATTTTTTGTACGTTGGTCCGTGCATGGTGTTCGAAGACAGCCACCAAAAATCAGGTCCATGTGCCTTAAACTGACGGATGGTGCACTGAATCGATGGCGGCCCCCTGAAATGAAGAAAATATTTTTTTTGCAAAGATGGGTTTTAGAATGTGGGGAACGTTTTCCCAAAAAATCTAAGCTTTTTAATTTTTTTAGTAATCAGGTGCACCGTCCGTGGGAAAGGTGCACATCGATCTGAAAATTTGGATATTTGGTCACCATCCCCAACCGGAGCCAGCCACAAAAAATGGATGTTTGACTCAGACGTAACGGCATGTGGCGGCCAAATGCCGTTGTAATAGAGATATTCTGGAAGCTTCTATGAAGGCGAAAAAATTACGCGCCCACGAAAAACCCTGATTTTCAAGCTTGGTATTCTCATTCAACGCTCTAAGAAGGCGAGTAATGGTTCACACCTAGTCTTCTACTCAAAAAATCAACTCTAGGCCCATAGCGTCGTCGAATAAATCCAAGAAGCCAAGGAGTCCATCAAGGGTTGAGGCCTCACCCCTTGACCGCTGAGGTTAAATGCGTAGGCGAACTGTACGGATGGGAGAAGAAATAGAATATGCAGGTGAGTATGACAAGGACGCGTTGGATCCCAATCCCGTGGTCTGTAAATTCGTCCACCATCGCGCACAACACTTCTAGATTTACGAAGTGACAGCTTGTGGACGGCATCTCTCAATATCTGACCCCTTGTCGAGCATTAACCCATTATAACCCATTATATGCTCCACGCCACCATCCAAACTCTTCCGCAAAATACCCATCTTCCCTCATCTCCGCCTCCGTTATACGCCGCTCCTCCTCTTCCCTCGTAGATACACCCTCGACCGTTCTGCTAAACGGTTTGTGTAACGTATAATGCACAATCTTTCCTTCATCCATTAACTCTCCCCAAAGCGTAGAGCTCCGTTTTTTGATCGCCAGATTCATATTGTACACGTAGGGTAAGCGAACACCCTTCGCGCCATAATGAACGTTCAAAAAAGCCTGTTCGGCCTCCGTCGGCGGATAACGCGCTGTCGCTATGTTTCTCCTCATATCCTGGAAGACCTCCGTCGAAGGTTTGATGGCGAGAACTCCTGCATTGAAGGAAATGATAAACCCTCGTCGTCCACCATAAACGTTGGGAACCGCAGCAAAACTGAACCCTAACTCAAACAGCTCCTCGAAATTCCGTAGGACGAGTGTGTCAGCATCAAGATATACAAGACTTTTGATACCTAGTTGGTCGAAAGTCCAAATGTTGAGCTTGGTGAATTGGTCTCCGAATCTAGGGTGCACACCTTCGCCGTGGTGCGGTGGGGGGATGAATGCAACAGAGTGAGGTTCCCAACCCGCAGCGCGCACGATGCACAGCGCATTTGCGGAGACACGCTCTTCCAGATATGGAAGGATAAGCCGCGCGCTGACGTTGGTGGAACGAATGGAATACCCCAAGACGGCGACGCCTATGGCGTAGCTATCCGAGTACAGGGTAGATACGACTGCACGATTAGAGCTAGAGGTGATTGATGTGCTCTCGCCTTCGAGGGCGACTGGATGAGGGTTTCTGGTGTTCCGTAAGCTAAGTAAACACAGAATTCAACTGAAGCTTGAACTTGCATTCTTTGATAATTGTCGAGCGCAGTATATAATGCGTTGGGCGAAAGAATCCTCCAAATGGCGACCACTCCGAATAGAAGCGTGAGCCCGCCGAGTGCGAAATATCTTTTATGAACATGCCGTGTTGGTGGGTTCGCTTGAGAAAGCGGGTCGTAGGACCAATCCCGGAAGAACCACATGGAGGAAAATAGGAACAGGCAATCAGATAGATGTCTTAATGTTGGTCGAGGTGAGACACACCGACCCAAATCTGTAGATACATACATTCCGGAGCGGTCCCAACGAGGAACAATTTGCCAGATCATACGTCGTTTCGAACGACCAAAGAAAATGTACCGCTTCGGGGTACAGGTTGACTTCGGTGGCTTGAAGGCTGCTAGTGTTGAGGCGACGGTCAACATGATCGGCGAGGGGTTGCCGTGACTTCTGGGCCCCATTTAGTCATTTGAATATTTATCTGGCATGTGGCAGGACGGTGGGGGAGGAAAGAGGTTCGATAAGATCAATATAACTAGAGATTACGATGCGGATCACTCCAGAACGTCGTCTAATGTGCAAATGACGACAACCTAGTCCAATAGAGCGCTCAAAACTTCTAGTGACGAACCAAAGCCTTGCGCCATCCGCTTAACCCCTGGTCGAGTGGGGGCCGAGGTTTCGGCAAGGATTCATCCCAACGGTGGGTTTCTTGAAGACGCCTAACCCAGGCCTTATCCAAATTACCGCCGTACCTCGAGAAAGTGATCATAATGACGACAAAATAAAGGATCCCCAAGAGGAGAACCAGGGAAGTAATGAGGCGGGGCACGAAGGATTTGTAAGAAGATAATGTGTTTGTTGAGTTGTCGGTAGCTCCCGTAGTCCAGATGAGCGATGTTATGGATACGAGAAATAGAATCATGGACCTATGATACAAATTTCAGCAATTAAACAAAGAAACTGAGTAATCCGCAACATACCAAGCAAGCCAAGAGGCGGGCATAGCAAGCATAATCCACGCATTGAAGAGAATGGGACAAGAAGATTGTTTCGTTTCCTGAGAGCAATTAAAGATCTTACGCAAGCAAAATTGAAAGGCGACGTACGAGCGCAAACTCAGCCGCAACACTCGCTCTCTTCATCTCCGAAAACTTGGACACGTAAATCGAACCAAAAGTGAGGCTGATAAAGGCGCAAAATAGAGAGATGAGAGCCGGATATCGTATAATCGGAATCACCGCGACATCCATCTGCAATATGCTCAGAATGGCACTTCAAACACAAGAGATTTAGTTCAATGAATATGATGAGAAACTAGATCCTCACGAAAGTAACAACGCTGAGATGATATTGAACGTCTCCCACTCTTTAACCACCGTCTCTACAAATTCTTTCCATGCTTCAAGGAGTTTCTTGAACTTTTTTGCGTCAGATTTAGACGACGGGCGGCGTGGTCTTGTCTTATCCGGGTTGTCGCCTTCCAATTTCTGTTGTGTGATGTCCAACATAGCCCCTCGAATTTCTGGTACCGACATCCCAACGTCCTCAAACGCTCGAAAGACGCGCATTTGGTAAAATGTTGGTATTTGTAGAAATCCTACGGTGGAATAGACTTGATGTGGAATTGAATCGAAAACGGATTCCGTGATCATCATCTGGGGTTGGTGAAATTGGATCGGAGGAACGATGTATTCATGTGCTACAGGGAAAACGGGTTGGGGGGAAGGGAATGGAGGGAGCTGATGTCTAGGAGGATCAAAGTCGATTACGGGTGCCGGAGGAGAATGTGATTCTATGGGCCTGGGATAATACGTGGGTGAAGGTTGAATCGGTGAGGGGCGGAAAGATTGAGGCATGTGATCTGGAAGTGCATCTTGAGAAGGAGAAAGGTGAATATACAGGGGATATCGACTGGCTATTGGGGGGTGGACCTCGGGTGTGACGGTCGGCATAGAAGCCTCCACGCCAATTCCTGCATTTCTGTCTTGATGATTGATATCAAAAGCATTGGAATGAATGGGGCGTGAGGGATCGTCCCTTCCAGTGCGATTATCGACTATATGTCTGTTGTCGTTCGATGGTGAACGGTGGCGGCGGTGGGTCCTGGGGATAGTTGGTCGAGCGATGGGCGCAGGCGGCGTTGGAGATCGGAAAGAGTGTGGCTGCTGGTCTGGAGGTATACTTGGTCGCAGAGAGTGTGAACGGTCAACCGGAATGTGATGTACGTCAGCCACTGGAGGGCGGGGTGAAGGAAAGTTCATTGTAGACGTATGATCTTCCTGAGATCGACGTAGACCATGAAGGTATACTTCAGGCACCGCAGGTGCTGCAGATGTTTGAACATTAAATCCTGGGTTTCCAACAAATCGGCCATGATTGATATCAGAAGTCGTAGAATGCGCTCTATGAGAGACATCGTCCCTCCCTGTCCGATCAACGATGATATTTTGGTTATCGTTTGACGGTGAGCGACGGCGGCGGGATCTCGGGACCCGACTAGACGGTCGAGCGATAGTTGGATGTAGGGGCGTCGGAGAACGGGACTGTGTGTCTGGCTCCATGAGGATGAAAAGTGTGGTGGGTGTACAGAAAGCACGAGGGAAAATTACCTCAACATAATTGAGCCACGAGGCAAGGGCGTGAGACTCTGAGAATGATTGGAGAATGAGCGAAAATGCAAGTTCACAGTGCGCACCGAGTTATCAACCTCATTACTGCGATGTCTACACGGGCGGTAAAGCTGGCGTGAATCATACAAAAATGAGCCAAATTTTCATTGCACACTATCTTGAATCTCACCTGATATGGACGCAGGAGTTGACGTCGCTCCGGCAATTCAGCAGTCAGATTACCGGCCACCAGAAAACATCAAGCAGGTGACCTCGCTGGCGTACGTTTCTTGACTGAGCATCATTCGAGTACCTTCCTCAGCTTGCGGACTGCGATGATTTTGACAATCGTGGTTGATTGAAGTTAGAGAAATGAAAAGTCACATGACTGGAACGCGAATACATGAATATTATTTCGACATTCAACCCAAAAATCAAGCGAAAATAGAGAAGAAAAGAGCGAGGTTCCGCCAATGAAAGATTTTCTTGAATTGCTTGATTATGTGTAGTAGTAACGTCATGCACGCATAATCAGAAACCATTAGATCCCGAGTTGATCCCGAGCTTTCCCAGCCAATTTCTTCCGCTATAAACAAAAGTAACGTTGTCTCTCTTAAGACGTCTGGACAATAACAAGACAATAACTTTACTTCAATACTTCACAGAATCTATGAGCTGCGTGAGCTACCTTCCTCGAGTGGGTCAACCCCGCCATCAAACCCTCTCCCCCCCCCTGCATTTCAAACGGCGTAAATTGGGCGTAAACTAACACGTCGTGACCAATGGGAGTGCATAAGCAAGATCACGATTTACTTATCTACTTTTTCCCACTTTTTGACTTGCCACAAGTCAAAAAGCTGGAAACTTGGAAATATATCTATCGAAATAAAACCCATGCCGACCTGAATACATTCAAAAATACTTGCTTTTCAGAGTACTGAGCCTGGCTTTTTGTATTTGCGTCTTTCCTGCTTTTTCCGGCTTCTACAAGTAGAAAAAGTAAAACGCGAAAGTACCGATGTGGCGTGTACTCATTGAAAGTGTTGCGAAAATTAAAAAACCTGAGTTTAGATGTGATTTTGATCTTTTGTTCATTAATTCTGGAAGCTGGTATCTCAGGTGGGTCTCTGAGCGTTGAATCGTATGAGTCAAAAGGACGGTACTTATATAAATTGTGGAAAAAATGATGTGTAAATACTAGAAACCAACCTTCTTCTTGTCGTCGCCAGCGCGAGATATGAACAAGATATACTGACGCGCGGCCCGAGAAAGCCGGGCCATGACATTGAAACGTTCGTCCGAATTTGCATCTGCGCTCGTAGCCAAACATTATTTGATTTGCAAGTTGCCTTGACCACGTTCTGTAGCGTTGCGCTTTATCTCCGACTTGATACCGATGTCCTTCGGAACGTGTGACGAGCAAATCCGGATCCTAGAAGCCTTTAAATTCCAGGGATACGGGGTCTTCATTGGTATGCACCTTTTCTGCGCTAATGACAATAACAACAAGAACATCTCAACCAACCTTTTTTAGACCTCCGCGTCTTTTGTCAAAGTCATGCGGATTGTTCACGTTGTTTACTTAGCTGCGGCAGGCTGCGGCTCCAGCTGGGACAAACCCAGGAACAGGCGTGGCAGTGCGACCCTCAAATAAATTAAAATCAAAGTCCCCTTTCATCTCCCCCTCACCGTCCGCTATGGACCACCTCCCTCCAGCGGTCACACAGCACCCTCCACCACCCGAAGACGACGCATGGCCAACACTCCTTGTCCTCCCCTTCCTCGTTGGCCAAGTCGCATTCTTATCCGTATGGGTCGTCTCACAGCTCATCTACCTCATCTCTTCCGCATGCTACAAGAACCCAAATGAGAATCCTAGGTTCGCAGAGTTCTTCCCATACAGTGGTCCTGGTGAACTGATCATTCCGTTTGTTATAGGCTGTCAATCATCGTCCTGCCCGTCGGGCTGCTTCTGCTGATAACGAGTGTGTACCATTTGCGGATCTACCTCCGCCACGCGCGGAAACTCCACCTGCTTGCCGTTGGAATGTATTCGATGGCCACGCTTAGCATATGGGCGGTCTTGGGACTGATGATGGCCTTGGAGGATTGGACACATGATGGGAAACGGGATACGTTGGTCATTGTGTCATTGGGGATCTTCCAGCGGACAGGGTGGATTTATTTGTGAGGTTTTGTCATCGTGGGGCATAGTTGTTGTTTACTGACTAGATTCACTTCTGTAGCTTCTGGATACTCGTGTCCATGCTTGCTTTCACGGCGACCGCTTTTCATAGATTGGGGAAACCGGGTATGTGGAAATTTTCTTCTTAACGTAACGTCGAGATTGATTAAGGGCACACAGCGCCGCAACCTATTGAGATATAGCCGCACGTTTGAACGACAGTCAGAGCCAACTACGGACTAGATTATCTAGCCAAATTACACGAACTCCCGACAGCCACAGTGTATACGCCGTCCTGGTAACTTATGAAGATACATATTCATCGTACACCTAGCATGCCTTTACGACGATTGCGGGCTTAGTGCCCAATCTCACCTGATAATGTGAGGTTAGCGATGGTTATCGACCACCCAACGAAAAGATGGAACGGATTACGAAGTAACCAGCTTGAACTGAGAAACAAGGGACAATTTCGCAGAGGGCAAAGGCAAGGTGCATGAATTGCCACTTGATCAAGCTGTTGCCTCAGTTGTTATTCCGCCGTACGGATTCCGGAAAGTCAAAGGTGACTTGGTTTTTTGAAAATATATCCTTAATGACGTATACCCTCAATTCAAGGAAACTGCAGGTAAATATTAACAAGGGCTGTGTGTAAATGAGAAGCATAAAAACGAAGTGATCGAGAACATAGTGGATAACTCAAAATGGTTTTCTACATATGGTGGAGCAAAAGGAGCAGATGAGCAACATAATGATAACTGGGTATAAGAAGCAGAAGAAAATCTACGGTAGAATGGAAGGCGAGAAAAGGGTCTATCCACGGGAGGCACTGTGTCCGTGAAAAATTCCAGAACCTTGCGTCAGCTCACCAACACTCAACAAATAGTTGCCCCACTCGTCTAACCTGCAGAACCACTGAAAGTCAGCCAAATCGATACTTAAGGAAGGCAAAAGAAACTCACTCGAACCCACTCGGTAGAGTAGACCACATGGAAAGCATATCCTGATCGACTTCTGGGTATTGCGACTGTTGCTGTTCTACGTGCAGCAGACTTCCGCTCCCAAGTGGCGTGTGTAGATGTAGACGGGACATCCCGCTTCCACCAAACTGACTTTCCCTGTACACAGAATCCACGGATATCGAATCACCCATCAAGGTGGTAGATGAACCCGCACTCGGTCCCTCAGGAGATCTAGAAGAGCTGAGCGACATGGGGTAATGACGCGCCATGTCTTCTGGACCTGCCGCCAGCATTCCCTGCACACCGCTCCCCATCCCCGTTAAGTCTGATCCAGGAGAAGAGCCGGACGCGGTACAGCTGGGTGTGAACGCAGAAAAATTCGTCAAAGGATTTACACCCCCACTTACATACTGCCCGCCGGCACTTGGAGGGTACCAATGAGTCTGGTGGTCACCGGACGACTGCCTGATGGTCGAGAACGTCGTCTGCCCATAATCATCCGGCAACCTCGCAAGATCGTTACTACACATTGGTAACGCGAAAAACTGACGGGGTGAGGGTGGTTGTTCCTGCAAATTTGAGGGATGTTGGAGTCGAATAGGCTGTTCCTGCTGTTCGCCAGCCGCGAAAATTTGCTGTGGGAGTAGCGGTAGACTGATCGGTGTTGACGCATTCCCACTCACCCGCCTAGATCCAGCCATATCCCTTACCGTACCCACAGACAACATGGCGTCGTACGTGGGTTCACCGACCGTAGAGCTTTCAGAATACCTTCTGCGTTTGTTCGTCATAGGTGGACTAGGCTGTGGGAGAGGGAAATCACCCATTGTCGCCAACTCGCACAGGATATCCCTAAAAATTGATCTCGTATCAAGAAAAGGGTGGGATTGACAGAGAGCCATACCACAGCCGGCCTGCTGAATGCCACCGGCTTTCAGATGCCCTCAACATACGCATGCACTTGTGGACATCCACCATCTCCTTGTTCGGATCTGTGGATAGCCCTGAGCGCTTCGCTCCCCATATGCTCAGCAAGAGCACGATCCCAGAGGTGAACACAGGCATCTGAAGGAAATGGGTAAGCTTTTATCCTCCTCGTGTCAAACTCTCTGAATATATACCTGTGCTAGCGACGAGGGGCTGCGGTCCCTCTTCCGCTGGATATCAATGATATGACTACAAGCTCTGGCAGCATTGGTGCAAATCGCGAGGGACGGAAACGGCAACAACGATGGCTTGCTTGGGGATGGGATAAATGGGCGGTGGACGAGAATTTGAGTGTGGTAGTACGCCGAATAAAGGACGACAGATTGGTTGAAAATTTTAATGTCCTCGCGATGAGGATCCCAACGCACTGCGAAGTTCAGTTAGTAGTAGAATAGCAAAAGTGGATAATCGCTTACAATGATCGGGCACTGAACCTACCCACTTGTTCAGAGCCGAGTCGAGCTCCGCAACTATATTCTGCTCCCAGTTTGGACCGACAAAACCAAGAAGGTTTTTGGACTTGTTGATCGAATACTACTCACATTCAGTTCAAACAACGGGAGCGCCCGGAGAATCTGATAAAACTCACGATTGTGCGCAAAGCAAAAGATAGAATTTGGTTGAGCTTGAGGTACAGATTGAATTGAGTGATAAGGGATGCTTTGTTAGCAGGTTGCTTAAAGCATTGCGACGGATCAGGGTGCTCCCAGTATTCATCGTCGCATTCAATTGGCATGTCAAGGTCGAAGCTGGGAAGATACATTAAAAAACGGGAGCCCAGAGTGCCGAGGAAGTACTTACTCCTCCTCTTGGATTGCGCAGGAGCGGCCGAGAGAGGAACTAAACGCACGGTCCATGCATACCAGTATCCTGTATCGCAAAACCTGTTGGTTTTAATTTGTGATGAGTCATGAGGGTTCATACCAAAATGCACGCTTCCATAGCTCGTCCTCCACGGTCAGAGGATGATCCCGCGCTTTCCTCTTGTGTGCTCCAACCTCCTGCGCCAATCTGATACCGATCCCGACGAGGGTCCAACAAGATTGAGGGGCAGAAGAGTCTTGAAGAAACTGCACCGACAGCTGAAGGAAGGTTGAGATCGAAGGTCTTTGGAAGTGTGCACCAGCTTACGCAGTAAAATTGCATATCGTAGATCGAGGGGACCGCCAAAAGCGACTTTCTAATCATTTGAACCTGATCAAACCACTTCCAGCCACGTGAATGATGAGATCCCGTTCCATTGAGAAAGACTCGTGGGTCTTCTGAATACCGTGAACCATTCGCGCAAACAACCAGGAGCGTGACTGCAAAACCGTTGTTTGTGAAATGTAGCTTGTCAGCTATAGATTTCTCGAATGTGGGCCGGTGGAGAAGGGGTTGGTAGAGGTTGAAGTGTGTAAAGTATAGATCTACAAGCTGAATGACGAGGCCGTCTTCAGGGAACACGTACGTTAACGTTTGTGGCTGGCTTTCGACTTCTCGCTCCCACTACAGTTGTAAGCAAGTTAATAGCCACAACGAGTGAAAGCTAAGAGCTCACGGGATTGCAAGACCAAAATTCCGGACGCTTGTTTTCAAGATTCATGGAGGGGGCTGGTTGAACGTAATCACTCCCAGTGTACTCGCTCTTAAGCTCCATGGCGGTCTGAACGAGCATAGCACCACTTGATTTGCCAAAAAACCTCGAGTCAGGATTGCCAATCTCGAGTCTCTTCAGATTATCTAACAGAACAGCGTTGACAACGTCATCGTCTTGGTCATCTCTGGGATCGTCAGGATTGTTGACTTTGCTGATAGCAGATGCGGCTATATCGTAAGAAAGTCTAGGCGACCGCGCGTCGTCGTTTGATTGATGCGGCTTTCCAAAAGCCCTCTCGGAAGGCCCTTCCAAAGTAACGCCAAGTTCCGTCAAGACGTTATCATCTGGGCATAACTGGCGGATGTAAGGAGAGCGTATTAGCCCAATGAGAGGTTCAACATACTATTCGCAGGGCATTTTCTAACTTTTCCACTCTACTCTCCAACCTCTCCACGTATCTAGAAAGTCCGCTTGAACAAAACTTGCGAGCTGAGCATAGCGATCTGCGAACCCCTTAGGAAATCCTCGTTTCTAATCAAGCTAGATTAACAACGCCCACATCATAAGGTTGGCGCGTGTACCCACCTTCACTACTGCCGGCTCGACATACGTGCAATCGAAACTCCAAGTGACACAGTTTGTACATCGATTTCCGGGAATATTAGGCCCATCGCCTGACAAAACATCAGTACCGTCGAACGTCACGGACACCCGCTGCGCCTACATCGAACTGAACATGGATGAGCCTGCCGATGAATCACCAAGAAACGGTCAACGACGTACTTTTCTTCCTCCTGCAGATATCGCATGCTCGCTGTATTCGACGTTTCTTGGTACCCAAACTGTCGTCGTTGTGGTCCTCACCCCCAGAGGACATTGTGGTGGAAAGGTGATCAGAGGCCGGTCATTTGAAAACCTCAGTTCAGGTCAACGCCGGCGGCCGTCCGGAGAAAGCGAATTTCTTCCGAGATATTCCCGTTACGGGCCGAGAGAGAACTTGAACTATTTTGTAAATCTGAAAGAGATAATCGAGCGTCGGGCGAGTTTTCGAGTTGTGTGTCTGGTAACCCTCCTGCACAATCGTGGTCAAGTTCATGAGAAGAGAAGAGAGAGCAATAACCGACCAATTCTAGACATTGCATCGCCCAAATTGGGGCGAGTACTAGATGACACCGAAGACGGTTCTGGCTGCATCGCCGGATCATCTGGGATGTAGCACAGTCAAATGACAAGGAAATCGTTCCTTAGCATGGCCTTCTTGCAGGCCACCAAGAGTAGATTACAACGAGCTGCGCGAGCATGGGGAGACAGATGATTCACACGATCAAGGGACGATTGGAGGGAAGATGGGGTCTAAGCAAGGTCGTTGGGAGTCGAAGAAGCATTTTTGCGTGACGGTGTAACGAATTGACTGTTTCAAACGTCTGGAAGGAAAGAAGATTGATACACCTGAGATGTAGGCTAATAAATTCCAATGTATGACAATGGAAAGGCAACGGAAAGGAGGAGTCGAAGCCTTGGGCCCAGGGGAGCTTCGTAAGATGGTTGTAAGATGGAGAGATTTGGTGGTTGAAGCCCCCGTTTGGTCCCCGTCCTGTTTGTTGAAACCCAGGGTCACAACCAAATACGTTCGGGCTTTCAAGTTGCCGGTAAGTATACTGACTCCGTCACTGCAGAATACTAACGATGGAAGAGTGAACTCTCGAAATGAGTAACTGGGAATGCTGACCCCCGCTTTCCTCATAATTCTCCAATGATTCTCTTGAATCTCTTCCCTCTCCCATCTTCATCCGTACAAGATCCGTCGTCAGCGCGTCAGCAACGACCAACGAGCCTGTTCACGTCCCCCACGGTCGCGGTTGCAAGTCTGATGCCGACTACCTTACGTTCCGTCGCATCCCACCTATTGGGCACGCCCTCCAGATCAACAGCTCGCCGCACTATGCTTCACATTCTATCCTACGAGGATCCGTTCCAGCCCGCTCTCTTTCTTTGGCTAACACCGCAGGTAAAGACTCCAAGTTAGACGAGGTCCTGAGTAGGGGGAAAATCATCCTTGTCGCGTGAGATGGGGTACATCATGCACTACCGTTACGCTACCGACAAGAATACTGCCATCATTGGCTTGGCGCAAACTGCATGTGAGTTTCCCTTTTTTTGACGCATATATGCGGGTTTGCTCATAGCATACGTGCGTATACCCCGTTGCAGGTCAGTGTATGTGTTTCACCTTCGCCTTATCGTCAACAACACATACCGTCATATAATGACAAGTTGTCATGCCTTCGTACATGGACGGAGCGACGGAGACGATCCCAAGACGTTAATCTCGATGGTCGCATCCTACTCGTTGATTTCAACACGCTTTCCGCGGAGAAGAGTAAACTACGAACCATTCCCCAGGGTGGGTCGCCGCCTATTCTGATTACGGCAACCAGCGAGCGCATACATGTGAGATATGGGGCCGTATTTCTAATCACAATTTTGGATTCAAATCCTGGCGGTGCTCTCGGGCGAAGAATCGCGGTCGAGGACTTCGCCTTGTAAAGTTGCGGGCCAAATTCGGAAATCCATCCTCATATCTTGAACAACTCTCGTCGCTATGGAAAGATTGTGAGTTTTGTCGTTGGCGTTCTTTATTCAATTCTGATGCCTATGTATCGTATATCGGTGGCTATATTCCAGAGAGGAACGCTCAAGCAACATGATCTCGCACGCATCCACGAAATCGTTCATTATCACTTTCGCTTTCAAGCTCCACTTTCACGCTTCTACAAACAACATCGCCGCCGCTATCGTCGACCCCGACTGATCAATCGCCGCAATGCCATGACCCATAGCGTCATGGTAAACGCGAGTAAATTTCCCCTTCGCCCTTTCCTTGGAGATTGGCGCTCGTTTCGTCTTGTAGCCCTGCTACTCATTTGTAAAGAACTTTGGAATTGGATGTCGATGAAGGTGGGACTCCGGAAGAGGACGACGTGATCTGCGTGAAGCATTTTCGTCTCCTGGGTTTTTGCGGAGGATCACATGTATTTTCTTTGCAAGTGTACCTTCGCCTCTTTCGATCTTGTATTTTTTACCCAGCTCCAAAGCCTTTTTGTACTAAGTATCGAAAAAGTTTTACATCAGAATGTTCGATACCGAGGATGCAGGTCTTGTAAACTCGCAACTCGATGGCAGGCTTCATCAGCCCTAAACTTGTTGTTCAATCGCTCCATAGCTAACACACTCTCCGCCGTCTACCCACCTTTCTGTTGAAATCGACTCAGCAAGCGCGTGTGATCAAGGCAAGGTCGGGAATACTAATATTCCGGTTGTCTCTGGGTGACAGAGGCAAACGGATGAGTAACTACAGTGCAAGGCCTCGTATATATACGTAGACTACGAAATATAAGGGGGTAAATGTAAAATACCCCTATGGAGCCACGGAAACAATCAATGGAAGGAATGTACCTGAAATCCAACTGAAATCCATAGATGGGGCGCATTGCGCATGCTCGTAAAGCTCCCGAAATTCCAACACTTTCTGTTCTCCTTGAATAGAACTAGAATGATTACTGTTCATCGCATCGAACGTTGCACATCAAATTGAAGCATTTGGCCCTTCGCCGTTTTCAATCTTAAATTACAACAATCTGCTTTTGGGTTCTACAAGTACAAATATATACGACAAAAAAGCCCAAAATATCTAGAGAGAGAGAAAAAAACATTAGAGGTTATAAACTCGAGGCTGCGTGCAGTAGGCGGCGAAGTTGTTCTGAGAAATAAACGCTACACCAAGGGGAGCCAGGATATCGAAACCCAACTTCCTGGAGCCAAGGCAGACTTTGAGGACCTCACAGTGGTTACGCTCCGTGACAGCGGTCTGGATAGCTATACCTCCCAGTGGCTGGCGAGGATCTGATGATGAGTATCGAAGGACAAAGCTTGGAGCGTCGTCGATGAATTGCCACTCTTTATCGACCGCCCGAAGATAAGTGGTGTTCCCAGAGTCTTGGAGCGAAAAATTAAGATAGGGCGAAATTTGATAAGTCCCTGTCATACATGGGACTGGAACCGTAGTCGAGTTGATCGTCGTTGCGCATTGCGCTGAGATGGAATCGCTTTTTCCAGGGGAAGCGATTGATATGGATTGTATGTCTGGTTGGAGGTCGGCAGGAATGACCCCTTGTGATACTGCGCCTGCGAATGAGAGCGTTTGGGTTGTTGCGTTTGGGTCGTTTGACATGCCAATGTAGTCGAAGTAGTAGACTTTGGTGGTTGAGTCTGGGGTTTCGGGGTAATAGAATGACATGAAAGGCTGTCGAGAAGAACCGAGTGAGGGAGATTGGATGATGGCTTCTCCCGCGAAGGAGTCACAGAGGTGCGTCCATTGGTACTATAAGTGTGTATCGTTAGCAGGGGTATTCGTGTAAACGCATTTCGTCTTACCTGTTGGGCGAGGGGCAGGCCGGCGAATGGGGCAAATAATGGGCCAGCGCACATGACAAAGGCGATTGGAAGGACGATTGTGAGATGGAAGGTCCTGCTCAGATACTTGATGAATTGTTTGTATAACTTGTCCATTGGGGACGCTTTTGTCGTTTCACGAGACTTCCACCATCTTACGAGCTCGAAATAACTGGTCCACACCAGGATATTGATGACGCACACCATGTATCCACTGACGTACACTGATCGACAATGTCAGGGCGGGTAGAGCGATGAGCGTGGTGAACATACGACATATGGAAAAGGGTTTCCACAACTTGTGGTGGGCGGTCACTATGTTACGGTGGTTGGGCTTTGACCCTCCTTCCACGTCTGAAAGCGAGGAGTGTCAGATTTTGTCATTCACAGTTCGAACGTACAAACATCCCAAAATCCAGGCGGCTTGAAGTGACGAAACGGAAAGCCACGCAACGATGACTGGTTGACGGCTGAGCTTTGACACACACGCAGTTCGGTGTTCGACTTACCGCCTAGCCATTGGAGGGGTGACCAGGAACCGCGCCGTCTTTCCAAAAGATCTTGTTCCCAGGGATTTGGTCGCCCAGTCAGTAAAAATCGGACACCAATGCAAAAATACCGGGGCATGCTCTTGAAGTAATTGCATATATCGCTCGATCGCTTGACGAGCAATTCGCCGACAGCAAGGAAGGGGGGTATTATAGAGAAGACTGAAGTCACCTAGAATTGCGATATAGTTAAATGTAGATGGTTATCATCGGACCATTATCACCTGGCCATAGTTAAATTGATAACCATCGAATGTTAGCCCCCTGGCTATCCCAAGAGACCAACTCCAGTGAAAACACAAAACAACAAGAAAAATCATCCACGGGTGAGACTGCGTAATAACGAACCTAGCGATCTCATGTTATCCCGTCGAGCGTGTTAAAATCAAATGACCTACCAACACGCCATCGGTACATACCAAATCGTAAGAAAAATTCGCTTCCATGGTGGGATATGTCGCGATTCACGTCGCCGAGTTTGATATTCGTAAAATATGTCGTATCTGTGGCGAACTAGATAAATTCCGTATATCCAGAGGCCTAAGAGCGACACCATTCCTAATCCTCCTCTTTCCTTGATGTCATTTATCAAGTCCCGACCCATGACATCAAAAACGCCGATGAAGTTGGACGTGATCTGGAACTCAGTCCACAGAGATAGTGTCATTCCGTGGCAGAGTGCACTATCGCTGAAGGCCTTTGTGTAGAAAGACGTCATGAGATTAACAAGGAGCCAAAGAAGGGGTAGGGTCAGGCCGAGGTACCGCACAACGGCCTTAGAGGACATAAGTTTCTGAAAAAGAATATTGGGGCGGCTGAAAACGTCTCGAAATGAAGAATAGACGAGATAGACGGTTATCGGAGAAGCAGTAACGGCGACAGCATAATGAGCATCAAACAAGGATAGGTCTCCGCTCCCGATGCTTGACGCCGTTGCAATGAGGATTGGATAGACCTGAGATAAAAGCATAAAGATCGAGGTCTTCAAATCATGGCCTGACCAGCGAAGGAGGATCGCTATTCTCGAGATGTGGCATACGTTTGAAAAGTTCCGCGAGGGTGACTTACGAAGTAGAATGTTGATGGAAATATCTGCGTTTATGCGTACGTCAAAAAAGTGATCGAAAGACATAGAACATACTGGACACTCCTACTGCAATCCCTCCTACGTCTGGGTTAACGGGGCCAGTACGAATCGTCTGAGCCGTCAGGCAAGGATCCTGAGGTAGACTGATGGAATTCATGGTCGAGAGGATCAGAGGAGGTTTGGGGTTATAGAGATGAAAGAGGCGGATATTTGGGGTTTTCCTCAATTTGATGTTGTGCGGTTGCTACCATATCCACGGTTCGAGTTATACTGTTTTAATGTTGTGTTCTCATGATCTAACCAGCAACGTCAGAAGTACGGAAAGAGAACTAATAATGTTGCTTGCCTTGGGCTGGCTTCGGACAGCCTCGACCTCAATTTGACAATCATGACGCAAGGTTTGATTGCTTTCCAGGTACCCGTGCATGCAACATTGTGTGGCTCCTTTCTGCGGATTTCTCATTGAGGTTGTACAACAGCACTGCCCTGTGTGAACATTTAATTTTAGGGCACGGGCAACTTGAATCATGTTCAATTCATTATCAATCGACACCTGATGTTAGCTGCTTTATGAAAATAACTGAAGGAATGAAACAATCGTACTTTTGAACATCGCTCACGCTGAAACGGGAGAATGATCATAGGCGCCGAACGACGTCCAGGTGTCAACACAAAGCCAAGACGCTGTTGTTCGGTGAAGGACAGCCTCAGAGGGGAAAAGGTGCATGTTCGACAAATGAGGCTTAGTTCGGAAAGACATGAGCGCTTCAAGTTGCCAATGAGGCAGCGCAGTTGAACGTCTCAACTAGGCAACTTGAGGGCGGTTCCGAGGATCTGGTAGTGGGAACCTTCGTGTAAGAATGTGGAGACGAAACTTAACCACTTCATGAGAATCCGTACCTCGAGGACGATCTCCAGATGAATCGAATTCATGTACTTACATAGATCATCGTGATGGGCAACGGACGTGTTTGTCCTTGTGAGGTCGTACTTACCCCGATGTAACTTAAGGTTAGCGGCAAGTCGACTTGCTTATGTGGGCCGATTTAACAGGATCTCCCTGATCCCCGCCGCTTTGGGACGGCGCACGTGACCACGTGACCTCGCGCGTCGCGTCCTTCTCCCTCTTTTCTTGTCCTCGCCCGCCGCTTCGTCCCACCGCTTGGTCCCCTCCTTAAATTTTGCACGTAGTACACCATTTTGTAACGTTTACACCTGAAAATGCAATTTTTTTTCCAGTCCCGGCTTTCCCCCGGGCAAACATGGTGTCCTTGTCCAAAATGGACCTCACATTACATCCTTGATTAGGGTCTGGGCACCACATTTTTGGGAAATATACAAAACTTTCAGAGTTCACTCAGAGTACCTGCCACTGCATGTTCACCGCTTTTTTTAGCTCTTCAGAGAGATATTTGGAAGGTGGTTTGCTGCAAGGGACTGAAAATAAGTCAGAAAAGCACACATAAGTTGGCATAAGTGCTTATGTGCGATGGATTTAAAGCCTCGTAATGCCAACCAGCTCAATTTAACGTGCATTTCCATGAGCTGGCATATCCCTGCACCCAATTTAAGGGTCTTTCAGCTCAGGGACCCAACTCTCTGCTATATCACATTGGCTCATGAATCTTTCTGTTCTGTCATTCAAATTCATGTAATGTGGATAATATTGCAGGTAAGAATATTTACATGAGATGTAGTACAGTAGGGTAGCAAAAATGGACTTTGAAAATTAAACCTGGCCTTCCAGTTCCTAGATTATTGACGGGATCTTCGAGAGCACGCCACAACGTACGTGGGAGAGTGCAGGATTCAGGCGGGAGGAGGAGGATCGTGCGGAGAGGTTTGAGCGCGAGGCGTGGATGGTGCGTGGTGGGGTGGTGAGGTAGTTTACGGTGCTAACGGTGACTGTTGATGGGAGAGACACGGGAAAGCGCGGGGGAAACGATGGGTGAGTGTGGGTGTCGAGACTCGGTAGCCCTGGTGGTGGTAAAGCACTGTTGTGCGTGCAGAAAATTTAAATCATTGTAAGTATATAATATCATTGTATCATTGAATTTAAAGACATACCTTGTAGATCCCCTGCTTCACGGGCCTTCTCTTATGTCCCAGCTACTATCACTGGTGGGAACTTTGCAAGGGTATTAACTTTGCAAATCCGTTTAATTGACAATATTCTGCCCCGCGTTGCTTCCACATTGGACCGATTTTTATAAAACTACATTCCTAGGTACTCATACATGTAATCTATGTATCCTAGCTATCTCGACAGTAAAAAATGAACTGCAGAAGGTGATACAGGCTTGGGCATTTGTATACACATGGGTTTGTGTCACAGACCCTATGTGTGACGCTGGTAAACCCTGCTAAGGGGCAAACTGGGAAACATTTGCCCTCGCCGCCGCGTTACTTTGATGTGACTGATCTTGCAAAGTCGATGCCCATGTATGGAGATTTGAGCATTCTGTGTATTTTGCCTCGTAGCTCTTCTCCCCCACCTCTATCAGTTCAGATATTATTCTAGTTAGATTCAGAGTTACTTTAAGATGCATCACCATCCCAAGTTTTAATAAAATAGGCCCGGAGTCCCTTTCCTGTACCCAATTCATTCAAATTTGCAAAGTTCCCACCACTGATAGTAATCCCCACTGCCCGATGTATTGCGGTGCATCTTTTGCCCTTCCAACGCGTTCTTGTTTGCACTTCGCAAATCATGCTCGAGCGCACAAACACGAATGGCCTCTTGAAGGCGAGAACGCGACGGAAGCGGAGCTCCACGTGGCGTAGCGTTGAGCGCGTCGCCTGGAGGGGGTTGGCCGCAGCAAAGAGGGGCTTGAGAGATGGAGGCGAGAGAGGAAAAGGATGGAAGTCAGGGTAGGTGGGCTAGAAGAAAATGATTTCTCACGGAAAACGGAATCCGCTGATGGGCGCAATTTATCGAATTTAACATTCAGTCCCTTAAATCGAGGGAAATAATTGTGCTTATCTCAACAAAGTTGCATCTCCACAGCTTTCAAGGTGACGCACCAATTGGGTTTTTGCTCCCTAAGATCAGGCGAGCTGGTTCGAGGAGCGTGGGGGCTCAAGCTGAGTCGACGCATTGAAACTGTTCAAGTTTGGCATTGGGGCACAATTTTTCGAAGAAGCCTAGCAAGTGTCCATCCTTTCATCCACCAAACTTTATACTGCATAACAACGCCAATATCATCCTTGCTGCGCTCAGCCCCCACACGGTTTACAATGCAGCTCCTCGATCTCCCCAAGATCTCCCACTCGAGATTCTCGTGGCGATATTACATAGGCTTACTTTCATCGACGTTTTCTCATGCCAAAGAGTAAGCGAGGCTCCATGAGATCCTCACTGACTGCACCTCGATTCAAAGCCAATCTAAAAAAAACATCGCTGGCGTTCAAGACAACCCTGGTACAAACTTCCTACCAGTGACTGTTTAAAAGTGCTTCTCGGAGTCGAGCGCTCGTGGGCTTCTAAAGTACGACCCGGCGTTGCCTGGTATCAAGGAATGGGGTTGCTGAGGAAACCGTTGGGGTTTCCACAGAAAGAGCGGATTCTCGATAGTTTTATCCCATACATAAAGGTACATACATACAACATTCAGAAGACCAATCTATACCAAGGAATCAATCTGGGTGCTATGCGATGTAATACAGGGAGGTCTGCAAAAGAATGGAAAAAAGGAATGCCCAGTTAGAAAGCGTCAAGCCCTCTAATGTTAAGTTCATAAAGAGATTATCCGCGGTAGACGGCCGGTCCGGGAACGGTGTAGGAAGTAGGAACAGGGTAGTAGATGTTCAACGTTAACTCGGGATCTGTAAATTGCGTGTAAGCATGTGACAAACGAGATAGAGGGTATTTCACGTACCAGGGTTAGAGAGGTAACCAGGGATCGCAACCTTGGATGGGTTTCCAGAGCCACCGTTCATGACCTCGATTTGGGCGCACGAGACAAACCATTCGACAACACCAGTGCCGAGGTGTAGACCGGCTTGTTCAACACGGACTAGGTACTACGGGGGGGAATCAGCCCTTGAAGTGAACTGATTTGAATAAGGATTCGTACCTGGCCAGAAGGAACATTGTTGGGGATGGTCGTGGTGAGCTGGCTGAGCCCCAAGTCAGTGAAAGAAAAAGGGTCAAAGTTAGCGCCCCATTCAGCGATCTGAGTATGCCGGTGAAAAGGTGAAACACTGTAAGCATAAATATGGCAACTTGAATGAGCTTACCTTGAACCAATGCTGACCGCTTCCGTCCCAATTGAAGGCGTCTGTAGGCGATTGACCAAGGTAGATGGCGGCCGGCCCTTTGTGGTAGATGGCAACGTCAACGTTGAACCCAATAGTATCGCCCGCGTTGACCTGCACCGTCTCACTAGCATTACCAGGGTCATGGTTGCAAGTGGCGTCGGAGGAAGTGATGTCATGGAATGGAGTGTTGTTAAGTGGTTGACGAACGGCCTGCGTGGACGTCTTAGATCCAGCTATGAGGGTGTTGAAAATGTCTGACGGCGAAGGGTGAGCGAGACTTAGAGGCTGGGCGGATGTAACATACAATGCGCCGAGGTGCTTTGAGCGGCGAGGAGACAGAACCCGAGGATGGCTGAAAACTTCATCTTATCAAAAGAGAGTCACAAGGAGACGTAAGAAGATGGGTAGTTGAGAAAGAAAGGAGATGGCGTTCAACGGAGAGATGGTGAGGCATTTTGTACGCTTGACACGGAAGAAAATTTTATCTGAGAGAGGGCTCAAATTTCAGCACTGAATAGAAATGATCGAGGGAAAAGAAAATACTCTGAAGTAGATTTAAAGATAGGATGGAGATCGCATTTGAGCGGTTGTTCAGTTTCAGTGCAAGAACCTGGGGACCATTTGTTCAACAAGAGAAGGAAAGCCGCCGTAACTTAGCTATCAAATTGCTTCACATATATGAGTCTTATAAAGAGAAATTTTACTTTCGTTGGCGAATGAGACAGGTGTGCAAGTGAGGGAAAAAATTGATCGGCGTAGTAATTAGCCAAAGCTGTATATCTATGTGTGTGCGTATTTATAGTTTGGTTAGGTCACGTGTGCGCTGTGGTGAACGCTCTATACTTCACATGCAGCGCGGTTTGCTGGGTCCAGCAAGCTGGGCATCAAGGAGAGTAGTGGTGAAGATGAGAGTGAGACAGATGTGAGACAAGGCGGTTTTGATGAAAATCTGAAAATGTGCGATTGGGCTGTGGTTATAGTTGCAGTTGCAGTTGCAGTTGATGGGGAACGTTGCTGCCATATCCCTTGGTCGTCCTCCCGGTTGTCGTCGTCTGAGCCGTTTTCGGAGATGGAGTCTGTATCTATGCCTGTTGAACTGTCTGGAAAGAACGCGTTTCGGAGTGGCGAGGGTGGACGTGGAGATGGTCCCGCTTCAGGATTCAACAGCAAAAGACACATGGTGCAGCTCCTTGCCCACGCCAGTCAGGGTGTCATTCCACCATTGCCCAGCTGCAACGGACAGCTCTTGAGCTCTGTGGCCAGCTCAATTTCTTACAGAACACCGTTCTGCAGCAAGTTGTCACTCTTTGTGATGACCTCGCTCTCCGCGACACCACGATGCACGATATAACATGCCACATGTTACAAACTGCTTCAATGTTTGCTCAACTCTTCCCCCAAGCCAACCACTCTCCCTCCACTCAACCTCACCAACTTCGCCCTCACCTCCTGACTTACCATCATCCAAGAATACGAGTTGTACTGTTGATCATCCTGCACCTCCACCAAGTTTTTGTTTTCGCCCATCCGTCGTCATTCAACATGATGTTCCGTAGGGTGGTTTTTATTTTCTTGGCTATTTTTCCCATTCCTTACTCCGCAGACCTTTCCTTTCAACCTGGTGTTATATCACCAGTGGTAGCTTTTGCAGTTGGGGAGTGCTAGTCTGGCCGACGTCCCCTTGTAGCGCCTTGTAACGCACTCTAAGCACGAGCTGGCAAGGTAAGAGTTATTATGTAACGTAGTCAGCTTGAAATTATTACCATTACCATCAACTATATTTAGTATCTTTTATCGACGACGTTGGAATGGAAATAGAAAGTCACGTCAATAATACATATAGGCCAATCTGTATTCTGCAGTTGTCAGCCCGGACTTACGCAAATTTCCACACCGACATTATCGGTCACTTTACGATGTTCACGCCCTTCGGTAATCACCCTCGGCTGTCATCTAGTCGTTTACCTTGAGCCGTAAGAAATAATATTACTTAAGTCGAAGACGGTAAGGATCATCAGCAAAAGTTCACGTTCCATGGTAGGCCTATTACATATTGTATGGCCGTACTAACCTAGCACCTCGCTTGTATGGCTTTGGATGGGGCTTAACAGGCTAGGAATCCCTAGGATGGGCCGTGAAAACCTAGTGAAACCTAGTATGGAGAGCAAAAGGCTAGTACAACCTAGTGTGGTATTTAACAGGGTGTTATCATCCATTTACATCAGTTGGTAGCCTATCGCCAGTCTAGCATGCCTGTACTAGGATAGGATTCAGCTGTTGTGGTTCACCAATAATTTTTTTCGTTGTCAAATCATATTGACAAATGTTTAGGACCGTGCCTACGGCACTCAACATTGAAAAAGTATTCTAGATTTTATTGAGAAACATACTAACAACTACTATGACTAAATCCATTGTCGTTGTCGTGGTTGGTCATTGTTGTTGTTGTTGTAGTCGTCGTTCATCGTTGTCGTTGGCGGTCATGGTTCGTTGTCGGGGAGACATTCATCATCGTTGGTGGTGGTCGTTGTCATTTGTTGTCCTTCTTCGTCATTCGTTGTCCAAAGTCGTTGTTGTTCATCCTTGGTCGGTCGCCACGTCGCCGTCAGTAGGAGATGGGTAAGGGAGTCATGATGTTCACCCAGAATAATGTGGACAGTGACGACGCCTTTTGTCGTCACTGTCCGTCGCCCCTGCTTCTGGTGTGAAAAAAGGAGAGGGAGGGAAGTCATGTTGCTACTCACCTGAATTATAATATGCCCTCGTCGTCGGCTCGTAGCCATCCCGTGTCCTCGTCCTGCCATGTTTTCCTCGTCGCGTCGTCATTGTCCCACATCATCGTTCCGTCGTTGTCCTGAGTCTCAGCGAGGTGGGTTGGGAAGAACGTAGGACGGGGGACTTACCTTGGTGTCTTGAAATACACAACGACGACGAACGACAATGTTGTTCGTCGTCGTTTGGTTGACACGTCGCTGTCGACGACGTGACACCTGGATTCCGTGTTAGAGAGATGAGTGGTGGGGGTGAGGTAAGCTTACCGTGTCCTCCTCGCCGCGTCGTTGTCGTTTCACGTTGTTGTTCCGTCGTCGTCCTGTGTCTCAGCGAGGTGGGTGACGAACATAGGACGGGTACTGTGGTGTGAAGTAAAGCGATGTAGAGGGTACGTCGGACTTTGGCCAGAGTTCAATCTTTTGATCACATGACACTCATCAACAGATCTCGCTGAAACTGTTACTTTGCTCTCCAATTGCTCTCTGTTCTTGACCATCACCACCACCACTTTGTGCTCGTCGTTCCCCCTTCTTCCTCTCCCCCTTCTTACCCTCCACTGCCGCTACAACGACAACTGGCAGTAATGATGGCTTGGGGCTTCTCCCAGGCTCTGAGCATTGTTATGCTACAGCACTCGTTGCCGATCGGTCAGCGACACTGTATGCAGCGCCTCACGATAATCATGCGGTAATTATTGGGTTGATCAATTGTCGGACGAGGCTTGGATGGGAACAAGGGGGGAGCACAATTTTAATTTAATATATCATGTTGATTTTTTTGGTAAGGCCAATATGGCTGGACTAACCAACCAGGCGTGGGAACAACCTTCCATATATAGGTAAAATCTATAAATAGTAACATGTTTTGGGATGTCAGCCGCCATCTTATCCTTCATTTGCCACCCCTTCCTCTGCTTTTCTTCATGCTCTTACATGGGTCACAAACCCAGTCATTGATACCAAGATCCACTGGCAGTCCAACCCTTGAAAAGTGGTACTGCATAGTCAGTGGTCAGGCTGAAATGACATGAAAAGAAAATGACCTACCCACAATGTCTCGCAGCCTTTTTGCCTGCAGATAATTACTTTGCTTTCGTCCTCAATCAACTGCATCTATACTCTCACCACAATCACAATGTGGACAGATAACAGTTTTATCATCTCAAATATTATCCTCAATCTATATCATATACCAGGCTTCTTGGATCACAATTCACGAGTGAGAATAGCATAAGTACTGCACTTGGTAAGTGAGGACAGCTTGCAAAATGCCTCAGACAGCACACTGAGCTCATCCGACCCATAAATTACCTGAAATTGGTACTTAAAATAAAAAAATTTAACAGCCTGCCGGCCAGACTAACCAACCGACCCCATATGGCAGATTCAAATCCTGCTCCCCCCTTGGATGGGAAACTCGATTGTTCACCAGTAAGTAAATCCTATCACCTGGACGCGCATATATGCGGAGTGTTACACAGTTCTGATCTTCACTGTCCCGCTAGCCTCCATTCTACCCTGACAGCAATCCTTTTTTATATATGGAATATTAGCCAGGTGGGGTGCGATTGGTTCTGCGCTCTCGCCTAACACGCTCAGCGATAATACGAAACCTCGTCCGCACACCTGTCCTTTTATCACCCCTTCTGACCGCCATGCATTCAGACTGCGCGAGTCATTTCGGTGTCGTTTGACCCCCTGGACACGCATATACGCACCCATTTGGGGTTCCGACACTGAGTGGTTCAGTTCTTAGCGCCTCTTCTGACGCGCGCGCCACGGATCGCTCAAATTACCCTGATCTTGCCCAGAAAATGTGAGTCTCAACTTCTAGCCCATCATTTTCTAACAAGGCCCCATATCAGTATTTCCCCAAACATGGAATGTTAGTCAATCTCTGTGTTTCGTTTAACGCACGTTAAGAAAGGCATGCTGGTAAGCCATTTTCCTTTCCTTTCAATGCTGCTTACTGCGTATGTCTAATATTTCTGTTTGCAGTTTTTTTGGTCGGTTGGTCATCGCAGTCGAAGTCGCCCTGTCTACACGCGCGGCCGCAGCCATGGGTGTAACTCCTCACACACCACCATCAACAACGACGACTTGACCTCTCTCCTCGCCAAGGCCCACCTAACAGGGATGTCGGCCGTCATTCTCGTGATCCTCCCACTTCGGCTCCTCAAGAAACACATACCAGTGTGCGCCAACGGAGGCGAATTCATCATCGCAGGTCGAGTACAAACCGTGATGATGATCGTTTACTACGCATGCGTCTGCCATCGAAGCGGACGACACCGTCAACATCCCCTATGAGTGCAATGAGATGGGAAAAGGCCAGAACCGTCGTTAACAGTGACTAAAGGTCTGCCCCTCTCTTCTCTTCCATTCAACGCTGACTTTATTCATTGATCTTTTAGCGTGCCGCTTTTTTTTTGTGCACGCCGCTCACCTACTCACATTATCTCAGCGTCTCCATACAGGTACGCATTTTTCTTGCTCTCCATCGTTCAAGTCTTGTCTCGACTTCCCCGTGCTTTTCCTTGCTGCCTGCCATTCTTTTGTCTTTTCCGGACTTTGTATCAGATATTACAAGAAATACATGATTTATTTGCCTGTATTCATATGAAGTGATCGGAATTCTAGGATAAGAACAGAAATCTGGCTAAGATTGTATGGAAAGGGCTGGCAAGTATGGTCTAGTATGGCCTTGTATGGCGTCAGGATCTTGGACAGCCATGCAAGAAACCCGTACCATGCAAGGCCTATCACCTGGGATGTAAGCCGAGGTTCCAACCTTGGCCATGGAAGGGTGGCTAACCTTTCATGGCCTATTGGCGCCTCTCATGGCCATTTATGGCCTTACGTGGAACCCGAACTTTTGCTGATGATGGAGTTCTGCTTAGACTCCGCGGCGCATCAGTGCCATTCAGGGGTTATCACAGCTATAAATTAAGTTCTACAATTAGACGACTCTACTCCACAATCTTCTCATTCAATGGTTCAAGGAGCATGTCGTACTAATAAAGTATAGTACGCACACTTTGTTAACATTTTACAATTTGCAGTTTCAATACTACTTGAACATCTCTCGTGAAAGGCGGGGGAAGCAATTCTCTCCACCATGTTTCGGGAAGGGCGTATCTGAATGAATTAAAAAATCAAGGTCTACATATACATGTTGATGGCAGGGAATACTACTCATGGTAATTGATTGAATCAGGAATTAGAGAACGGGTTGCTCAGAAGCCGCCCCTATGAAGTTGTTCACCGCTCAGGTGGACCCCTTTTGTGTTGAATAACTACTCCGGATCCTTTGAATCTTTTGATGTGAACAAAAATTCAAATCAATTTGTTCAACACACTTTTAGCCAAGACGCAACCATGTGGGTGAAATGGTTACATTAATAACCCCCTAATCGTTAGGAAGACGCTGAGGCACCGGTTGCGGCGGGCCGTCTGAGATTAAAGTTGGAAATAAAAAAATGCGTGTCCCAAGTCCCTGGCCCTAACCCTAACTCATGTATCCGCAACAGACTCCTTTTCCAAAAATGGATCGATCTCTGGTCTCGTGAGCTGGTAATCCATCATCAAACGTTTCAACATGGATCGGTGATGAAATTGCAAGTGATAGTCGTCCTCTTAACACTTCTTGCATGCCCTCGGAATCATATCCCATCACCCTTGTCGACTTCGTCGTCCTCAATAGCCAACAAGGCGGTCCGACACTGTCTCGCCTTTCTCTTCACCAGGATGAAGGTCACTCTTGCGAACACAACTGGGGCCCTGGAGATAGCCATATCGATATCCTTGTTCCTATTTGGCCTCGTTACGATGCAGGTGTATCGATATTACCAGCTGTTTCCCGACGATAATCGATTTTACAAGTATTTTGTATGTGTTCATTCGAATCTTGTGACACATGGAGTTGCTAAGCGATACTCTTTCTTCCTTCTGAATGCAAGGTCGCCATAGTGTGGTGAGGCAATATTTCATTGCGTCCGTGGCTTAACCCTAACGATACTCAGGCTTTTTGAGCTGGGACATTCAATATCAGTCTCATACGAAGTCTATACGGCGACAACAAGTGAGGTTATTATTACGCGATTCATCGGGCTTGGGACGGCCCTTATTCTCAGTGCTGCAATCACCACAGCGGTTCAGGTGCGTCCGAATTGATTCTACGTGCAACGTAAAAGCACACTATATCCTGTCAGACATTCTTTTCGTTTCGTGTCTTCAAGCTCCTTCCTCGACCCTTCAATTACGTCGGCCTCTTAGGAATGTTTCTCGCTTTTTGGCGATGCGTAGGCAGCATTGTACTCGGTCGCTCGGCCATCTTGACGAGCGATGTGGTCGGTTGGCGGGAAGGTTGGTTTTGGCTCATCACTACCCTCTTCGTTTCTGGCGCTACTCTTGATGTCGTCATCGCGATTTCCATGGTCCTGTTCTTGGCAGACAAACGGCAAGCTGTGCTTTCAGGGTACGGGACAAATTTTCTGCTGAGAATTTGGTCAATAACAGTTTAACCTTAGTGCTGCTCGAGTACTCGACAAGCTTACGGCATTTACAGTTCGTGAGTGACAATCACTCGTTCGACTACTTATCCTCACAAAGACTACAGGGACTGGGCTACTCACTAGGTGCCATTGCCGTCAATTCGCGTCAGAAAATCCGAAAGCTAATCTTCCTCCAGCATGGCCGCTGTTACCGTGTTAATTTGCGTAAGTCCACCACTTCATCCATTTTGATTAGCGATTGGCTTAATCAAAAGTGGCCCAGTACCTTACAATGCCAGAAAATTGTAAGCCCCGTAGATCCGAAGTACCCCTGACCCCATTTGATGACTTATTTTCACAGTTATTTGGATGGCCGCATATACCATTCTCGCTAAGCGTTTGTGGCCACCCCCTTTTTCCAATTTCGCTCACCCATTGTTTCTCAGTATACTCAAATTCGCTCATGGCATCGCAAGTCAATTTTCGCTCAATACAATACCTTCCATTGACCACCATCTAGGTTGAATTCGCGTGAAGGTCTCAGAGGAGCCTTGCATGCCTCCCCTCTTGCTGAGTCGTCCTCGCAATCGTCTTGGAAACGAGGGATAGAATTACGGTCGGCCAAGGTTCGCCTTCAATCTTCCTTGCGCCAGGCTGACTAAACATACGTTCCCCCCACAGAGAAATGTTGAACAAACCAGTAGGAGTGGAGTCAGGACTGAGCTGGACATTACCAACAATAGCGACTCCGAACGGAAAGAGACTTGGGACACCGTGAGTCCTTCATTCCAACTCCAAATCTTTCCCACCACAATCGGTTGTAGGCACAAGCCGAGGAGTATGTTTTACCGGAGAAGATGGTATAATTTATTTTTATTGTGCGTCAAATTTTCACCCCTTCCCCTTCGCCCTTGAGTGAAACATTGTCATCTAGAAGCTATCTGTAATATTGTAGACCCCGCGGACATTCCTTTTGTTTTGCGGCATGAGTTTCGGACTTTGATTTTGTACTTCGTCCCCCATATACCTATCTCTTTGAACACGAGCATGAGTCATGGCTGGCCTACTTTTCGGTTTCAAAGAAGCTGGGATTTCTTTTGGAGTTGTTCGTTAGCGTATTTAGCGTGTAGAGATGTAACTTAATTATTGAGAAGGTGACTACTGATCGCCATCGCGATTGTCAAGGTCGACACGTTATGGCAACATGTTATGCCACAATAAATTCCTTGACTCACCCTTGCTTGCTACGACCCTTCTAGCTATAGCTTTATGTATCCGGCCTTGGCAATTGGTTCAACCGGGTGACAAACATCGTTTATCCACTCATCGTGACTCGGCCTACTCATGACTCATTATTTCGGTCTTGATGATCTGGGGATCCAAACTTTTTTTTTTTTTCTTACTCGGTAGATGCTACTTTGCAGTCATGACTAATTCTTTCTAATTGATTTGATTCCAAAGCCGTGGCTTGCGTTGTTACTGGCTACTTCTGATTTTTGTCGAAGTTCAATACTTATTTTGACAATCTGCGAACTTTTCAAACTCTTGTTTTTTTCTAACACCTCTTGGCATTTATGGTAAATGTGTTCTAAATCATCTACATAACTACGGATCTTTCAGATTTCCGAAGCTATCTTTCTTTATTGACAAACTGTTATTTATGTGGACATCATAGTTTCGTTCAACGGAATCATTTGCCAGTGGTGTTCGTTCGGCGAAATGAGCTTCGTCGATTCGTTAGGGCCACGCCACTCTATAAATTTAAACTTTCAAGTTTCTGGAAGCGAATGCGTGCATCTTAACACAAGATGTATATCATTTCAAGTGCTCGTACAAATGGATCCGAACAGATGCAAGTCAATGACAACACCATTACGGATTGGCGAAAGGCATAATTCTCCGTATCAGAGGCATACTCTTCAAGAGCGGGTAGATGGCCAAATAAATAGCCGTCAGCACGGAGGTGGGAAGGGAAGGTGAGGGAGTAAGGGGCAGGTGGAAACGGGTCAACATAATCAATCAAATCAAACGTGTCGAGACTGGCTCGTCATCTATGATTAAGATACCAACCCAAAATCACTGAGCGCGTTGTGAGCGCGCGCAGCTAAGACCTTACACGTTTTACGATGACGCGTCAGACCATGTAGCAGGCCAAACGGACGGGTGCACGCTGAGCACACATGTTGTTTAACGCCGTAGTGTGACGCGTAATGGTCTAGTGGTGCATCTCGCTCGTTAGAAAATCAAACAAATAGGGAGAATACGGTAATGACGTTGAACATACTCTTGAGATTCTGTTTAGTGGTGAAATCGTGACCGCACCCAGCGATGACGCAGAAGAACTTGGCTTCGTGCCTTCGAATCTTCCGCTTTGCGGATGCGAGGGCCGGAGAACCAACGTGAAGGCGGAGGGGAGGCATCATTTCTGAGGGTCTTTGGATTCTGTGAGGGGAAGGGAGATCATCTGGCAAGAGGAGGTATGGTACATTGGGAGCTCGAGCAGAAAGGTCCTGCCAGGGAGGTGATTCAAGGACGTCATGATGGGCAGTGGTCCTCTCCTGAGTCGAAGTTACGTGTGCGGCGGAGGAATACGAGTCGAATGGCACATACACATCAACCGTGGGCTCGGGAATAATAAGATAATTATTAAAACAAGGCATAGGATTTCCAGTCTGCAATACCGGCACGTCAGTATTCATTTCATCGATATCTGTGTTAAGATTCAGGAAAAGAGGGGAGGAATATTGAGCCCAGCCCGGAGTGGAGTTTGGGGCATTTCCGTCGCTTGGCTCGAATGGATCTTGTTCATTTTCGGTTAGACCGATCAGCAGTCGAGGTCAGCTGTGGCTCACCAGTCACGCCAGCTGGTGTAGCCTGGATTACATCGTCGCTATGACATAGTTAGCATTGGGACTCCTTCAAGAAATTGAGGCCAGAGTAACTCGCGACATAGTAGAAAACTGTTTGAAGCGTTCCGCGCCCTGGGTTGAGCTTGCAACGCCTCTCCCAAGGACAGCTGGTTATCCGACAGATTGCGGATCCTAATGAGGGGACCTAGCTTACATGGTGTGAGAATACACGCAACTGAGCCCATATCGCTGACAATTTCCACATCCCGCAAGCCACCCATCACATTGGATCCGATACCCTAAGAAAATATGATTAACAAAGAAGAGGGGACAAAACGATTTACTACTTCGACAAAGTTGACAAGCGACCTGCGTCCATTGGGCGAAATCCCATAGGACATAGGAAGGAGACTGATTAACTACCTTAACCAAGAATCAACTCAAACTCAATGGTCACAGGCAAACCGACTCACCCTTTCATGGTCACGTTGCAGTTGCATGGGCGGTGCGATGGATACGTCGTTTGGATGGATGGAAGGTAGGAAGGGCAAGAGGCCAGCGCCACCCAGTCGAGCTTGACTGCGGGCTTATATGGATCGGCGCTAATTGTGGTGGAAGTAAGTTCCGAAAGATGTATAGATAGGAAAGGGTTCGCCGTGCGGCCGGAGTTGGCTTTGAGAGATAAAGCCAATTGATACTTATGATAAAGAAACGCGACAAACACGTTCCCGAGAAATGACAGTTGTTGTACCGTGTACGTGTTGAATACGGGAGAACCATCAAAACACAGAACACAGGATTGACGCCAAGAACTCGAAGAGAGAACATATCAACGACAGAAATTGACCAACCCCGCATGTGATGCAATCAAAAATTGAGAGAGTATGTGGGGAGTTATTCAAAGCCGGCGAAAATATCGAGGGCACTGGCCGCCAGTCATTCACTGAGCTAAGGTATCCCAGAAGTTCACTTGTCATTGGATGTAGCGCCTTGACCTGCATGAAAGCTTAGCTGACATACCTAGACATAAATGGTACATCTCGTGATAATTATCCCGTAGGCATGGCTACGTGTAACATGGGCGTTTGCTGGCTCAAGCGCCTCACGGTTGTGCTAGCCCATTCATAGAATAGACACTGCCAGTGGACGTCTTGATCATTGTCGGAACGCGTAGGGATGGAACCCTCCACCGGAACAAGGCGGGAGAGTCACCGGTCTTCACCTATCTCATTACAAAAGTTGATGACATCACATCTGCGTCTATGTATACCGCTGATAAGTAATCGTTGGCAAAGGCGTCCAAGGTCGACCATTGTTATACTTTGACTCCAAGTCTGGGTGCTTGTTTGCATCTTGAAGAGGTTTAATCCAGTCGGCAGGTTTCATATGACAGGGAGGGTTGACTCGTGACATTATGTTGGGAACATATATGAAATTGACCTCAAGCTTGAGGCCATGAGGCCTGGACCGCAGTGGTTGTCAACGATCCCGCACCCCGTTAATGACGGACGGATCGTCTTCGAGCCAGCCATCCATCATGTCATGTGTTCTTCATATAGGAAAGAAGTAGTGTGATCCCTGAATTACTTCCCGTTTAATGTAAGGTCTAAAAGACATACGTCAATCATGATGATGATTTCTTGTTCCTCATGCGATGGTCGAGCTCTTTAGACTGTGGGGATGGCTGAGTGCAGCCCCTGAGTTCAGAGTGACGACTGATTCGGCTCTGATATTTTTCTCACATTGATGGGGGGAGAGGGGAGAGGGGCGAAATATGTTTTCAGCGGAGGTTTAGAATGTTGGAGGCTAGGAGAGCTGAAGGGTTTGTCCGATTGTGAGACTTGTTGACGTCGGTCGACGAGGTGATAGAAAGGCGGACGAACCTAGAGTACACTAATCACGCAAAGTTGCTTGGTAAGATTAAGTAGTAAAAGAGACGAACATTTCTTTTGGATACCAATCCGATCTTTCCGCAACGCTTTTCCGCCTGCCACATATAGGCGCCTTCCTTCCTTTCCTCCGCCAGAGAGAAAGTCCGTGTTAACACTAGCTCGGGACACCGCATGCATTTGCGGCTGTCTATTTGAAGGTCAAATATATCTCCATTTTTGCGTGTTACGTACCGACGCAATACAATCATGCAAAGAAATGCCCCCCTTGTGTAGGCTCCCGCGTCTCCAAGTCGAACGCGACTTTAGATAAAAACGATCGGGGGACCCACGAGGCGGCTTGAGGATTAGTTCCCGAATCCGGAATCCGAATTCAAAATCAAGAACCTGCCGGGGCTCCCGCCAATCCACGTCAATGACAATAAGGAGGAAATTGATGGACTTGGAGGTGCTCTTCCTATTGAGGTAAAGCACCGAAGTACATATCCATTTGTCGATTGAGGCGTGAAAGTTTTGAGGAGAACCCTTGTAGGCCCACCGCGAGAATCGAACTCCCAGAACCGATTTTCCAATTGCGCTCAATTCCGTCTTTGGTGCCACCCAGAAAAGTGCATACGCACCCACGGTATCAAAGTTCCCTATGACCCAGTTAGAAGGCTCGAACAAGGCGAAAACCCTCAAAACGCATACCTCTACCTCCCAGACTCATTCCTGTTGCCCAGCCCAACCCCTGCGATCTCAGTTGTATCTCAGGCTTGGAGCGGGGGATTATTGGCAATTGGGCCAAGCTAACTGATGTTAGACTCAAAGAACGAATGACAAGGAAGAACCAGCCTTACGTTCGAACGGACAAACAACGCACCACCTGTATGGAACGACGGTATCGAAACCAAGAAGGTTCGCCCGCATTTATTGTGTCAACATTGCTGATGGCTCCTCGGTAAACCTTGTAACCCTTTAAGATAAGTACACTCCATCGTCCTGGACAATAACCGGGAATCAGAACCCAAAACTTGAACGGAGGAGAACACTTACCCGGAACCTGAACGTCACTCACAAGCTCCATGTCGCCCACACTCCTCCCCACTGAGGGTGGAGCACCGACGACGCGCACAGTGATGCTGAGAGCAAATGCGACGCCGGAATTTAAAATCGGGGGCTCTGAAGTGAGCTCGAGCATTTGTGTATGATTGGTGGCAATGGAACGTACGAAAAGCGATCGAGTCCCAGCTCCATCGTACATACCAGCAATACTCATCTAGAAAACATCCACGGGCTATCCTTCTCCCTCCGAAGCACTTGCCCCACTGCCGGTGTCGTCCAGGGCAACGATATGTAACGTTAACGTTCCAAACGCCAAAAATTCCTCATTTCCGCCTTGGTGGGTGGAAGAAGAGGTGCGAGGGATGATGGTACTAGCCTGGTACAAGCAGTTGGAACTGCCGTGTTCAGGAGAACCTTTTTTGCAACCGTGCGAAACCTGACAAATAGTTTCTGCACGATGATCCACCTCAGTGTCAATTTCCGAGATACGTCCTTAACCCATTCCGAACAACGTATGGGCCGAAAGATGATATATATATAGCCGCTTTCTTCCGCGTCTTTGCGTCATTTTTTGGTCATTTTGTATTGAGTTTCTCAAAGTGTGTGGATAATGCGCGGTGAGGTAGGGGGCAAGCAAGAGCTTGGGAAGACTCAATGAGTGATTATACATTCACGCAAGTGAACAATGTCAAACCTCAAGCAACCTCAAGTGCGGCGCTTCGAAGCGGTTTGCGTTTGATTGACTCATTACTCGCTCTGCCAAACGCTCTCTAGCTACTTCGCAGTGCTTGATGAGAAAATCGACCTTACATTTTCAAAGTAACCCCGAGAGCTCCATGATCTCCGGGCGGCACCTCCTCCCCATTATCGTACAATTATCGTATCAGGAGTCTTGTGAACTTTGGCGCAATCGCCAAAATTCATGGCAGAGATGAGTCAGGATACTAACCAAATTCCGTGAACGCGAGATAATTCAGAGATGATTGTCCAAAAGTTTGGAAACCGTAAACTGCGAACCCAAGGGGATCGGATATTCAAGTGGAAGAAGCGACACAGAGTTTGAGAGCTGCGGCGCGTCGGGAAAGATAAGATAATCAAATCTATGTAATAGCCAGCGATTTAATGAACGTCGATTTCAGATTAGGACAACATACACAAGAGGAGAGCAATGGGGAAGGCAGTTACAGTAAATTGGCTTGAAATGGTTGTGAAATGGGCACGGATGATGAATTTATATTTAGCTCAGGCTCGCGTGTGGGCCGTCACATGACGTATTAGATGACGTGGATTTGTCACACAAACTCGCATCAGGCAACTCGAACTTCGAAGTCGCTCCTCAATATTCAAAGCGAAACGCCAGAACTACAGCAAGCATGGCTTCAAAACTTCAAACTCCCTCCTTTTATGTAAGCAACGCCGAGTGTATTTTAATTAGAGACATTCAGATCTGCACGTGGAGGTGAGACCTTTTGTCAGTCGCCCGAACTGCTTAGTCTTCTACTATTTTTTAGGGAAAAGCCATGCTGTGAGCGCCAGCACTTTAGCTCTAGCGAACCACGATGTCGGTGTCCACCAACGAAACACTTCCAGTCAGCGACTTCCGTCCCAGTGCGAAGAAAAATGAGTCCGAGGGCACGTCGTCGGCGTCGTCCTCGGGCCAACCTCGTTCTTCCCCCGAAAAGCCGTTCACCAGAACCTTCTTCCAACGCAACGATCCCCAGATGGCTCGAGCGCGCGTCATCTATATAAAGGGTTATATTGGTGGCACGGTTTTGGTTATCGTGACGATATTTGCCGTTTTCTCCATATATTGGGGCGCCTTGTGGAGGGTCCCTTGCCGGCCGCTGGAGACTTGGGTTGTGGTGAGCATAGTTTGCCCTCCAATCTGATGTCACTAACGTTCATATCAGGATTTCGATGGTGGCATCGTCGGCCTCTCAGTTGTTCAAACTTTATCTGCAATGTCTAGTAACGACATTCAGTGGGCTACCATTCCTGCAAGTCAATTCCCTGAGGGAATCGATCAACTTGCCCATGAAATCGTTGACGAAGCAGCATGGGCCGCCGTTGCGAGTATGTCGCAATTTACCCATTTTCACATCGTCTAATCTCTTTCAAGTCAACAGTGGGTCTTCGCGGGCTCTGGAGGCTTCTTTGTTAAACCCAAATGCTTCCTACGACTCATCAAGCGTCATGACACTCTTAGCGGATGAGGGACGAAATGAAAATGCCTAGTACGCTGACCCTTCTCATTTCTCTTACATTTCTTACCAAGTGTGGTAGTCGAAATTTGATCCGACCGACCGTACGTCGTCTCCTTTCCTCTTTTACATCTCCTGATGTTTTCTAGGCTCAAAACCAATTAGATGCCACCTCAACTATCTTCGCCGCCCAGTTCGCCAGACAAATAGCGAATTTATCAACTTTACCACAACTGATGGCAACGTCTCCTCAAACAGTCGTCAAACCTATATCCTATACGATTAACAACCTAGTCCCATTTGCCCAGCCTGTGTACGGAAGACCGTTCGTTTTCCGTCGTTGACACAGCTAACTCATTTCAGTGCGACTGCCGCGACGTTCGTTGGTCTCATCTATGTTCTAATTCTATCTTTCTTCATAGTTGTGAGCGATCAGCTGTCTCCTGGCAAAGACTTCGACGTATTGATCCTGACTCTTATACAAAAGATGATTGGTTGGGGTGCTCGTGAAGTATCCGGCTTAGAAAGGACCTTGACATACCGCTCCCTTGTCACCTTGCGTTTGATCTCCTGCTTCATAGATTACTTTTTCGTCGCCGTAAGTACAATCTCTAATTTACCCAAAACGTACTAACTCCACAATCCAGCTCTTCTATTCTCTTTTAAATCTCGCATTCAAACTTGACGTCTTCCGAAAGCAAGCACCCTGAGTTACGCAAACTCTACGGAATCTAATGTTACACCTCAGGTTCCATCGTGCCGGATTCGTGATATTTTGGATGTTAGGGTGGGTGGGGATGCTCGCAGTGTGCGCTCGTGGCTTCTCAGTGGTATATGTAATCTAAAAGGCTTACCTCTCGCAGCGGTCTAGCCCTGGAATCTGTCATAACTATTCTGAAGCCTCGTTTCATCCCGTTCTTCATGATCTTATGGGTCATCGGTACGGCCCGTTAAACTCGTTGACGCCTTCTAACTTCTTCTCCCCAGCCAATGTGTCTGTGTGCGTCTACCCAATCGACACTCTTCCAAGATTATATCGATATGGATACGCGGCACCATTCTATAACATTTCACGATCAATAAGAACTATCGCCTTTGGCACCAAAAATAATCGTGCGTTACCATATTCTCCCCAATGAAGGGCAAATTTAACATCATGTGGACCAGTGGCGCTTAATTTTGGTGTTTTGATTGTTTGGGTGGCAATTTCGTGTGTGACGCTCCCTGTCTTCCAGTGGTATGCCCGACGGAAGCAGATGGCGGAGGTAGAGGAGGCTTCTAAGCCCCGTGAGGTTCAGGCTTGATGGCTGTTTTTTTTTTGTCGACGATGTTCGCAACTTGTACGTAGTACATATTACATATGTTCCTATGTGCCACACAGACAACGAAAATCCAGGACACAACTGGCCAACTTAGAAAAGAAATGGTCATCAATCTGAGTGGGAACGAAGGTAAGCTTGCCGTTTGAATTCCGTCGCATCACCATTATAAGGATTCGGGCCAGAGTCTGCGTACTTCCCAGAACGTCGTGAAGCTTGCCGGGTCGCGAGTGAGTCAACTCGGGAACAACATGGAAAGAAACACACTACCATCCCGCAGGCAAGGTTCCGATGCTTGCAAGCGGGTAGTACGCAATCCAGAGGGGATCGGTACAACCAAATACAGTGCGGTTCCCTCTACATGTCGTCCACCAATCAGTCGTAGTACTGTTGGAAGGTCTGAGATTTAGCGCGTTGATAACTGCAGACCAAATCTACTCGGTACCTAAAAAGCACAGTTTAGGTGTTGAATTTACAGGGTACTGGCGGCTTGATAAGTATTTGAGAAGATTGTAATTCAGAAGACCATTGCAGCATGACTTAACCGTAACACTCGGGATTATCTGAACAATATTTTCGTCAGCTGGATAATGAGTACAGGTGCTCAATCATACGACACATATACTCGATATCAAGAACACCAGAAAGGGTTTTTAGTACCTAAATAGGTCAACGTGATAGAATGATTACTTAGTGGATAGACATTGTGCTTGTTGTTCCCCATCCATCAACCTTTGAGGGGGAAAAGGTCAGAATGAGGAGGTCATTAGGGGGCGGTCAAATTGATTCAGGACGTGCTTCGAAATACCACGTGCAAGCTTTCCGTCGACTGGTGGTGCGCGCACTGGCATCATCGGCGTCTCTACGACTGCAACCGAGGCCTCCAATGCCGTCCATCCTTGTCTGTCAACCTAATATTATGTGTTGCCAGATGTTCGGCCCACCTAGGCCAGACACTCTTCTTTATCTCATGCCTATGAGTTGAGCGTGAGTTAATCAGACATTGATTTGGGCGAACGAAGGAATCGCCACGTACTCGAGGGTCGGCCACTCGCAAAAGTCTACCTGTATTTCTTGGAGAACAGGAAAATTCTTCTTGGCGTCGATGGCTTCAAAGAAACTGGCGTGAATTTTATGGTCGAATCTGCAATACTCGGAGTTAGTTCTCAGGATAATGGGTATTCGAAAGTATCAAACCTCTTGTAATTGATAGCTGGATTCTTCAGCAAGACGATCTTTGTGAGCTTCAACTGTTTGAATTGGCTGGCAGGATTGAGGAGACCCTGAGTCTGTAAAATTGTTATTTGAACATCAAAAGAAAGCGCGAAACTATACACACATTTTTGAACACCCTCATAGTCAAAGAGACCAAGTTTGGACAAAGATCGAAGACGGAGAGGTTCTCTGCTTTCACTTCATGCTCTAGTTCAATGTCCAGGACACGTAGTTTGGAACCATGCGATTCCAGAAAGAGCAATGCTTTACCCTTCGACGACGGAAGGGACATGGTATGCAACATCGGTAATCTAAAAACAGTCAGCCACACCCAGTTCACAACCGCTCGTAAGACGTACTTCATCACTGAGAGCACCTTTAAGCACGAAGGAGAGGCCGCCATCAGCTCAAGGTGCTCCAGATTCGGAAGATTATCTCGGTTAATGTTCTTCGGACTCTCCGAGAATTCAACCAGAACCGCGCCTGCAAGGATGCGAAGCGCAGAAAACTTGGAGAAGACGGACGGGTTCTGCCGTTTCTTTGTCGGACTCTCGATATGAAGGTTACGAAGGGAAACGATGGTTGGACCACTGGCTGACGCCATAGATTCGAATACATCCCAACGAATGCGCGTACAGTATCTGGCACCGCCTAAACCAATCACGCGAACAACTGCCATCTTGTTCTGGTGGGCGACTGCGCCATCTTCGAAAGTTTGCTGAAGAGTATCTTGTATATCATCTTGAGGATAGAAGGTATAACCCGACATGTACAGAGCTCGGAGGCGCGTTCGCAGAGACGGGTCCTCCTTGAGGCGGGCAGCAAAGCCACGTATTGAGTCCATGCCTCTAAAGATGGGATACGCGTATAGATATGGCTCGACCAGCGTCTGCACAATTATCAGGAGTGTTCGATAGAGGTTATGGAGAGAAGTATTAGACGGTTTCGAGACTTACTTTGAAGTATTTCGAGACACGACAAAGCGCAAAACGTGTTTTGTTCCATGTTAAGGAATCACCTGATGTCGGTAGGCGCTCATCTTCGAGGGCATTGATTCCAATCGCGAACTGAATGACCAAATCCCAGACGCGATCACGCAAGTCTTGCGATACGTGCAAAAGGGGCGTTACGCGCATGGGACTAAAGGTGAAGTTGCTAGGTATCAAGGTGGGGCCCAGACTTGAGTCATTTGATGGTTCAAACTCCATAGACGAACGTGAGCCTCTGCTGCAAACCCGTGAGAATGGAGGCATCCTAACGGAGGAGAGAAATTCACTGACGGTGAGACCTCTTCGAAGACCACCAGACTCTGTAACCTTGGAAGCTGTTGGAGCTGAGATAGAAAGGACGCGAAGGTTGTCGGTAGTAAGTGGATAGACTCGAGGGTGGTGCTGTCGCCAAGGATCCGAAGCCATGAAGGGACGGAATAGTAAGTCCTGGTGAGTGCATTGACAGTTTTGAGGGATTTCGAGACAACCAAGGATTGTGCAAGTGAGTCCGCACGAAGGGCGGCACGGTGATCTGAAAGATATGGTAGATCAACCGTGGTCTGGTGCAAAACCATAAGTTCTACGAGAGCTCAGAGAGTGAATACACATACCAGTTTCGTCCATTTCTCCAAACAATTGCGTAGCGTCTCGGCGAGCTTGAACACCTGGGCATTCCGAGCCTCGTACCTAGAATCATGCAACGTAACGTGCGACGGGTTGATACTCGAAAGCGAAAGGCACAAGCCAGATACGTTCCCCTCGGACCTCAAAGCCAATGTAATCCACAGGTGCGCGATGTTCGGCGAGGCCTGGATAATCGTCTTCATTGCTCCCCCATACCCTCCCTCCACGCGCAGCTTCTTGATGAATAGACCAAATGATTTGTTACTTTTCAGTGCACGCTCTAAGGCTTTGGCCTGAGCATTGGACCGAAGGACGACGACACGATAGAGCAAGGGGGTGGAGACGCGCAGCCAGCTCTTGCAGACTTCCAGGACAACCGACGACGATAGGGGAGAAAGGGAAAAAGGAGATTTTGCGAGCTCAGAAGAGTCTAGAAACTTTTCTTCAGATACGTCAAGCAGCGGTGACAATATCTCTTTTAGAAGCTCATCAGGGAGTTGTTCCGCCATCGTGCGATGACGGAATACATAGTGATGACGGAGCTAACTATTTCGTTCTATAATATTCTTCCCACGAAACGTGTCCGCGTCACAAACTCGATTCCCGCATCTGAAGGACACTTTCTATGAGATTTCAAACGGTGCTTGCGTTGCTGAGGAATCTTTTTTCTTTGTGAGTCATCGATCATCGATCATCACCGGCACCTCCCTGAACGTCCATCGTGGCATATCGTTCTTCAGATTTGGCGCCAAAGCTCATGCACAGACTTCGTCATCAACAGTCCCTTTTCCGATGTACAAAGTAATATTTACGGATTGCGATTGATGACCTGGTTTCTTACCGATGAATATACAGGAAAGGGCTATACAGCGTCCCGATCTCCCTGACCAAGCCTACGAGAACCTGCTGGATCAAATCCCCGTTGAGATTTTGGGCGACATTTTCCTACAATGTCTTCCACCCATCACTAGTCGTCCTCGAAGAACGACCGCACCTCTTCTGCTCTGTCAGGTCTCTCGCCACTGGAGGCAGGTCGCCGTTTCGCTACCCTCACTCTGGTCGACTGTTGCTATCGAGTGCTTTGGCTGGGGTCGCTGTCGTATGAAAGCGGAGCTGTTACACGTGTGGTTGAAAAGATCTGCGGAAGTGCCACTGGACATCTCAGTTGAGGTCAAAATTGGGGAATTTGTACATGAGAACCTTCCACATCTATCCGAGATCATGCGGGCCATTGTCGCGCAGATGCACCGTTGGAAATTCCTGCGTCTTATAAGAGTTCCATCCAATCTATTGATGGATCTGCCCAGCACGGGCGCTCCTTTACTTCGGGAGGCCATTGTTCAGATTCATTCGGGTTATTCGGGCGCTCCTCAGGATCTCGCACTCCTCTTCCAAAACTCGCCACTCCTTCACTCTCTGACGTGGCAGCTTGGACCATACTCAGCTTTTCAACTCTTCCCAATACTTCCTTGGTTCAAGCTCTCCTTTATCCATTTCGAGTGCCTTCTCTCTATCGCCAATTGTTACGATATCCTCAGCCGTTCTCCTAATCTTCAATCCTGTTACTTTGAAAGCGTGTCAGTAAACACGCCAGATTTACGTCAATTGTCAACTTCCCCCATTATCCTCGCCTTCCTTCACTCATTCCGCATTGAAGCAAGCGTCAACATCCTCCCTCTCCTCCGCACCCTGACCTTCCCAGTACTGTCATCCCTTGTGATCGAATCGACGGGACTGCATTCCCGCGCTGCCGCCCACATAACATCTGAGATCCCCAACCTTCTCCACCGCTCCAACTCACCGCCGCTCCAAACATTTGTGCTAGAGAACTTTGGCGTCGAAGAGAAAGAGCTCATTGAATGCCTCATCCTCTCTCCCAAATTAGAGGCCCTCGTAGTGTGCGATGAGTCGACGAGAAGGCCGAATCTTACCGACAAAGTGATTCGTGCACTCGCAGTGCGAAAGGAATATGATGATGACACCATGCTCTGTCCCGAACTCAAGATTCTCAAATTGACGGGGCGCGTTCAGTCGACGGATGGAGAATTTGTGAACATGATTAGGCAGAGATGGAAAGAAACGGCGGTGGTCAATGGAGTTGCGTGTTTAAAGGAAGTTCAGGTGGAATTTGGATCTCAGGGACAAACACATGAGCTTGACATTAGTGGGTTGAAACAACTACGTTCAGATGGCCTCCTTGCTCGGGCGTTTTTTGATTGACTTCAGCCTTCGGTGCTGGTGCAGCCGTTGGGCAGTCTAATTTACGTTCGGTTTCAGATGATTTAAGTTTTACATATCTAGATATGCTAAACATCTTACTCGTAACCATTCTTTCTTTATGATTAAACTCCTTGAATCACCTTCTCCAACTGACATAAAAAGCTGTGCAATGTAATTTACTTGTGTTTGGGCTTCTGCAAGTGTTGTAAACAAGGACAATTAAAGGACAATTGTCAATGTCATCACGCTGCACAGCCTAAAGCTCGAACGCTTCACCAGAAATCGGCTCTTTCTGGGAATGGGATTAAGGCAACGAATACCTGGGACTTGCATGAGATTATCGTTCCTTAATCACAGCGCATTCAGAACTTTGACAAACGCGAGGACTTTCATCTTCGCATGATCGTGTCGCAAGCCAACCAATCGTGAGACCGTTTTTGCAGTCTCTTCTCTTGCGCGCGGCGTTGCCGCCCAAGCCGGGCCGGACAACAACCTACAACAACGACTCTATCCTTCATACAGATAATCTGCGGTGGAAAGCGACCTCAAAAGGTCGATTTACTAGTCTCAAACACACGACGAAGAACGTTCTGGTGGTCGTTCTGCAGTGTATTTTGAATCTCCGACGGTCCGTCGGGCCGACCACCACAACGGATGGGAACGAGACTACGATTACAACCTAACCATTCATACTAGTCTCTCGTAGACAGACTTCGATATATGTGAAGTCGTACCTTGGTTCACGATATATGAAGTCTGTTTGTTACCACGCCCCCAAAACCGCGCTAGAAAATGTTTATGTAATCTTCGGACTTTAAAACCGCGTCGCGTCAATATTGCGTCCTTGCCTTTTGCTCTCGACGCGATAACCCATGCATTTCTGTTCCAATTCACATCAAACTTGATATTCTACATCTTGTATGATCTCCAATCTATTATGACGACTCAATGACAGCTCGACAACCCCGCCAGAAGAACGTGATACGATCAATACCATTGTGAAGAAACCCATACCGAATTGGACGAACGGACTGGATGCGATCCAACTTGAGCTCGTTTCCGCTATTCTGGATGGAAAAGGTTTGCTTTGCTGTACCGCAGCTGGAGATGGAGAGTCGGCGGCCTCTCAATACCAACTCTTGTGCTACAACAAACACCTGAACGCGCATGTACCTGGCCTTCAAACTCGGAAGAGACCAATCGGAGTGGTAGTCACACCAACCAAGGGACTGACAGATAACATAGTACGCTTATTTTCCATCTTTTGTTGTTACACTCACAAATTTCGGGCTAGGTTCACGAGCTTTCACAAAACTTCTCATCATCTCCGGATTCTCTTACTGCAAAGAAGCCCTGTTGGAGGCGCCGCTTCTTTGTAATCAAGCACCATTTTTGCGTGAGGCAGCCATAGACTCGGTGAGATAGCAAGAAACAGGCGCGCGCATCTTGTACTTCTCACAAAGTTAAGCAATGCTAAATTTCCCCAAGTCTTCCAAGTAACCAGTCTAACGCTATCCTCTGGGCGTCGGCCACACAGGTCAAATGCGACTAGCCGATTCAAGTTGTTTAGCTGCTTTTGACCATGGCCTTGAAGCTTGATTAGCGAGAAAGAACACAAGCGCACCGCTTGTGAGAATATTTGAGGCTGATAATTTCGAACATTTTCGTCATTGTTTTTCCTTGAAGGAATTGAATATTGAGCGACGGCCAGAACAGGATCTCCAGAAAACCTCGGATAGAGTCAATCCCCGAGTTGCCTAGAAACCCTTACATTCGTTTAAACCTTCCCTCTAGCTTCGCCTTTTCATTTCGTCGAGGCTGAATTAACCTTGGTTGACTCGATGGGCCAAGCGCGTTGAACGGAGAACCGGGGGCAGCCAAGGAATTAGCGGATAACGAGGCCGAAAGACAATCAGGAAACAATGTGAGGAGTGATTTTACTGCAGGACTTGTGGAAATTGGTGTAGATTGTGATATGTTGGCGAAATGCAATTGGGTGTTGCTGGTACTTGAATTGCAGAGTTTTCCTGCACGACCGGACAATTCGAGCGTTGTTATCCATAGTAAGTATTAGTTGGAAGAAACTACAGTTGAATTTGAGGAGATAGGACAAGTCATGCGCCAAAAAACGCGTCGAGAGTCCAGGGCAACCAAAGGGCAACGAGGCGATGTTGACGCGACGCGGTTTCAAAGTCCGAAGATTACATAAACATTTTCTAGCGCGGTTTTGGGGGCGCGGTAAACACAGGACTACATTCATACTGCATCGCCCTCAGCAGCCCATGTGACGTTTTTTCCCATGACGGGTGTGAAGAGTGCTACAGTAGAAGTTCTCATAGTGCATGATCTACGCATGCATAATTCTCATTAAGCATCACATTTGTGCTCTTCCCGCGTTGGTTAGTCTTGGGTTTCGCATATCACATAATGCATAACATTTTGAGAGCAAATATGCACTATGGGATAGAATATTTTGGTGGTATCTAGGCAACATTGACAATAATCTAAGTGATCACTTTCTAGAAAATTCGAGACAAGTCCTCTATCTCAGGGAGACCACACTGGAGTGCTATCTAATCAATATTTTGCTAGAAATTTCGCTGTCATTACGTGTCGAGTAAGGAGGAATGGGAGGTTATTGTTCTCAAACGCGCCGCTTCATTTCCCCAGCCATAGACTTCTTCACATGCCTGTTGATCGCAACACATCCGAGCGGAAACGGAAGCCCCGCACTGAGCACGCGCCATACAAACCACGTCAGCCCGAAGTCGTTGTTGACAGGTGGCGAGGACGAAATTGTTGACCAGGTTAACCACGAGATGGCACTTAAGAGGGGTGAGATTGAGGAGATCGAGTCTGATGACGAGGAGGAGGATGAACAGGAGGAGGATATTGGAATAGGCGAGTTAAGGAGTTTATGTGAGAAAGTGGAACGCCTCTCCCTTAAATATGGAGACTCCGAGACCTGCCTAGACCTCTCTCGAAGTCTGAGGCAGTTTCGAATCCAGTTGAGGAGGGTGGAGACAGCGAAGGCGAGGCAGACGTCGCTGAACGAGTGGTTCAGCAGCAGAGAGTCACACGATATGTCACTGTTAATGTCACTCTCACGTTTTGTTACACCTATCTACACTGGCATAAATCTAATAATGCATCGGAAATTGGCCCTTCCCGGCGTTATGCATTATGAGAACTTCTACTGTAATATTGGTGCAGGGTTACATATCATCGCTTCCATCACCAGGACCCCGGGCAATAGCAGGAAAGCCCTGGTCCCGATCCGGACAAAAAATGTGGATTTTAGGCCCTACAGCTGGGGGCCAATCCGGACAAAAAGTGACAAAATTCGAAACTGCCCAGAGCCAGAGTCCGGACAAAATCGACGAGATGTCAAAAAAAAAGCCTCCCAGCCGGTATTTGGGCATAATTGTGGGACATTTGTAGAGAAAAATTTACCCTGATCTGGCCGTCCGGACAAATTTTTGAGATTGGGGTGTGGTAGGCCAGGTCCAGTCCGGACAAATTTGGTGCAGAGGCGTCCGGACAAAAACCCAATTTTCGGGATCAGGCCTTTTCTGCTATTGCCCGGGGTCCTCCATCACCTCGCCAGGGCGAGTATTTTGTTCCGATTCTCCTCTAGATCTATGGTGGTTTTTGCACCAACTCCGTTGTACCCACGCCCTTCTACATAACCAACACTGAGAAAACATTCCTGGTTTGGTTTTTCCGGGCACTTCAAGGCAGAAGCACTTCTTATTCTGCTTTTCGGTATACGGGCGATTTCTAGTAATGGGCTGTGACTCGCCTGAAGCCTGGGTCCCAATGAAATTAGCGCTCCACTCAGACATTGTCAGCGTATCGGCGGACTTGCGCTGGGCGTCCAGAAGTAAGTAAGGATGGAAATTTATACAAATGGAGCTTGATCTTAACTTGCCCTTCAAGGAAGCGGAATCTCAGCCCAACTCTGCCCAACTAGGCCCAACTACAGACGCAGTATATTTCCATTTGGACATTCAAAATCTAGAGGCTCGATACCAGATCTCTTCCGCACTCCAAACTCGGCCCGTTGTGGGTTCAGTCAATCACACATGATCAGGTACAGTGCCTTGGAGTCAAAACTCAGGAAATGAACCAGCGTCATCGATTGTTGCCGTTTCATTGTTTACAAGTTCCTCAGACCTCTCAGGCAAAGATGCCTTTGGGACAGCATCTCCGCGAGTGGTTTGATACGGGCTCTTGGAATTTTAGCAGAACCTAAACGACCACGGGATCCTGAGTTATTTTGGTCTGGCGCCGTTTCATCGGTGTCACAGCCCGTTGTAACAAATGGAGATTGACCTCCAACACAGACTAATTTCTTAATTTTCCCACTAACATGATGGTGCCGTATACTTGACCTCATCAATTTCAGGTTTTTTATCCAGGTATGGAAATGACAACCCTTTACAGGTGATCCCACACTTTGCGGTTGAGCGAACCATGTAAAGTGTCGCGGGAAGTTCTTTTGGCACGATCGTCGATCATCCATGTTATTCATCAGGCTTGTGCGGCGCAGCACTAGTCTAAAAGTAGGATGGTTCGTCCTTGTGCAAGCTAAAGTCTGATTTCTTCATCACAGCTCGCTTGACTAGGTACATATGTCTTCCCTCATCCCCAGAACCCCCGCAATTATTGACGCAATCATCAACGCGGTCTATGAGCAGGGATCTGTGGCCGACTTGAGGTCAATCTCATTAACCTGCTCCCAACTTCTTCCCAAGTGTCGAAAGCACCTCTTCGCATGCGTTTCGCTCACACGACCGTTCGGCGCAGAAGATGTTCCTAGTCCCGCCACACATCTATCGGTCATCCTTGACGCCAATCCAGGCATTGGTCATCTCATTCGTGAACTAAGGTTTGCAATACAACTCCTAGATCTTCACGACGTTGCACTTCCCAAACTTCTTCTCCGCCTCCACCAAGTGCAGACGTTGAGGCTCAGTACCGCCTGTGGTAGCTGGTTCGACCATACTGCCAAGCTGCGGGTCAGTTTAACTCATCTCATTCAATCTCCAAGTTTGGCGCTCCTCGAAATATCATCTTTTCGAAATTTTCCGGTCTCCTTGTTCATCCCATGCACGAACCTCCGTCACTTGGATATCTTTCGCTTGACGTTCAAAGATGAATCCAGCGTGGAGATGCCCCTTGATATTCCTAAACTGTATCCACCAACTCGTTTGCGGTCTTTGCGGTGCTCGGCGCATTGCACTGCTGGAGTGTCTGTCCTACTTCGTGCCAGGCGCTCCGAAACGAGACTTCCAATTATTGATTTATCAGGGGTCCGCTGCTTGGGAGTCAGGATGCAGAGTGAAGAAGAGATTTGTACCACCAGGGCGTTAATTCAGGCAACCCCTCATCTCCAGTCTCTTGAAACCTTTGGTACGCAATTTCTCTTGCCTTCGCCCACCCCAGCTCATTAATCGGACTCCAGTGGCCGCCCCTGGTTCGCTTGATGGCCTCGCTACCATGTTCCACAAAACTTCATTTACAACATTAACGCGTCTCACATTTGACTTGGTTTCAGAATATTGGTATCAGGACCCTTTGTTCGGGCTCTGCAACGAGTTGGAGATCCTTGCGGAGGATAACGTGCTCGAGGAGCTCAGAATAAATGTATTCTCCCCTCGAACTGTGATCAGGACAGGAGAAGATTGGGGTCTTTTGGATATTGTTTTGTCCAGTCCAGGTGCATTCAGAGCGCTGCGGAAAGTGAGAGTTGGTATCAGGGTCATGCTGTTTAACCGCCTCAGCGTAGAAATATTCGAAGAGCTGAAGTCGGTACCAACGGAACAATTTCCTTCATTATCAACGAATTCATTGATCGACTTCAAATTTTGGGTAGGAGTTGATTGATGTAGGGAACCTTGTAGGTATCATATAATTCGCTATCCCCCTTGTCGTAAACTTGAACCCACTGCTTTGTGCCGTAATAAATTAATCCCCTGCGTCCATTACCACTCATCTGCATTATTCTACATTAAAGCAACTATGAACATACCGTTCCTGTTACACTCGTGCACACACGCTGACTCTCTTACCAGCACTGCCAGGCCCCGTAATTGAATCGATTAGGCGTTCTTCTGTGCTGACCCAAAATGTTGATTCCCGAAATCCTACGCCACTCTAACTCGCCCTCCAGACGTTTGCGCTGGATTTTATTTACTGTGCCAAGTACCTCACTTCATCGCAAAGATGTGCAAATCATTATCGGCCTCTTTCTCGTAGAGGAAACCAAGCAAATATCTTCACCGTGAACAGGGGTTTTCCACGCATTTTTATTTGTAATATTACGGTACTCTAACGTCTTCAAATAGCTTGCCTGATTCTTCTGAGCCACAGTGAATACTCCACCGATCAGATTACACCTCTATGCCCTTATGCGGGAGGGTGAAGCTAATACCAGTTGGTCTAACTGGATTAACCTGTAGGTCTGCGAACCCATCTGACCAGACTTGTCTGGTCATATATGCTCGGATGCGAAGAAGCACCCTACTCGTCAACATCGAGTGAAGCACATGCTCCACCCTTTTCCTCGATAAGCGGATGAAAACATGTATTCGATCGGAAACTCACGAGGAGAGCATATCAAGATAACTTTCCTGAGGTATAAGCTTAGGTCGTGAGGCTTTCGCAAAAATGAACAACGTACTGGGAGGCTGATGACTACAATGACGTTGATTGTGGATAGAACTGCGATCGAAATTAGGAAAAGTGCTGGACTGAGGAGTCTTTTCGATTGTGCGCACTAAATAGGTAGACATAGGCCATTATGCCTTGATTTCAATATCAGTCGTTGAAGAAAAGAAAAAAATCAAGAGGGAGGAGCTTACCATTCCGGTAAATGACATCATGCAGGGCGACGTCCCCTCCTTGTCGATCTACATATTATGTGTAGATGACGACGGAATTCAACGAGCCACGTACTTACATGCGGCGATTCCGGGGACAATCATCAGAACCAAAATCACTATCAGAATGCGTCTAAGTCATGCATAAAGCCGCCGGGGGAGCTGGCGTACTTACCAGCTTCATAAAACATCAGAATAACCCAGTTTAGATAGACAATGCGGTTCGATCCCGTCACAAAACAACCAAAAAATTCTGGGTATGGCCTCTCGCCAACTGGGTTACTCAAGAGTTAGGGTTCATTCATGACGCTGGAGATGTGCAGACTCACACTGAACACCACGAAAGAAAAAAGCCGTTACGACGAAGCTCGCTGCAACAGACGATATAAAGACAAATAGAAGGAAGACCCCCAAACGCCTGTCTTTCTTCCATACCGCCCATGCGTGCAAGGTGAGTACAACTTTTCGAGTTGCTTAGATTTATTTTCGAGGACATTACGCAGCGACATACGTTCCGAGAGCGAAAACCCTGCAATCATCGTCCCTAAAATCCCCACGATCAGCCGATTCATGAACGAGAGGAAAGAACATACATCCACGCCAAGTCTCAACAATACGACACATCGCGGGACTTATTTTGTTTCCAAATTGATCTGGTAAGGTCAGAACAACCAAAAATGTGTGTATGGTAACGGCTTACGGGTAAAGCAAAGTGCAACTGAGTCCACGAAGGGAATATATCTCTGAACGATATATAGTGCCTTCATAAACCCCCACCTCGAACCCCAGACCAGCTCAACTTCCAGCCCCATCGTGAGGAAGTAATCGTAGATGAACATCATCGCGCTGGCGACTGCGAGAAGAGCGAAAGTCAACGCTCGGGTTAACAGACAGGGAAGTGAAGCGATCGCATACCGTCGAAATACTGCAAAAGCTCGTATCAGTTTCGGAGGACCAGGTTGTCGACATCCACATACCGTCACGACTCGCGTCGCAGCTACATAGTTGGTGAACAACCGGAGCTCTAGGGGCAGCTCGCCGATCGACCCCATCTCCTGAATGCAGGAGGCCGCTGGCAGATGAGTTCCTTATATATAAGTCGTGAAATTGGAGACATGTGAGATGAATCGTAACATGGCCTGACATAAAGGAGATAGATGCCAATTCGAACACCGACGGTGATAGATGAGTGTTGTAAAATGATGCCGAGGCACACTTCTGCTAACACCACGTGAGCACTCTGCCCCTAATTAATGATTGGTTGAACCTGTTCGAAAAAATTGTGCAGACTGGTTTAAAGGGGAGCTATGAAGGCTAGAAATTAGGCCACGAAAGCTCTCCAAATCTGCTTGTACAACCCCACATGAGAAAGGATTGAAGGGGGAAAATCGTATACCGAATTTAGACACTTCTCTGATAATTGAATTAAGTATTGATGTGGAGACCTTCAGCAGCATGTGCTCGTCGATCTTCCCCGCTACGATCTAATTTAGACGAGCCCGGTCTAACTCGCTGACTTAGCCAGCGCAGGGATGGTGTTAGACCTACTCTCGGCGTAATTTTATCGTACAGCCGCAGATGAGCGCACATCACACGAGAAACATAGCGCAAGATCCCAAACTGGGATAGCCCGAGCAAGTGCGACACCTTTTCCGGGCTGGAATATTGCGAGGGCAGGTTAATAAAATATCTGTAATACTCTTTGTTGTAATTACATTTTACCCTTTCTACAAAGAGGAAAGTCAATGGAAAAAATTGAATATTCCCACTCGGAATAGTTGAACAGATCCGAACAAAGAGTCCTTTCTCAGAAATTTCACTCTTTCCTGCCCCTTTTCACAGCATGTATCAATTTTCCATGGCATCTGAAAACAAAGGATCCCTTTCCTTCGGCTTTCCTCTTAATCTCACTCAATTGTTTAACTGTTACTACAATATCACAAACAGGAAAATCTTTTGAATATTTCAGCTTTTGTTCGCCCTTTACGAGCTAAGAAAAGGCAAAAAAAAATTTCGGATGTTTAAAAATCCCATGCCTTTCCCCACCAGAAAAAAATTAAATATAATCAGGATGCTCCTGGAAAGAAAAAGTGTCGCACTTTCTCAAGATATCCTGATCAGTAATGTTGGGCAATGTTTCTCGTGTCATCTTCTCAAGAGGGTTAGACCAGGGGGTCGTTTTTTTTTTTTAAAAAAAAAAGAAAAGACCACCAAGTACCTCAAAATGGCAGGCGTCATTCGCAGCATGTATGAATCTCTAACATGCTCCCAAAGTTGCAGCTCAGCTCAATCAATCCTAATTCCACTCACATCTGCAAAATTTATTCAATCTCGACCTGATGTTGAGGTCAATTCAAGTTACGAAATAAATCTCAAACGTGAACTGAAATGGAAGTGGGCAAGAGATATTCGCTCAATGTTAGCTATGACTTCAAGGTGACATCCTGTCAACATCCTGTTCACTGGACAGCAATCCGCTTCAACGCTCATTTGAAAATTCTCCAAAATCATCCATCATCGAACGTCATAGATCATAATTTTAGTGAAGAGTGAACTTTTCAACTTTAGTGAATTCGAGATCGAGTAGGCTGCTTACTTGACGAGATTTTTTGTTTCTCTCTAAAGCCAGTCTGAGAATTTTACATTCATGCAAGAAGAATGTTTTCTGCTTCTGATTATCAATTGGTAATAATTTATGACCTCGTTGGGCTATTAACGATGATCATCGAGATCTCCTGCACAACATACTCTTTTTCTACAAGCACTCCTTGCTGAGGCTTGCCAAAGGCTTGCTCTTTTTTTTTCTTTTTTCTTTCAAGAGACCACTGTGTTGTTTTCTATTATAAAATTATTTCGAACCGTCTCCTATGAATTAAAATAGAGAAAAAGTGACGAAAAAAGTGTGTGTCAGAATATGTAGAAAAAATCCGAACCAGTGTCACAAGGGACGCAACATATCACATGACTCAAATATTTGGCTTTGATTGGTCGGATTGCTTGGAAAAATATTTGATGCACGTTACATCTTTGGCTCTTCGGTTTCTCTTGGATTTCTCGTCCACCCATCTCTCCGATTCATTCTTTTCAGGCTGAAGCCTGGTTTTGTTAAATGAGAGAACGAGGTCATACAGAAGCCTTCACATCCGCCATTTCGTTCTTTTCAGCTCGCTTCTACGTGTTGGCTATGTGCGCCCAAGAACTTTCCAAGCCGCCGAGGTCAACTGCGTAGCATGACGGTTTACACAACCTGCCTGCTGCCAAGCCCTTGGCGAACATACATAGCCGAAGCGTTGTATTCTAGTATCCATTCTTTCTATTTCTTCCTCTTCACCCTTTCGACTCCTCAACATGTCCAACTACTTGCCCCATATCGTGGCATTTGCGGCAACCTTTACGTTCGTTTCCGCTCAAAGCACCTTCCCAGCAACGCCCCTCGCCTCGAAGACCTTTGCTTACCCCACTGGCATCGTGAGTGCCTCGTATGCTCCAGAAATCGCATCTGACCCCGTTAGTCGTATTAGCCGTACAAAGTTGACACAGATGTCGGGCTTGTAAGGGGAACTCAAAAGGGCTACAATATCTGCAACTCCACCACTGAAAACCAGCACTCCCTTTGTCAAACGTCCATATTTAACACTCTCGACGGTTCGTCTTTCATGACCTCTTTTTTTTTTTTTTACCACGAACGAATCTCTCTTATGTTTAGATTTCTGCTTATGGGCACCCGCTGAGCCCAACTCTGTTGTCGGCAACATTGAAGGCGAGATGATTGCTTGGTGCACGAAACCTGGCCATGGAACTCGCCTCATTCCTGGTGGCGCCCTCACTGGCCTGCAGTATATGAAAACACCAGATTACATTCAGATCGTAGGCTTCCTTGATCAGACGAAGGTTGACATTCAAGCAGGCGATTATGGTGGTGAAATGGATCCCCATGGAGCTGATCTCGTGCGACTTGTTTCGTTTTCTCTCAATTGGTTCGCTAAGTTATTGCTTCAATTAGCGCGGCAATCCCATGGGCGGCATTGTCTATTCCAACGCTTGGACGGGATCATACCTTCAGGTGATGGAATGGCACAAGTGAGTATCTCTCATTTCCACCACACCGCGATCAACTACAGCTTTGCACCCAGCTTCATCGGCAGCGACGCCTTCTGTTTCAAAGCCTGTGATCCCCGCGGCCCAAACGCAGCCCATTTCTGCGAACACATCTTCGACCGCATTGGATGCGCCTACAATGCCCCCAACAACGCGAAACCCGGTGTCTTTGAATCGTGCGAGGGCGACAATCAAGATTTTCCCGGTATCTACACTGAGAACGGCCAAGTGAAGACTTACACGCAACCCGCCGAGTCACTTGGCCCCATCTCGACTATGCCCTATCAACCCAAGGTTCCCGCGTCGTCCAACTGCAAGACCTTTGAAAGCTCAAGCATTTTCGCGGCTTTGGCCACTGTTAGCGCCGACCCCCAAACCACTGGTGGCGCTACTAGCTCCAGTGCAGCGGCGACAAGCAGTGGATTGAGCAGTAAGGCCAGTACTACGCCCAGCGCGACAGGAAGTAGTGCCCCTGCGAAGACTTCGTCCTCAGACGCGAATACCCTTGCGATTACGGGTGTGTCCATAATAGGTGTTGTTTTTTCTGCCCTGTTCCTCTCTTAGTTTAGTTGTTTGCTCTTACTATATATCGGACTCCCTGCTGAGCATAATCTACATCTCGCGACTTGACCACTCTTTTACTTATCAAGTACCCACGATCGATCTAACATCACGAGAAGTTATTTGACAAAGAGAACCCTTTATTCGGTCGTCGATAGTTCTGCCTGGTGCATACTTGAAAGTTGAGAAACATGAGCGAGGAGTAGAGTAGAATATGGCTTTTTCAATAACGTTGATGAACCATATACTTGCATGCGTCATATCTTCTGCACCCAACACTTATGTGATATCATTCATCAAAAAAATAATGAAAGAATGCTGTGACGGGGTTCTGGTTTTTTGGCTGCAATTCACTTGTTCAGCACAGCATTCACACATGGAGGGAAATTACAGAATCTGTTATACAAAATTAACTCTGCATATAGAAACTGTCAATTTTTGAGCAGGACGCCCGCAGTGGACGAAGCGGCGGGGGTGGAGGGGGAAGTTAGCGGACGCGACGCGACGCATGTAGTCACGTGATTATACACAGCGTGCCTTGTGACGGTAACGGGACCCCAGCAGCTTGACCAAAGCTTGACCATGTCAGACCATCCTACAGTTGACGCCGGCTGTCCTAGCTTCGCGCTGCTTCAAGTTGTTTCTTACGCATCTACAGACTACAGCAAATTAACAGCAAATCTACACTGGCAGTTCGCCCATCTGCTTTCAAACCCCACCCCCTCCGAATCTCCTCCACTGTAAATATCTCATATTCATAAACCGTCGGCCTCGTCCTCTTCATGTCCTTCTACCCCTCCTTCTACTCTTGCCATCTGAGGATCAGGCACCACAGGCTACAACGGAGAAGCAAGGCAACCCCCAGTTCGGTCGAAGCATCAATAGCCCTGTAGCTTCCACATGGTGACGTCCGCACGTGCTGGCTTCAACCCTCATGCTGCAGCTTGTCCTTGGCTTGCCCCGCACTCATACGAGAATATTAATCATGAGGTTCTCTCCGTCGTCCCTCATCACATTAGCTCGTGAGCGCTAGTTGTTTTCATATATCTGGGCTCCGCACTAAAGGGTTCATTTTTGTCTCCCATCTGCCCGCCTTCAGGGAATCATCGTCTCTGAATCCGATATGCGTTTCCTGTCCTTACGCCTCATCCCCTTATCCACTATCTTCTTGGCACAGATCTCGAATGGGCTTTATCTCTTAAGAAAGAGGTGACTATTTCGTTCACCTTCTTTTGGCATGAGCTGACCGAATATTTTCATCCAAGGGCGACCATTTGTAACGGTCATGCTGAGCTTTGCGACCGACCATACGGAAACACTACCTTTTTGGCCGCTCACAACTCTTACGCATTCAGCCGAGACCCACTGGCTCGTGAGCGTCGTGATCTCAACCAATCTTGATTTAGTACTGAACCTCTGACTTAGTTGCCAGAGATCAGGAAGTGGACGTCCTGACGCAGATTAACATTGGCGCGAGGATGTTGCAAGGCCAAGCACATATGTAACTAGTTCTTCAATCGGAAAGGCAACTCACCTATACGATTTTTTTTTCAGGAAAAACGGCCAACTTCATTTTTGCCATACTAGTAAGAAACATCGTTGATTCGTGACTTTGCCTATGCCAACACCGAAGTTACTTTTTGCAGCTTGCGTGAGTGACGCTCATTCTGTAAAATATTCCCCAAATAAGACCCCCGAGCCCAGAATCTATTTGACGGAGGGTTGGTGTTTGATTATCTGAGGAAAGTCAAGACCTTCCTGGACGCCAATCCCTACGAAGTCTTCACCTTCATCTTCACCAACCCAGAACAAGTTTCGATTTCCGATGTTTGGAAACCGATTTTCGACCAGGCTGGTAGGTATTCTCTTATGTTTTCCTCCATCCGTACTTTGAAAAATCTACTTCGAAAGGTATTTCCCCAATCGCTTACACTCCGCCAACACGGTTGATGAAGCGGGGCGACTGGCCCACTCTCAAAGAGCTCTTGGACGCTAACAAGAGAGTAATCATCTTCCTGGACGCAGGCGCGGATGGAAGTGGGGGCGGAACTGTCGATTTCATTCTTCCACAATTTCAAATGGTAAGTCCAAATTTTTCCACTGCACCGGCGCGACGTCGAACACCGTTCAGGTATGGGAAGACCCCTTCTCTCCCACCGATAACGAGTTTCCGTGCAAAATTGATCGTACCGATGGTCCCCTTGCCAACGACGACCACCTTCATTTGATCAACCACAATCTCAACAAGAATATCGTACCCTGGAATCTGGGTACAGTCCTTGTCAGCGACTTTCTCAATGCACCGAAAACTAATGCGGTCTCTTCGTGAGCTTACTCTTACTCGCCGTTGCCCTAGAGATCCGCTGATGATTCATCTACAGGATCCTTATGCACGCGAACAATTGCGCTCCCTTCTCGCAGGGAAGAGCGCCCAATTTCGTTCTTTTAGATTATATCAATATCGGCCAAACGGCGCAAGCAGTCGACAAACTGAATGGGTTTTAATTCCCAAGTTGACATCTAATACCCTCCCGCAGATTTCCGTTTTTTTTTTTTTTGAGAATTAAAGAACGTTTGATACGTACGAAATATTATTATCCCTCAGAAACAAGGCGATTTTGCTTTTGGTTTGCTACATAGCGAATGAGAGACCACAAATATCAAGATCTATTGGGGCTGTAACAAACTTGCCAGATAAAATTCAACAGAGGGCCTGAATATGTACTTGCGATTAAAGGAAGGTTCGAGGATAAGAAAACCGCTCGACCAAACAATTCACCCTTCTGCCCTCTCCCGCACAAAAAAAAAAACATCTCAATTCGTAGGGAACGTAACAAGACTCCCAATCCCAGCAGGACAACTAAAATCACGCGCATACACCCCCTTATCAATCGGCTTGCTAAAACCACGGGCGTGATGACGCTTGCGAGTCTGCACTCCCGTTCCCAAACATTTCTATGCGCAACACCAATAAGCAATTGACAACACACAGACAGCGGAGAGAGAAAAGAACCTTGAAGATATCAATCTTCTTACTAAACAATGCCACCGACGCCGATTGATCAAACACCCCAAAGAATGACCCATCAGCCCCTGCGTTAACGTCGAATCCAGCGCCTACGTCTGCACATCCGTTCACGGAGGTCGTTATTCCGTTGTTATCCGAACTACTGGTGGAGACCTCAGTTGATGCTCCGCCCGTTACGCTGAGTGTGGTGGTGGCGCTTGCGTCTAGGTTCAGGAATACAGTGGCTTTTGCGAGCCCGTTCATTCCTGAGATACCTAGATCGACTCGGGGGATGAGGTGGGCGGTTATAGTACCCGTAGCGGATGCTTTAGGGTCCACGGAGAGCTTTAAAGCTAAAGAACCGGAATGAAGTTCTACGTTAGGTCTCTCGGTGTGACGGGTTAAGATCAAATACGTACGACTCTCCCCTGGGTTGAAGGTCAATCCTGATTGGTGGTTCGCGGAGGAAGGGAAGAAGAGTTTTGCATTTTGGATGGTGTATGACAGGTCAACTGTGGTGTTTAATGCGAGGTTGAGCGATGCTGTCGCTCGGCCTTGGATTTTGAACGTTGGGCCGATGGTTAGCACTCTAATGCATAGAAGATGTTACGCAGGCTCGGAGAGGAGGATGGGATTTAAAGGACTTACCCCGGGAAGTCGAGTCCGGGAATGCCGACTGAGAATAGGTCTATTAACCCAGAGTCTGCGGTTCCCTACCAGGAACTAGGTCAACGAAATATATATACCAGGAGGCAAGACCAAACTACAGAGGCGGAGCCAGCGAGGCTCAAAGTCCCGTCAAGGGTCGCTTCCATCCCAACGAACAAGCCGAATTCTGAGAGGTTGGGAGGGACTATAGTCCCGGCGGTCGCTACCCCGATCGAGATAACAGCATGGGCTTTGGCTACAGCATCAGCTTTGACAGACGCGGAAAAGCCGGAGCAGGAGAGACTTTGGTCAAGGATGGGAAAGTCTTTGCTGATGTCGATGGGCAGGAGGTTTTTAATGACTGTTTTGTCGAAGGAGTTGAAACCTGTGGGATGCATGAAATACTGAGAGGAACAAGTCATGGGAGCGGGTAAACGCACTGTTGAAAGCGTTTTCTATGAACGAGAGCAAGCCCCGTCGATGGATCCGACTGCTCCTGCGAGCTGGAGTAGGTGGGGTAATTGTGAGATTTCCATTCTTATTGGGAACGTTAGCTCCTTGGATTGCAATGTTCACCTCGCCAGTCCTAGGTTGGGTAGTTAGTAATTAAAATTGTGGGTGACGATCAACGTACTGGGAGGGATCGATGGCGTCAAAGTTGGTATCAAGAGAAAGACCTTGAACCTCGGGCGTACTCCCGTCGCGTCTTGTGAATCGCTTTGCAATATCGGAAGGCAAAGACTGGTCTTGGTGGACCCATGCTTTCGAAACACGGGCGAATGGGTTTCTACCGCACTAAAAATAATGAAAGTGAGCACTGAGTGTTATAGATTCGTTCTAGCAAGACCTCACATTCTCAGGCAAACGGACAATTTTCCCAACGGCGCCGACGGAGCGGTAGAGGTGAGCGCAATGTGCACTGTTGGTGTGTTCGCTATCGCAGACGAGCCTGATGTCCTGCGCTAGAGCGTCATTGTCACATCCAAGGATGAACCAGCCAGCGGCGGCGGTGATATCAGAAATTGCGTCTGAGGAGCCCCACTCCATAATCCATTTGTTTCAACGGCCAAAAAAGTAAATAGAGCCTAAGCTAACTCACGATGCGCATGGTCCCTGAGACCCCCTTGGAAGCTGGGAGATCATAAAAACATTCTCCTCCTACACAAGGTTTCGACCAGTCATTGGTAGCCTGGACGGCGGCACAGAAAAAGGGAAGGAGAAAGAGTGTGACCGAGAACATGATCTTGCACGTCTAGAGTGATGAAATGCCTACCGGGGCAAGAAAGAACGAAGGAGCGACAGTTAAGTGAGAACGCAAACAACGGCGAGAAAAAGCGAGATGGCATGCATGGTTGAGTTCCTGTTGCTAAATAGAAGATTGGGAATGGATGTAGTTTGGTTATTGATACCATGCAAGGCCGCCGAGTAGCATGTGATTTGAGGCTCGAGCATGAGCCTGTGTGGGTTCTATCTTCCTAGGCGACCAACCAAGAGCACAACATGAGTTGGTCCTTGGATATGAGCAGATGTTGGCAGCGGGCGCGACGCGTTGCTCGCAGAATGTCGGACCGCCCGCTGACCTGGCCACGAGCCTCAGTGCTACAAGCCTGGACGCTCCCTCGGAAAACGCCGCTGATGCCCTCACGTGCGGCCATAGCTGAACGTGACGTAGTGAAGGGTCCGTCGCGTTAATGTATCATGTCGCTAGACCGGTGACCGTCTGTATATGAAGAAAGTCCTGCGATATACAGACCGGTAAATCTGAGTTTAAATTGACGTACCGCGCGGCTCCCACGCCAGTTTCCATAAATGGTTCGATGGTTTCTGACCTCCCCTAAACAAACCGCACGTGTCGCATGACGCGCACCGCGTTTCCACTGAATTAATGGCGTGAAATTGACACGTTTTCTCATATACCACACGTCTGTATCATTGAACACCAAACCCAGAAAATTCACCGGGAGGCTCTGATCCAATATTGTCAAATGAAATTGGCCTACACACAAAATATATAATACATTCGGCGTTAAAGAATATACCCGAAGTACCCCCAACTTCCTCCTTTCTCAATGTCAAAAATGTATCGGCGTCGATGTTGGGGTGAATGTGAAAGAAGTTGGTGGTATGTAAGAATTTGCGGTGGTCAGAGGATTGGCGTCGCTTGGCGCAAGCTGGGATATTGAAGGAGACGCAGAAAATTTGCTGGAACCGATGTCGGAAGCTAGAGGGTTCGCTTTTGCAGGTTTTCGGGTTTTCGGCTGCGCTTCTGTGGTGCATAGCTGAGAGATGACTTGACGTTGGAAGCAGTGGATGGAGAAAAAAGCGAATCGCAGGGCGGGATGATTTGGCGTGAGCCGGACCGGATTGTTAAGGGGAGGTCAAAAATTGTCGAACCGCTTATGGAAACTGGCGTGGGAGCCGCGCGGTACGGGGATTTAAACTCAGACATACCAGCCTGTATATCGAAGTTCTCATATACAGGCTGGTCACGAGCCTATCATGTCGCGTCTCGTTTCCGAGCCTCTTGTAATTATCACACTGCTCGCAAACATTCAGTTCCACATATATGAAGAGTCATTGAATGCATTAGACACATATAACACATCATGCATCATGCTTAAGTTGGGTGCTGGACTTGTTACTTGCTAGTTTTGTGGTTATTGGTTGTTGATTGGTTGATGCTTAGCTTGACTTTGCAAGTTCTTCTTTATACCTTTCACTATCCATTTGTATTAGAACAATGTAAAGTTATTCCTCGTGGAATCCGTTACCGTCGCCACAAAATGCGTATCATAAAGCGTATACAGCGCTAAGTTCTAACATTCTATTTGGTAACTGTTTGGTGGTGTTGATTCCGTCACTCCGTGTCATTTATAGAAAAAATTGAGGTATCTTTCACAACAGTCGTTTGAAATTTGAAAGTATCCCTGTTTTCGAAATTCATGGCATTTTTTTTTGAGATGTAGGTTGTCGCGACAAAAAATCTACGTAAGTTGCTGTGTAGACTTGTGTAGAGCGGAGTCTCTGATGAGCTGACGGGCTTTGCCGAATGATGCGGTGATCGTTCCCAGGCTACCAGCCTCAAGGCTAGTAGCCGACTCTTCGGGGGGTCAGACGGTCCCGTTGCTCGGATCAAATCTGCATGGTGACCGGTGACCGGTCCGAGGTTTGAAATTGCACGTGACCGCGGTTTTTCCGATTATTTTGGCTGCGACTCCTGTGCAAGTCAACCTCAGGGGGAATCCTTCAACGTCGACGACCGCCACTCTGCATTGAGCTGCACAATGACAAAGCTTTCAAAAACCCCTGACCCAACACACACGACCCACCGAGTACTATGCATTCCAGAGCTGCTGACGATGATCTTCCGTTTCCTGAGCAGAGAATCCAACGCCGAAAACGCTCGGGTATGCCGCAGATGGTCCGATATAGCCCTGGACGCTCTCTGGCGTGTCGTTGACGACCCACCTCGCCTGTTTATGCTCCTGGCGCCTTTGCGAAAGAGAGCTGAGGAACCACATGAATGGGTGAGTGACCTCTGCTGGTATCGAACTCAACTCCTCATGAATCACTAGGAATTCGAACGGACACCCGATACAAACGATTGGAAGCGATTTGACAGATACAGCACACGCGTGCGCCACTTTACATATCAAGCCACCCACCATCCTGTACACCAATCCCTCTTTGACACCATGGCCCGTACGAGAACCCGGCTGGACATACTACCCAACATGAACACTCTCAGTTGGAACGCGCCCCTTTCATTGAGCATTCTGTTCATGCATCGGGGGGTGAAGCATTTTGTTGTGGTCATCCCCACTGACGTAGAGGTGGCACCTTTCTTCCAGGATATTGCCGCTCGGATGCCGGATATCAGCCATCTGGACTTGCGTTCACGATTACCCATGCGCAACATCGAAGAAGACACGTGTACACTGCTCGCCTGTCTGACCAAGCTCCAAAAGATCACCTTTCCTCGCTTCTACTTCACAACCCGGGTGGCAGAGTCTCTATCGCGATTAGACGCCCTAGGGGTAGTTGAGTTCCAGTACCACGACGAACAAGGGGTTGGGTCTCCAGAAGACGTCGCAGATTTCTGTCCTACACTGACTGAGGGTGCGTTCCCGGCGCTCTGGGACTTTTCCCTTAATGTCGACTTTGAAGATGCTGCGCTGTTTGTCACCGCGGAGTACGCCCCCGGTAATCTCACGATGCTGTACATTGACTCTGAGGAAATCGAGTCTCCGGCGGACGTGCAAGCGCTCATCAATGCCGTCGCTGACCATTGTCCCCACCTCAAGCTCCTTGCCCTAGTTTCCCAACGTAACGCACGTGCCCAATCGCCGCCACCTTCGGAGGACAAGTACATCGACTATGATACGCTCAAGCCTCTTCTCAGATGCGCGAATCTGACGTCCTTGGAGATTGTGCACCAGTATCCGCTCTCTTTAAAACAACAGGACCTGGAACGACTCGCAGTGGCATGGCGCAGCTTGGAAAAGCTTACACTCAACAACGAACCTGTGCACATGACCCAATCCAACCTCACGCTCCACGCCCTGCTCCCTTTCGCGGAACATTGTCGCCATCTGACACACTTGGGCCTCTTCATCGACGCTTCACATGACATCCCTTCGTTCCCCTTCCCCGTCCATAGCACCTCCCTCTCCTTCAACACAAGCAAAACAGTCACAGGCTACACCCCCTTCCACTCCCTCCGCCGTCTCTCCATGGGTGTATCCATCATAGAGGCTCTTCCCGAACCTACGGCACCCGTCGCGCTGTTCCTCTCCCAACTCCTCCCTCTGCATTGTAAACTCGACTGCGGGATCACGTGGAATGAGGACCCAGCGACCGAGGTAGACCCCAACGCCGTGGAAGGCGGTGTGGTGGTGGACGTGGGTATTGCAGAGATGATTGGGGAGAGGTGTGAAGCGTGGGGAGAGGTAGCTGGTGCGTTGCCGATGTTGACGCAGTTGAGGATGGAGGAGAGGGGGAGGGTAGGGGCGTTGGAGAGGGAGGTGGAGGATTTGAGGATGAGGGTGGGTGTTGTGGAGGGGCGGGGGAAGGTTGGGGTTCATGTGGATGATGGGTGTGTTACGATTTGATGTGGTCGACGGGGATTGGTGTATTATTATGGTAAATATCTCTCCTGGCTGTCGTGTTTTTTGCTTTGCTTTTATTGCTATCGTATTACTGGGTTTTTTCGTGGTCGATGTTTGATATTAATGTAATTGAAGATCTAACGGGGACTGGTAAGTAGTACTTGGAATGGCAAAAGCAAGTGCAAACACCACAATGATGCCGATTCATTCGGACCTCCTCGAGCTCCTCAAAACAACCTCGAAATCAGCACCATGCTCCGACTTCGATATCGACGTCGCGCTCCATCCTTTCTCGGGACAACAATGGACGGGTATTAGTTCGGGAATAGATTGATCACAGTCGAGGGTAGAGGATTCCTCTCGTGCGCCGTAAGTACAAGCCAAAGCTCATGGTTTCATCGTAAACATTGTTTATGCGCTATTTCTGGCAGATGATGACCCATTGGAGCCATGGCGCCTCCTGGGCACACCGTACGGACAGTACATACCACGTCACCACTCTTCTTTCAACCATAATCGCCTTCGACCTCTCCTAGACCTGTGTCACTCTTCATCCAGCCAAACGGGCCCTTCTGATTCACAATTTACTACCCGGAGGTCCCAATGGCCATACTGTCACTTGGCCCCCAGCGGATGACTTGCCAGGGCTATGTCCCTACATCACAGGGCTTTCCCGAAAACGCTTTCATTGATCGCATATATCCCTTCAGGCCATGAGCACTGGCAGCTCAGCGGCACATGACTAACGCATCATGGGCCCCCTCCGCGCTAATTAGTGCGTTCGACATACTTAGCCTGGGAAATCTGATTGGCTGAAGTACGTGTCAATGGACATTGTTAAATCTCGGAGGATCTCCGAGACTAGATATTCACGCCTCGTGCCGAAGATCGAACAGAACGCCTGTGCCTCCTCTCCGCTTGGCATTGGGCCAAGTCCCTCTATCCACCAAGTTCTATCACCTCGAATGTAGGTATCATCCACATTGTTCCTCGTCATCATTTCATCTCAGTTCAGATAGGATAAGAATCGGATGTCACGAGTGGTGGGCACCGTGGTTCCCGGATACAAGCTTTCTTGATCAAGTGCGGATCATGCATGTGCCCATCTTAAGCCTCATAGCAAGCGCGGGAACCCTTCAACGCGATTGGTGCATGCCCAATATGTTGTGCCGCCCATCATCCCCTCTTTCTCCGCAGAAGCCAACATCTCCCCATGTCCACAAGTAACGTATGGAGAGGTTTAGCCTCTTCCCAGGCTCCGAGCATGTATTCTCCAAATCGCGCCGCACACTCTCAAGACGTCCTCCCTGGGTATCATTCGGGTGATGTTGCGGCTCGAGCGGCATCAGCGCCTATACTGGCTGTTCGACAATTCGAGTCCCAGCCTTTACTCACAGCGGGCGATGACCAGGGCGAATGGCACCCTATGGCGCAGCCGACGATGCAATCTTGGACCAATAACCGTGCCAGTTCGAAAAATTCTGACACAACCCGAGAGTTTCGAGCACCGGCTGATTCATGGCTAGCGGATTCGCACGGAATTCGAGAAAGGGCTTATGAAGAGAATGCTCGACGGCGAAAATCACGCGTTTGGCTCAAGGTGGGGGCTGTGGCCCTCATTAGCATCGTCCTAGTCGTCTTTCTTCCGGTCTTCTTCCTCGTTATAAGGAAGAACCTCCATAAGAACCGTTTTGTGCGCTCAAACCCATATCTTCCTTGTGGACGGTGCCAACTCTTCTTACACTGTATATCAGACAGGTGGGGATGGGTCGGTCGTAACCCTCCAGAACGGTACCAAATTCACGTACAAAAATCCATTCGGCGGCTTCTGTGCGTCCTTCTCTCTTCTCGACCATCACTTGAACATAATCTAGCTTTCAACAGGGGTCGATGACCCGTTAGACCCATTCAATGACTTCGCCCGACCAAACTCATGGACTCCGGCAATTAATGGAGAATGGCGTTGGGGGAAAAATCGAGTTTTTGGTGTGAATCTTGGAGGATGGTTGGTCCTCGCCCCGGTCATCACGCCAGACATCTTCCAGCGATATCCGAGCGCAACGGACGAGTTTACGTTAAGCAAGTTGATGGCGGCGGATACGGTGAATGGTGGGCTGGCGCAGCTGGAAGCTCACTACAATACCTTTATTGTGAGTGCTCTTGATAGATCATCACTCGCCTTCTCTTTCCACCTACGCTCTGCTTTCAGACAGAACAAGATATTGCTGAGATCGCTGGTATATCAATTCAAGATTCTTGCCGTTTTCACAACTCAAAACTTCCGCAGGTGCCGGCCTCAATTTTGTGCGGGTTCCTCTCCCGTTCTGGGCGATCGAGACATGGGATGGGGAGCCGTATTTGGAAAAGGTTTCGTGGATGTCAGTCATATTCATTGGATACCACGTCGCGAAATAATAAAGTCTTCTTCTAGATATTTCCTTCGTCTTCTTGGGTGGGCTCGAAAATACGGGTTGAGAGTATGCCTCGATCTACATACCGTTCCTGGATCGCAAAACAGTTTGTGGTGGTGCATTCGAATTTCAATTGATGCTGATCTGGTCTTTTTGTAGCTCACAATCATGTCGGTCCGTGAGTTCAATTAAAATCAGATCTCTGCTCCACATGAGTTGACTTGTTTCTCAGTAATGGCACCATAAACTTCCTAACAGGCAACATGGGTTTGGCAAACGCACAGAGAACGCTGTATTATATTCGAGTCCTAACAGAGTTTATATCACAACCGCAATATCGAGACCTGATCCCACTCTTCAATGTTGTCGACGAGCCTACTGCCCCTCTCGATGAGCTCACGAGCTTCTATCTTAAAACGCACGATATGATCAGGAGCATTACCGGCCGAGGACCTGGAAACGGGCCTGTACGTAACAATTGCCTTCGAATCATGTTAACGCGATAACGGATGTGGATACATAGTACATCGTTATACATGATGGCTTCCAGAACGCTTCGGCGTGGACTGGATTCCTACAGGGCTCTGATCGCATTGTCCTGGACGAGCATCCGTTTCTAGACCTCGGAGGCTTAGATGCCGACCCGGTTGCTGTCCTCGGTGCGACTGGACAGCCTGGTGGAAAATGGCCCGCGCTAGCTTGCTCTAGCTTTGGTCAAAATATTGAAAACAAGTGATTTTATCTTCACTTGGTAAGACGGGAGGCTAACCTGAATTCTTTCATAGTCGACAGGGATTCGGCGTCACTATCGCCGGAGAATTTTCCGTTGCACCGAATGATTGTGGACTTTTTTTGAACGGAGTCAATTCAACATCCGCGAACCCTGATTGCTCGACGTATAACGACTGGGTGAATTATAATAACTCGATGAAGGACGGCCTTTTGAACACTTTCCAAGCTAGCGCAGATGCTTTGGGGGATTGGATATTTTGGACTTGGAAGGTGAGCCTGTCCCGCCGCTCACATACACTCCATGCTCACTGGATCGACGCACGGGTATCAGATCGGCCCCTCCCAAGCTGGGACGATCCAAGCGCCGCTGTGGTCCTACCAACTTGGTCTACAAAACGGATGGATCCCAAAAGATCCCCGCACGGCCCAAGGAAAATGTGCTTCCCTCAATGTCAACATCAGCTTTTTCCCAGGAAATTTCCTCCCATGGCAAACGGGAACTCCATCATCGATTCCAGCTTCTTCGAGCACCCAATTTCCGTGGCCGCCAACATCGATCACAGCTGCTAACGTACCAATTTCTTTGCTGCCGACGTATACCAATACTGCACCAATAATCATCTTGCCTGTGCCAACGTTCACGGCGGCGCCGAGTCAAGTCACGCAAGGATTTAATGGGTGGTTTAATCGTAATGACACGGAGGGTGGGGCTGTCAAGGTTACTGGATGTCCTTACCCTGATGAGTACTCCGGCTTTTTTGCTGTGACGCCGACTGCTCCGTGCACTGGACCGACGACGTCCTCGATAGCGTTGGGAAGACGGTGATTTAATTACTGGTGGTATGGGATTGAAAGCGTATTGATCATTGCAGAGGTACTGTAGCCATGACATAATAAGGGCTGAACCGTATCAAAGCCGCGTGCACAGGTCGTACTTAAAAATATCGGTGACTCTGTTTGGTGCGAGGTTTTGCCGGCCGCACAGCAATTTTTGTATCAAACCACCGCCATCCCGCACTTACTATCTAGTATCTTGAGACCATTTTTTCTATCCACCCACGGAATGCGCAGTCAGGAAGAAACACAGCCAGTCTGTGCGTAGAACGTGGGCAAGAAGCCTTCTTCGTCCCCATCAAGTTGCCACGCCGAGATTCCATTCCTTGGCGTCAGCCACAGGTCCTATGACGTCCTTATAAGGCCCCAGCCTGACCCAGCAAAAGCCCCACGAACCTTCCCTTCCTCCCCTCTTTTCAACGACCATGTCCATCACGAAGCAACCTCAAGCCCTTCAATCCCTCGATTTGTACAGCGATTTGCACACTTCAAACGAGAAACACAATCATGGACAGGGAGGAGACTGTGAAGGGTGCCCTTCATCCAGAGCCAGCCATCGAAACTGCCGTAAATCTCGCCTGCGTCGTCTTCTTTTCCCATCTATGGTCGCCCTAGTCGTTCTTGGCACAGTGATGCTGTTTTCGTGTTTGGGAGGTCATGACGTTATTGGTTGGGGAGCTGAGGATCTTGTAAAGCGTGCGACTGGCACAACGACGGGCAACGGGGGAACTTTCACTCATAACAAGCGTATGTTCACTTGCGTTCCTGAGACGTCGAGGCTCATTTTGTTCCAGTTTATCTCATCGTCATTTTTGTGGGGCTTTTGGTTGTTCTCGTCCTTGGGGTTATGCTGAGCGCTTGGTGTTGTAAAGGTATCGTATTTCTTTCCCCTTCCGAGCTTCTTTCCTTTCTGACGGTCTCCTTTGTTCGACAGGATCGTTTAAAAACCCCTTGTGTTGCCCTTGCTATTTGTGCGCCTGCTGCGGAGGCTTGGGTAAGTTCCGTTAATCTCTTTTGTTCATTGACGCCAACGTTGTCTTTTAATAGCTTGTCTTGAATGTATTGGTTGCGGTCTGTGCGCAGAAGGCGTTGAACAAATATAGGCCAACTTGGCTTGAATCTACCCGTCCTTGTGGCAGTCATGCCATTGCCAGTCGAGTGCGCTTCGAAAATGGACTGATTTGAAAGAACTTCTTGATACCATGGACGCACTTTTTTCCTCGTTACCTACCTGGACATCGTAGGGCCTTAAATCTTCCTAATACCCCGTATCTTAGAGCGCACTCACCGGATATCCTTGTCAATGTTGTTACTATGCTGGTTATTCAATGAAAGTACATGGTCGTTGAAGGAGTAGGAAAATTACAATCAACCTGAATCCGCATCGTGAACCTCTTCAATCCGTGCTACAGAAGGTTCTTCAATTAACCGCTGTGTCGCGGTAGCCTGATCCGATGGCTGGCTTCGAACAAGGAAAACGCGTCTTATCTCGGGCCCAATTCGTTCTATATGCAAAAGGGTCACGAAGTGCGTCCACTCCCGCACATGCAGCCTGAACCAGGGCCAAATCCAATTCTCTGGAAGTAGCGCGAGGAGAATCGCGACTACGGGAATGCCAATAGTGACCAGGGGAAATATCTTGTCGAAATTAGCCACTGGTGTACTTATATGTGAATGAGTACTTACCTGACCAAAAGAAAATTTGGGAGGGTTAGGGATGACCCAGTTTCGTTGGATGGTGAGTTCCGTGGTGACGACTACGTACACCCATTGGGGGAGGTACAGGAACACGACTGTGCGGACGGCATCTGCTGTTCCGGTTACATACCCATCGAAGCTACTCGGCGTGGCGGCGGTGTAGACATACTCTCCTAGATCTAGAAACTGCCCCACAAATAGTACACTGAGAATCGCTGGGGAAGGCATAACATTAACCAAGAACGGGAGAAGAAAGGGGATTGTCCACTCACGTATAGCGATGTGAGGCCCTTGATGAACAGCCGAAAAGTTCTTGAAGAAGAATACAAACTTGGTATCAGCATTACACTCCGGCTGATTCCCAAACGTCTTCGCGTGGCTCCAGATGTACAGGCAATAAATGACGAACCCAACTATCTGAAGCACCGTGAAAGGGAGGTATCGGAGAGTGTGCGTTCGGTCACCGCAAAGACTTTTAATAGAGAGAAGCCAGACGGCGCTGACACAGTGGATGTAGCAGAGGTAGGAAACTATGATGGCGTTGTAAAGCGAAAGATTGTGTTTGTCGGCTTCGGCGGCGGCGGAGAAGAGGAGGGCGGTTGAGGTGAACCAAGTGGCCCAGAAGGGACCTGTGCTGTGTATATGAACTGACTACAGGTTTAATATATGAACAAAGATGTACCTTCAGCTTCGAATCTGGGCAATAGAGCGCCAACGACTGGACCGATTGAGATGTAGTACTTCCTCCAAAAATGATGTCAGAACATACCTGTAAGTAAGTTCGTTAGATAAAACGTTATCCGAACCCCTGCAGTGCTTGGCTATTCAGAAAAATTATAGTTATACGTCGATGGTAACTGACCAATTCCCGAAATGTCCGGATCCTCGTTTACCCCATTGCAGATCCTTGCGTGAATTGTCCCATTATTATTTGGTATGCTCGTCGGGGAGATGGTACTGGACGGCCCAGTGGAAGTTTGAGATATTCCTGAGGCTGAGGTGGTCGATCCGGTACAACATGAAGAGCTAGCCGGCGACGATATAAGGAATGACGTTCCAGAGGTAGTTTGCGAATCTCCCGAGGTAGAACCACTTGATCCAGTGCAACTGGTCAGGGACGATAAAGGGAATGATGTTCCGGAGGTAGTTTGCGACACTCCTGAGACAGAAGTGGTCGATGAAGGATAAATGGTTGACGGTATACCAGGATATATCGAGTCATTTACAGTACATGTCGGGGAAAAAGGCGGAGCCGAATTTGAATAAGAAGGGACTGGAATGGTGGATGAACATGTGGGTAAGGAGGGCCAGTGAGGCTGAGTTGTCTCCGTCAAAGAGATCCATGCTGAACATCCATTCGACGTTGGGATATTGTTCCGGGGTACGTATGCGGAAAGTGAATAGAGCGGAGGCGCTGGAGAGTGGGGTGCGGGACTCATTTTGACATTATACACTGCGGTGACCCCTGTTTTTATTACGATCAGAGCTTGACGCCGAAGATATTTTAAGGTATCTTGACGCCCAGATGTTCGTGACCTAAGAATATCTGGGTAAGTGGATTCCATTGGATAAAGGGCGCCATGACTGACATGTAACTGTATGGCGGCTGTCAATGCGCCAAAGCGGACTAGCTCTGCAGAACTGCAGAACTGCTGACTAGTCAAACTATATGAGTGGTTTTATCCCATAACTTTGAGCTATCAGCGGAATCTAAATTGAGGAAAACAATTAGGACTCGGAGATGACTAGCATGGAACTGTGCATACGACCTGGAGGTCGCTGTCAATGTAGAGATCGATGCGTCAAACTTGCTTGTCGGACGAGACAGATTAGCGCTGCAGAAATGGGCCAGTCGACCTAAATAAGCCGTTTTATCGCATAACCTTGAACCAAGAGCGGTATCTATGTGATGAAAAATTGGGTTACAATTAATTCTGGGGTTGAGCAATGAGTCGTCTAGACAAATAAATACCTTTACTTTAATTTCCCCGTCTGAAGAGGCTTCACCGTTGTCGCCACCTAATCCGCCCTCGTTTTTCGTTCTAAGTTAGCGGCCGTCATATTGGAGAGTTTACAACGATTGTGGTTTTGGGGGAAGAGAACCAAAAAGGAAGCGAATGGTCAATTTGATCCGGCGTTGCCGGAAGCATCGCCACCGAAACACGTTCATCAGCCGCTGGTATAAATACAGGGATCAAGGCCATGGCTGTTTCCTTGAGCTGGTCTCGATACCCCCACAAAAATTCACCATGCACTTCGCACTGCGGCTGGCCGCTTTCGCTGCCCTTCTACTCACTTCACATTCCGATGCATTGTTCATCCCAGTTAAACGGTGAGAGCCACGATTCCGGCGCTGTGGGCGATGAGCTGATTATTGATGACCTGTGTATTAGGGATATGCTCTGCAATGGCCACGCGGGGCTATGCGATCGGAAATATGGAAATACCACCTTCCTTGGCTCACACGACTCTTTTGCAGTTAGCACGAGTGTCTTTGCTCGTATGTTGTCTCCCTAAATTTTTGGGGTCAGAAAAATTTGCCGACTGATGATTTATCTTTCAAGTTGCGAGGACGCAAGAGGTCGACGTGCCTTCACAGTTGAGGAGAGGTGTTAGGATGTTGCAGGCACAAGGACATATGTGAGTGCTCCCTCTGCCGCCCGCTATCTTTCGTTGACTTCGGCCGAATGGTAGGAATGGGGGGAAACTGCATTTCTGCCATACCAGTGAGTCTCGTCACCTCTGAACATCTGTTTCTCTTCTTATCTCCCTCCAACAGCTTGTGTAAGATGCACCCACGAATTCGAAGGAATAAACCAACTCACTCAGCTATAGGGTCTCTACGACGGCGGTACGGTTGAGCAATACTTGAAGGACGTCAAGTACTTCCTCGATCGCCACCCCAACGAAGTCCTTACCTTCATATTCACCAACCCCGAAAACCTCTCCGTCGACAAGGTCTGGAAACCTGTGTTTGATAGTTCCGGTGCGCCCACTCTCATCCCATTACATGTCATTTTCTAAGTTCAGCCCAGGGATAACGAACCTAACATACGTCCCTCCCCAACCCGTCATGGCTCGAGACGACTGGCCAACATTGGGAGAGATGATCGCCTCCGGGAAGCGGGTAGTCGTGTTTCTAGATAAAGGCGCAGAGAACAAGACGGATCCGTCCTCCGCGTTCATTTTGCCCCAATTCCAGATGGTCCGTATAATCGTCTTGAACCATTGAAAGTGAACATTCTCATCATGCATTGTCAGGTCTGGGAAGACCCTTATGATCCCACCGATCCTAAATGGCCATGCAAGGTTGATCGAACCGCTGGTCCTCTTGCTCCAAGCCAACAGCTCAATCTGATGAACCACAACTTGAACGTCAACCTTATCCCTGTTGGTCACGGCGTTCGCCTTCCTGATCGTCTGAGTAGCCCCAGAACCAACGGCATTAGATCGTGAGTTTTCCTTCAACTGGTTTGTGGGTGCTCTAAGCATCTGATCCCTTCCATTATTCTTTCTAGGATATTAAAGCATGCGTACAATTGTGCACCTATAGTGGAGAACCGCGCTCCGAATTTCGTCATGCTGGATTATGTCAACATTGGGCAGGGGCTGGAGGCTGTGAATCGATTGAATGGGTTTGCGTTTGATTCGTGATTGGGCGAGGGTGCTGCGCGTATTCGTCCATAGCGAGCTAAGTGTAGGGTGTTCAAAATTTGCAGCGCGAATAAAAAACAGGATTTCTACCAACTCTCTTTGTAAGGGCGTCGTCTTCAACGTCAGACGGGGGAGTGGGAGGCAGTTAACGCCAAGGAATTTCTGAAGTGTTTCGTCTTAACGAAGGGACCTGATGGCAATTTGGTCGGAGCCTGGTTATCATGGGAGAAAGAAATGTTTTTCCATCCTTGTGCAGCACAGTAAACTAGATATGAAGAACCTTCGAGTCGAGTTCATAATCGTATTAGTCAGTACTTTCAAAATCGACTGCTCCCTGCACCGCTATTTTTTATTGATCACGGTGGAGTGGGCGGGGTGCGTAATTTACTAAGTAGTGTCAAGGACTCGTCTAATCGAGTAGCACGCACCAACAACGAAGATGTTGGCTGTTAGACTACGCTGTTGTCTGCAGGAGTAAGAATGACGCATACTGTAATTTATAGCCATTTTATGGTCAACACTGCAAAGCGCCCATAATGCACTGCAGCCACTGGACAGCATTGATTGTAGACTATTTAAGGGGACGCTAACCCCCCAGGAATTATCCTGTGTTGAAACGAATCACTCTCTTACATTCCAATTCCATTCAACATGTTTTCTGCTGGTCGCCAAGGTATGACTTCACAATTATTTATGTTTTCTATTGACATTGAACTCACCGGTCGCAGAAAACCGCCGTAATGTCACAGCCAATCTTCAATCCCACGAAAATGAAGTTGAAGCTGAGAACATCGTTTACCCAATGCGCCCCGAAAGAATCGAATCGATCCGTCGTTGGGCGAACGATGTCGGTCGGGAACAGAGCCAACAGAACGTTCAGAGCTCAGGCCGTATCCATTCCGGAGTCGGAACTTCCTCGCTGGAGAAGTTCACCGCTTCTAGTGAAAGCGATGAGATATCCGTGAGCTCCGAGGATGAAGACGATATAGCTGATCGTCTGGACCGTGCTGCTCTTTTACTCAATCTGAAGAGTTCCAATGTCCATCACGCGAAACCACCGTCATCTACACGTTCTCGACCTCCATGGACTGGTGACACCACACAAACGCGACGGGGTCCAAGAGCCACCGTAAAGACTAGCGTGTTCCAAGATGTGCACGGTCTCAGCCTGGGGGAAGGGACTTCCATCTATAACGTTGGTGGGTCTGTCCGCGTGACTCGTCGTCAAGATGGCGGTACAGTGAGAGAAACTGTCATCGTAAACGATGGGAGAAACACTACTGTTTTCAATTCAGTAAATGGCAGACCGATTGGCCCACGGGAGCATAACCCTCTCAAGACTCACCACCATGATGCAAGTGGCTTCCAGCACCGAGAAAGAAGGTTCAATTATGATCGTCAGCCCCATTCTCCCGATTACAATCAAGGCTCACAGAGATTGAACACACTCAATGCTCTTCCAAAGGGTCTTCCTCCTCGCCATCTTCGTGGCAATCAGAATCGTAATCCCAATTACATCATTCCTCAGTGGGGCTAGACAAATTCAACGCAACCATCCGTGAACGTAGGCAGAGAATCTAGAAATAAGTTTTTTTAACATCGATTTCCACATGATAATGGCAGACTTTACGAAGCTTGTAATGAGAAAGCGGTTGTTGAGGAACAAGATAATTAGAAAACAATTTATTATTTTTGATGAGATGTGTGACAGATAAGATGATTGCGTGACTCGACAATTTCCCCTTCTCCCTGCTCGTTCTTTACCATTTCTTAGCCCTGTCTTAACCCAATTCCAAAGGATTTGAAAGGGCTGTACGCGGTAAGAGCCATGGCGTACTTAAATACTTATTCTGACCATCATAAATCCAGGTTTTACATGGTAAAATACAGTGGTCTTTAGGCTAAAGGACGTCGCTGAGACATACGTTCAGCCCGTCTGCAATGACTGCGGTGGAACGGTCATAGAGTATGACCATGCGGCCGGAAACGGCTTTTGCATCAAATGCGGGACCGTCGTCGAAGAAAATGCGATCGTGAATGAGGTCGCATTCGGGGAGACGTCGAATGGCGCGGCGATGGTTCAGGGTTCGTTTGTGGGTCAAGGAGCTAGTGAGTGTCGTTGTGTTTCGTTTACATTCACATCTGATCTTTCCGGAGCCCATGCAAGGATTAGTGGGCCCTATGGTAATAGAGGGAACAATGAGTCACGGGAGCAGACGATAGCGAATGGTGCGTTGATTATGGTTCGACTCTACCCTACTTATCTGCGTTTTATAGCCAGCAAGAAGATACAGAGTATAGCGAACATATTAAGACTCTCAGAGGTCGTCTGTCTCGCAGCAACACGAATGTATACCCTCGCAGTTGAACACAAATTTACCAAGGGCCGAAAGAGCCTAAACGTAGTGGCAGTATGTCTCTACGTGGCATGCCGTCAGAAAGAAACACGAAATTACATGCTCATCGACTTCTCGGATTTGCTTCAGGTACGTTTTTTCTGTTCACCTTAAGTTAGTCCGCGTCATCTCTTCGGACACCAGGTCAACGTCTTCGAACTTGGCCATACATATCTCCAACTTGTACAAACTTTGAACCTCCGTCTCCCCCTCGTTGATCCCTCCCATTATATCTCCCGCTTTGCCGCCCTCCTCGAGTTTGGGGATGAAACACATAAGGTGGCCACCGACGCCGTGCGCCTCGTGCAACGGTTTGACCGAGACTGGATGACGCGCGGTCGGCGTCCAGCTGGCATTTGTGGAGCCGCACTTTTGTTGGCGGCACGCATGAACAACTTTCGGCGGTCTGTCGAGGAGATCGTCCAGGTGGTGAAGATTGCGGACACCACCCTCAAGAAACGATTGGATGAATTCAAAGCCACACCAAGCGGAAGTCTCACTCTCGCAGACTTTAGGAACGTGTGGTTGGAGGAGGAGATGGACCCACCTGCGTTCACGAAGGGAAGGGAGAAGGAGGAGGCGGAGAAGGAAGCAAGTGAGCAGGGCGGTGCTGATTCAACAGTGAATGGGAAAAAGAAGGCGAGGAAGAAGAGAAAGGGGAAGCGGAAAAGGGAAGAGTCGGATGAAGAACCGGAAACCCAGGAGTCGGTGCAACCTGAGCTGCCTCCCGTCGACCCGTCGCTGCTGAATCAGGGCATTCTGGCAGGGACAACTGGGGGACCACTATTCGAGCCTGATCCGGAGCTGGAGGACGATGAATACAGCAATATCGATCCTGTCCTACTCCAGCCTACCACTTCCCTTTCTGCCGCCCCTTCGACCTCGACACCGCCGGCCTCTACGCTGGTTGAAGAGACTGCATCTACCGTGCTGGCGGAAGAAGTGTCAACGTTCCTTCAAAACACTCAAGGGACTTTATTGACCGAAGCACTCGATGAAGCAGAAAAGAGGCGGCTGGCGCAGATATCTGTCGTTGACGAGTTACTGGGTCTTGACGAAGCTGAATTGGATCGCTTCATATTGAGTGAGGATGAAGTAAGGGTCAAAGAACGCGTTTGGGTTGAGCTGAACAAGGAATACCTCGAGGCGCTCGCTGGTAAGTCTTTCTCTGAGTGTCAGAGTTTCCCCCTTTGTCTCCAAGGTTTGTCCGTTTTGCTGAATGGTTCTTTTTGTTTTCAGCGAAGGGCGATCAACAGGAAGCGGCGACAACGACCAAGAGCAGGAAGGTTCGTACCATGATCAAGCCAAAAACTTTTTCATTCATTCCGTTATTTGTGTATGTTTTTTTTTTCTGACCTACTTTCGTTTGTTTTTCAGCGACGAAAAGGCAACAACAAACCACGAGACGCGTCTACCGCTGCCGGTGGAACAACCGCGGAATCTGTGCGCAATCTCCTCAAGAAGAATCCCAAATACAGTAAACGGATCAATTACGACGCCCTCAAAGATCTCTTCATTCAAGGCGGTGGTCCCCCGTCCTTCACCGCCAATATGACCCTCGGGAATGACGACAAGGATGACGAGGATTTGTACACCATGGATGACAAGAGTGACGGGGAGGGGATGTATATGCCGACTATCATCGTCGAGGAGGAACCGGGCACTGTCGCAGGCGCACCGCCCAGCGCAGCGGGAAGGAAGGAGGGCGGGGGAGTGCTACGGAATGAAACGGAGGTGGAGGACGAGGCGAGCGATGATGAGAAGGGCGATGATGATCTTGGCTGGGATGACGTATATGAGCAAGAAGTTTGAGAAGAGGGTTTATAATTCGGCACTCGAAAAGATGGACCTCCGAAAAGTATGTATGTGTACAATACCAGTGTAGTGTAAATGCTATGTGCGTCTTTTTATTTCGTTATTGGTAACCTATCTGTGTCTTACGCAACAATTTGGTCAGTAGTCGTGTAATGGCACCTGTGCGACGCTCGGGTGCCAAAGATGCAGTGCTCGCAACATCATATCTAAAAAGAAAAAAGTCCCGGTGTCTTACCAACGTCGCAACGGAATACCTCTGATATTCATTAATTTGGACCTGTGCCCTCTGCTGGAGCAGATCTAGCAGATCTCTCCCTGGCACCGGTACATAACAACTAGAGGAGTTGCTGGCGTCTTGGGAAGGGGGCGTGATCGCATGCCGGTATCGAAATAATTGTGTACATAGTGGACGTGCGTCCAAAATCGTTCTCTGGAAACACAGCTCAAGGGGGGATTCGAACCCCCCACCGGTTTAAATTTCACCCCCCAGAAAGAAGGCGTTTGTGAAGTTGAGCTAGCTACTAGGCTATTTACATCTTATTTACGGTAGACCCACCGGCAGAGATAGAGTGCCATCCATCTGATAGTCAAAGTATATATCCTTGGCATTAGCAATTGCATTCAGCTGAGGTAGGTACGCAAGTAAACGATTGTTTATTATTTAAGTACTCCTACCCCCGACAAATTGCAACCCAAGCTCTATTCGTATCAATGTCATGAGCATCACGATATGTAACAAAACAACTTGTAAACCACAATCGTCAATGTACTGGAGCGTATATAACCGCCACTCTTTCGGCCGGCCGCAGTGTTTGAGGGTTTTGTCGGGATACTGCTGTTCGTATTGTTGTTCTGTTGGCTGTTGTAGAGTGAGTTTGCGCTTATGATACGACGATGGAAAATCATCGCTTACATTAAACCATTCAGTTGGTCGGCCGCCTTAAATCCCTCGCCTATATTTATGAAATCGAGAAGGATAAATTGCGGATTTCTGTTCGATCCGAGTGAGAGACACCCATTTACGTGGGACATGATCCTGGATATTTAGAATACCTTGAAAACTCGAAAATTAGAAATAAAAAATAATGACTACGAACGAGGGGATTCCGTTTGTCGTGCGGGCATCGTAAGGATCTGTAATGATGACGCCTTGAGGTGGAAAAATATTCTTGTTAAGGGAGTGGTTGATGAGATACGTGTGGTCTTCCGTAGCTAATGGACCATGGATGCGATCGATACTGCAAGGAAAGCTGGCGTTCGTGACGCTGAAAGGGGTCTCCCATATCTGCGGAGAGGCTCAGTTAGTTGGCCCTCGCATCAAAAATCAGACGAGGGAACCATAGAGAATTCTGGCAAAATGAAGTCGACCGCTCCGGTATTGGTGCTCGAGTCCATGAAGACAACCACTCGCTTTCCACTGTCTATCATGTCTCCCAGGGTTGGCCAATCCGATTGTTTGAGGGGAATGGTTGGGGGGACGTAGATTAAAGGGGTAATACCTGCCCGGAGTTACTGACGAAATAATAGAGGACAAGGGATGACTTACTCGAGTTGTCAAATGCAGGTTTCCATACGTCCTTTACAGACAACCCCTCCGGGTTAGTAAAAAGAAGGGCCAACACTTCATTGCGCGTCTAGAAAGGTCTTGACTTTCTTTAAATAATTTGCCACGCTGCCACCGTCGAATAGATACTACAGCCACAATAAAAAAAAGGTGAGGCAGTCCCACAAGGGGATTTATTGGTCACCTACGCAGCCTAAAATATCAATAGAAACTACATGATAGGTGTCAAGAAACGCACTTGTATGGCAGAAATGCAAAACCCCCTTCCTGTTTCTGTTGAGTGGATGAGCGAGGATTTAAAAAGTAGAGGCAATGACGTGCAGGTGTGCTTGCGCTTGTAATAGGCGAACACCCAGAGCTAGCTGGGTCGGGATATCCACCTCTTGATCTCTTGCGACTGTGGGGGACGAGATCCGAAAGTCAGAAACGCATATGTTACGGTTCAAGAATCCTTGAGCTCCTACGCGCTAATGGGTCGATGCTATACGCAAATGAGTCGTGCGCTCCGATAAACGTCACGTTGGAGTATCGGCGGGTACATAATTCGGCATGGCCGTTGCAGATTGTCGCTCTAAATCAATAGGTGTCCACAGTATTAGTCAGTTAAGAAAGGATGGGAAGAGTGAACGTACCTTTTTTCAGCGACAGGCGAGCCCAGAATGACAACCGTCCGGATCATTACGATGGCCATAAAACTCGCTTCTTTCCACCGAGTACGCATTACGGGACGTTTGGGACGATGGAGGGGAGGATAGTGCTAATTGAAGACTATATATTGACTTTCGAAAGTGAGCCCTGAGAGGTCGACGTTCCTGGAATGACACATCGGCAATCAAACGCACATACTGCAGGACCCAGGTCGGGGCCTTCGGGGGCGCGAGGGGGCGCGTGATAGGTAGGTCTTTCATAAGTTATGGGAATTGAATTGGAATAAGCGAGTTGTGCTGGATGAGCGAACTAGCCAAGGAACTAGCTGCAATTTGGCGGACTAGTATTCTCCAATCGCCTACGTCCTGGACGTCAGACGACGAGTCCGCTCTTGCTTTCCACCGTTCAATATTCGATCCAGCCGGAGAGGCCATCAAGCTGTTCATCTTGGACTTGTCTCGAGTGGTTGTTGTGGTTTGGTTGTGGTGGACACTTGCGATAAAGCACTTTTGAGATTCCGCCTCAAACTTTAATCCCAAAACGGGAAGTCGCTTTATTTTTAGAATTCAACCAAACAAATCGGTGTTTGGTGTCGCTTGCCCTCGCCCTTCAAGGTCCCAACTCGACGATGGCTGCTTACAACTCCAGGAGCTCACCAACCTCCGAGAAAGATGTTCGATGCTCGTAGAGCCTGAGGTACATGTATGATGTTGTATCAGTGAGTATGTCTGACTCTAAATGCGGAATAGTGATGAAGACTGACTTACTTTTTTATGTCATTTGCAGCTGAGGACAGACGGCGATATCAAGAATGATCCCCTTTGCATGACTTCGTAATCAACGCTAGAAAATATGAATCCAAACAAAATCCAAATGAAAGTTAGTGACTTGGTCAAGATTTCTATAATATTCTTCTCTTTTCTGCTGGTCATATCCCTCGGGTTTAAGTTGAATCATGACCTGACCGAGAATGTTTTGAACTTTGAAACGCTTGATGCCGCTTGGATGCCACCATCGCCCGTGTGTGAACTTCGCATACCATGCTCGGCTTGATGTTGGCTTGATGAGGTGGTTTTACGTAGGGCATGTCATCTCCGTTGCGGGCACTGACACGGGGAAGATGTTCACGACTGGGCGCAGATGAAGCAAAAGGCAAAGGCATTCAAGAGATAATATTTACAAACACAACCGAGAAAGAAAAGTGACACCTGATTCCCTCCCCTAATCCTTCAACAATCCTCCCTTCAACAATCCTCCTGAAATGTCTTCTACTCTCCAGCTTATAAACAAACTCATGATATACCTAAGAACAGCTTGTGGCATGACCCAATATGCCTACGGGCCGTAGCAGCTTGCATAGACCGAGCAAGCGTAGGTTTCACCAAGGCAGTCGTTATCGAAGTTTTGGTTGTTGGCGCGGTAGCAAGTGTAGGTGTTGCCACCGGCGTTGATGGTACCCAGGACCTGGTCAGTGGCCGCACCGCAGTTGGACGTCGACCAAGTGCCGCTGCCAGACGGCGTCGGAATCGTCGCCCCTGAAGTGGAGCACGACCCGTCGTCGTAGAGGAAGGAAGAATCGTTGCTAGCGATGAGGAGCGTATGGTCAGAAGTTGGAAGTACAAAAAAAGGGGCCCTAAATACCATGATCCGAGTCTGCTGTCACCCCAGTGGATATAAAAGTTGTTCACGCAATCAACGCCGTCTTCACCGGCAGGAACGCAGCCGTTGCAGTACGACATGGTGAGCTTCTCGTCACGCTTCATCAGTGTGCTGGGGGTGGCAACAACAGCCCCGGCCAGGACAGCAGCGAGGATAGCGCGGATATAAAACATTTCGACTTGTGGAGGAAGAAAGGGTCTTGGATTCTTAGCTGGATGCAGATGGTTGAGAGAACAGGACGACTGGTGGGAGATGAGGATTGAAAGAGGTTTATATACTGGCCCAGATTGCTTCCGAGTCTGAAGAAACCTCCACCTTAGGCCTGACGCTTCTGAGCAGTGAGTGACAGCCTCAGACGAGCTCAGAGGTCAATTCTTTTGATGGTCGTAGTTGGCCAGTGACGAGTCGATTGGTATATCTCGATCTGGTTCGCCGACACATTCTGCCTTCTTTTTGAAACCGCATTAGCCGGAGTTGCAGCGTGCTACATAGGCTACCGCTATCTCAAAAAGCACGAATCGGGTGCCATTTCAGTACTTCGCTGCAAGTTGGAATACTTCGGACAAATCTCACCCAGACGCAGCCAATGGCATCCATCCACGGATGAAGAGGTTGCTTGAGGACTTCCGTAGGGGGAATAACATGATTGATCCCGCACCTTTCTTTTTTGGGCATTTTGGGGAGCACGCGGCGTTCTATACCGCCGCCGATGCCCGCCAGCTTGCAGGAGAGGCTTTATTCAAAGAAGACCTGTATCAAGCATCACGTCGTCAGTATTTCTTATATCTTGTAAAGTAGCGATACTATAAATCACAAAATACAGCCATTCCAGCTTTCAGCTTTCGTGGTGTTCGAGTTTCGTCCGCACCAACTTGATTTACGGGTCCACCCGCTTCCGTCGAAACTGATGATACGGATCGCGCGTCCTTAGCCGCACCACCTCAAATGGGTGAACGCCCCTACTAGATGGGAAGATTTGATGCGGCCGCTAGGGTTCGTCGCAAGTGCAACCCCCCATCAATGGCGATGGCCGTAGCGGGACCTTCGCATTTAACCGCCTGGCCCACTCAACCGAAAACATGAATGAGGGCGTCGCAAAAGATATAGCCCTTCTTGAGCGATTGATAAGCGGGCACGGGCTGTCTGATTATCAGTGGGAAGGGTTGTTCAGCATGTGCGAGAAGTGTGGACAACATTTTATGCGGCCATGCCAAAGTCTGCAAGAATGGCTTGATTGTCCTCTGAGGTGGACACTGCAATGTTCGTAGTAACTTTGTTCCTCTGAAAATAGATGAAACATACATTGAGTACCCGGAAACCCCGGGCCTCGACGTTTGCATCTTCCGAGAAAAGCAATGATATTGTTTGAAAAAACACCCATCAACGGGGCGTGCTATTTTCAATGTATAAAACTTGCGATTCTCATTAATACCGAGGAGGACCTTTCTGATCTCGGGTGACATCTGCACACAGATGCGACATGATGAGGCTCAGGTGAAAGCTGCTCAACGAATGCACGTACCCTATCTTCCAATGACATCGTCTCTCGTCCAGCGTATTGTCAAGCGTTATCCGTTTCGAACCACTAATAAATCTAACACCACCAACACTGAAAGGTGATCCCATTTGATTAGAAAAAGCAACAACGGAACAAAACAGGGAACTTGCCCATCACCCAAGCTGTCATCTACTTCGAAAGCAATATCGCCCCCACTAAGCTCCTTGAACAGCTTGGCAACTGCTTCTGAAGCTTGCGCAGCTATGGCAAGGTCTGATTTCCGACAAGGACGGTGACGCTCGCTTCCATGAGTTGCAGCAGGATGACGCCCTCTTGGAACGGCACATATCAGCTTTAATCGGTTGTTAGGGTTGTGATTGAGCGGTGAAGAAGAGGCCCTGGAGGTGCTCTTCTCGTCGATGGAGGAGCTTTTAGTTGGTGAGTGTGGATTGGGCGCTGTGTGCTAAAAATTACTCATGAGTCGGTGTGCGTGAGGTTAGTAGACGAAGCGTCAAACGGACATCTTCTTGGGCGACCTCAGTACCTGATGGATCGCCTTAGCTTGGAGGTCTGTGTAAAGGACGATCGTCAACTCACCATGTTCACGTCGTCATTGAGTGCTTGATTTCGATCTCTTCCTCTTCCTCCTGCTCCTCCTCGTTATCGCCGTCTACCTCGGTCATAGGCAGCTGCACCTTCTCAACCCGGATAGCGTCCTTAACCTCATACACGTCCAAGGCAAACTGTTGTAGTGAGGTACCGAACGAGGGTGCCAGATGCAAGAGACGTTGTCATTCGAGCGTCATCAGCTCCTCTAGGCCGTCGTCCATAGCTGACGAAGGTCGGGTAAAGTCGATCAGGGGTAGGATTTGTCCGTAAAATTGAAGGCTCTGCGCTTGCGTCACGTAATGACCTAGTCCCGAATCGAACAGGATCTCTCTGGGTGAAGGGACAACATTTACTTTGGATAGTATTCTCCAGATGTGTGCGCCATTACACTGCTAGGTCGCATAATACCCCTCAATCGAGGCTGGGTAAGTCATGTGGCGTGGAGAGTTATCGAAGGCAAGTTACTGCGGTAGTTGTCCCAAAGCACAGCGGTAGTTCAGTCGTGGGTGATGTCATACATAAGCAGCGAAAATACTTCAAATAATTATTTGTCTTTGCTTACCTTGTGCTTACCAAGTAACCTACTACTTCAGTGAACAACGTTTCCTGCGAATTCCCCAGCACGTCGTAAAATGGACAGTGCAGAATTTCATGTTGCAGTAATGTCCTCGGTTTTTTCTTTCGAGACTTAATTAAGAGCAAGCAAGTAGGTGTATGATGCTGTCCGCCTCATACCAACTTGTCGAGTCACAACTTATGGTGAGTGTTGTGCTGCCTTGAGATCTCTATGACAAGTTTGTTCAAGCCGTGTATTTTGGAAGGTCACATTGCGAAGATGATTGGTATGCCAAGACATTCTCGCCACGTAGGACAAGGCAAGTTTTTTCCCCCTTGACAGGCAAGATTCACAACAACGAACGCGTTTATGAAGCTCTTAAGTTCATATCTCCTAACGCTCATCCCATGGTTCCTTGGCATCGTGTCATTGGTTCGTCTGGCACAATATCCTCTCGTGGACCTGGAACCGATGGCGCCCAGCGCCAGAGGGATGCGCTAGTGGCAGAAGGTGTCGAGGTAACTGTCGGGAGAACTGGCGAATTGCGAGTCGCCTTGACGCAATGGGGTTGGTTTCCGCAACCAAATTCGCTACCGAGCGCTGCCGATGATCAGGATTCCGTGATAGACTCTGAAGAGGAAACTGTATAACATATGTAGAACTGCGGCTTTATGGCTAGGGAGCAATGGGGTCCGACTGGCAACATCTTGAATACTTTCGCCCAACTTGAAATCATCGTTGACTTCTTATATACTACTAATATAGTTCCTTCCTTGGTTCATTTTGGGCGCCTAGAAATCAGTAACCGTGGACTCTAAGCCTCGAATTTCCATTTATAATTTCTTACCAGACAGGATAATGCCCACCCTGAAAGAAGGACGACACAAAAAATGAACAGAAGCTAGCAAAGCACTTAACAACCCTCCCAAACAGCCTTCCGACCTTGCTTGCGAGGAGCCGCTAGCAGGCACTTTATTGACAAACCGAATTTATATTCACCAATTCATGCCGGAAAAAATAATACCCGCCCTGAGTTAAAGAGAGACGCCAGGATATAGAGCAAGTTGGTCATTTTTGAACGACACAGAAAACCGCTCGCATTGAAGTATCAAGCCATGAAAAATTCGTAAATGTAGCACAAGGAAGCACTGACCAACCCACGTCTTCAGACCCTTTAGAGGCCGGCGGGGAAATGACTTCTGTCCTTTCGACCTTGCGAGCTTGCCGCGCAATTGCAATGACAAAATTTCACTGCTCCGGAGTCCGCGCCAACGTGTGCACTGTCAGGGAATAATATGAACTTGGAGACCTGTAGAGCAACTACGAGTGCAAAGAGAGAGATCGCGTTATGATTTTGATTGTCCCTTAGGCTGAATGGAATTTTTGAAAGCGTGAAGTTGAATCACAGTCGGGCCAAATGATTCTGGGGGTATTTTTTCACTTCCACCGAGATCAACAAGAATTAGGGGAGCGGGTGAATCGGAAATCCAGAAATATTGTGGATGGGTGGGAAGTACCGACAGGAAGAATTTGGTGGTCCGTTCTTTTTTTAAAACTTGATTGAAGTCGGAGTCCGCCGGACAAGACGAAGGGCCTTTCAATCTGTATGTTAAAAACCTGGGGTGCGAAGGAATCTTGTGGAGGGTCTAGAGATGGGATATGTACTACGATTTTAGCCCATCCGGTGAATGTACAGAGGGAAGTTGTCGGAGTGATTTCATGAGAGTCTTCCTCGGAATTGAAGTTCGCCTCGTTCCAACGGTGGTTTTTTAAAGCTCCAGTCCACGCTACACCAATGCACCAAAACTGCTCTATCTGCGAATTTCTTCTCTGTTCGCCACACGAAATGTAAATCACTTTGTTCCTAATCCAGACGGGAATTTGCACAAAGATTCTTTGTTTGAGGGAGTTTCCTTGTTGTATGCCTTTGAGATTATCAATCAGTCCCTTATCGCATTCCGGGACGGTCGCTGGGCGTTCTTCACAAATACAACAACAGGAAGCCTCGTGGAGCGGAATATCAAAAACGCCCATGGGCATCAAGTGGCTCAGGGATGCCATTGTCCTCTCGCGTTCGAAAGACCGACTGTGGCTCCTTTGAAAGCCTTGTGGCCTTTGGGGGGAGGGATATAAGAAAGGCGTACACGCACGCAATCCGATATATCCCAACTCATTCAAAATCACCGCCCTCTCCCAACCCTCCCTTCAGCCACAATGCCGAGAGATTCCTTCCCCCCATCGAGAGCTAGGTATGGTTCCTTTGTTTCGCTTGAATCAAGCATGAACATATGTCCAAACCAGGGTGGATAGGAAACTCCCACATTTCGACCTAACGAATCTCCTGGAAGAGCATGTATACCTCCCGATCATGGCCATCGATCTCCTGGTAGTATTCGACCACCAGGGCATATGCGACGAGCGCAACGACCTCTCCGTACCCCGGCCATACAAACAAAGGTTTGCAAAGGACCCACCACGCGCAAACCATTTTGCGATCTGGTTTACCTTTGACAAGGAGTACGTCGGCATAGATATCGTGCAGGAGAACGTCCCCGTGGATGCATATTTGAACCCGGAGCCAGAAAAAGAGTCGGCGAGGGGTGTCGTCCGCATCGCGTCGAAGAAAAGCCCGACCGAGGATAATATAGGCTGCGTCATGAGAGATCCGCGACCCATGCGCCCCATTACAATTGATTCGATCATTCGTCTGATTAGTTCTCGGGGATTGCATAAATATCTGTTCCGGCCAGTGCATAAGCAACAAGCGGGGTGCCGGTATTGGATGTCGCGATTTGCTAGGGTGCTTGAGGAAGAGGGCATTTGCAGCCAGGGATTCCAGATGCAAGTCGACTATTTTCTAGGCTATTACCATAATCGTCCGCAGGTCAAGACTGCAGGTGGGAGATATAAAGACGGTGGTTCTTGGGGGCCTAGGTTGGATATGGAATGCGCGAGGATTATTCCTGGTGAATTCTACTATGAGCAGGGTAAAAACTTGGAGGAACACCCAGAAAAGGGGCAGGACTACCGTTAGAGGTGTAGTTTACATTTAGAATTCAAAAGTCAGTTCAGGACTGTGGCTGTGCACTGATTGTTTGTTGAACACGTCGCCTTTGACACGTCCTTCCAGCACCACCCACAACGTCCAGCGGTGTCAACCATGGACATCCTCCACAACCAGCTCAACAACATCCAGCAACACCTGGCCTTTGTGTCCACCAGCCCCATTAATTGGATACTCTATGTCCAGGTGTTCTCATGGACAGTAACGCTCTTCGAGTCATACCTCTTGTGCGCAGTCTTTTCCGTTTTTTTTTTTTTTTTTTTTCGTCCATTTTTACTGATATATTTTCTGGTGCAGACTGAGGCAGTATCCTCTTTACTTCAAGAAGGATCCTCCTGCGGCTCTAGCAAGCCATTTTGGTCCGGGGGTGTTCGAAAAGTCCCAAAATTATGGCAAAGACAAAGCCAAATTTGCGCTCTTCTCCGGCCTGTTCAAGCAGGCTTTGGATTCTAGCATGCTTCAGTTTGGTTTCTATTCTTGGTCTTGGGGTGCTTCAGGAGCGTTGATTGGCAAGTTTGGCTTTGGGTCCGAGTACCAGGTTCGTCGTCTTTTTCGAACAGAGGTTTCAGCGTGTCTAACCATTCTCAAAGATCCTCCAATCCATCGGATTTGTCTTCATTCTCTTTTTCCTCTCTTCTATTCCTACTCTGCCCTTGTCTGTCTATGCCACGTTTGTCCTGGAGGAAAAGCACGGCTTCAACAAGACCACGCCCAGCCTCTTCGTCACGGATCTCTTCAAAGGCTGGGCTCTCGCATTTGGCCTGGGCGCTCCCTTCCTCGCTGCATTCCTGTACATCTTCCAATGGGCTGGGGACCGATTTGTGCCCTGGCTCATGGCTTTCATGTAGGTAACCCTGAATACGTATCAATGCCGCACGATTGACGCCTTGATAATCAGGATCTCGTTCCAGCTTGTCATGGTCGTCCTCTACCCCACCGTGATCCAGCCCCTCTTTAACAAGCTCTCTCCCCTCGCCGAGGGTAACCTCCGCACCAGAGTCGAATACCTGGCTTCCAAGCTCAAGTTCCCTCTCAAGCACTTGTACGAGATCGACGGCTCCAAGCGCAGCTCCCACAGCAATGCCTACTTCTTCGGTCTTCCCTGGGTAAAGCCATTCTCCTTTTTCCTCTACTCAGTAGTGTAACTCAACATGAAAAACAGGCCAAACACATCGTCATCTTCGACACCCTCATCCAACAAAGCAAACCCGAAGAAGTCGAAGCCGTCCTCGCACACGAGCTCGGCCACTGGTACCACATGCACCCCACCAAAATGATGGCCATCTCCCAACTCCACATCTTCACCATCCTCGCCCTCTTCCCCGCCTTCTTACACGCCCCGCCCCTCCTCCGCTCGTTCGGCTTCCCTAAAGAGGTGGCAGCCAACCCGCCGACAATCGTGGCGTTCCTATTGTTCCAGATGATCTTGACGCCCTTGGAGGCGTTCGTGAGCATCGGGATGAATGCTATTAGCAGGCACTATGAGTATGAGGCTGATCGGTTTGCGGTTGAGCTCCAGGATCAGCTTCGTGAGCCGAGCATGAGGGATATGGGTGAGAGGCTTGGAAGGGCTTTGGTTGCTCTGCATGTCAAGAATTTGTCGACTGTTTGGGTTGATTGGCTGTACGTTCTTTCCCCTCGTGTCAATGGTCAATGTCTGATGTTTTTTTTTTTCTGCTCTAGGTACTCTGCATACCACCACTCCCATCCTACTCTTACTGAGCGGTTGAAAGGGCTCGAGGCGTTCCAAGCACGGAGGGAGAAGAAGGCGATGTAGATCTTGTCGTTACTTGTTTAAGCATGGGTCATACATACGAGGGACAGGACATGTACGGGATAGCACCAATTGTACTACTCTTTCTTGCCCGCCGTTGTCATGATTGGTGGGAGGCTCTGTAAGTCCAATCCAACAGCCCTAAACACCCCCGATCCTTGTCTCCCTTGACCCCCGATACTCATACACCCTCGCATCCTCTCTTCCCTTCTGCACATCCACGCTCATCAGCACGGGTACAGCCAGCCATATCATCACAACGAGGAAGAAGAACGCGTAGCGGATGTTTCCCGTCATGTCCGCTATGAGACCTACGATCAGCGGGCCCAGGAACGAGGAGGACTGGAAGACGAAGGACGAGGTTAACTTGGTAGAGAGTGGGGGGGAAGAAAAGAAGGACGAAACCTTGTCTGTGATGGAGAACAAACCGTACCACCTAGCTTCCTCACCAGGTGGCAACAATTCCGCGTAAAACGCTCTTGCATATCCCTGGAAAGCACCATACACCGAACCTAACACACATCCCCCCCCGTCATCAGCCTCCTTCGTCCTCACACACACAAAAAAAAAAAAAAAGCCCACCAAAAACAACAGCCAACCCAAACATCTCACCCCTTGTCGTCAACCCCCCAAACCTCGTCCGTCCCTGAAACACGAAACCCAAACACCCATACGCAGGAATCAAGCTCGCCATTCCGACAAGAACGACCAACACTCTCAAATTCGTCCACCCCATCTTTGCTTGGATCTTTGGCCAGATAAGGGAGCCGAGTATCCCGGAGAGGGGCGTGAGGATCCCGATGAGGATGAGGGAGGAGGGGGTCATTAAGAGTGAGGTTTTGCCGAAGAGGATGGCTGTTGATGTTATTGTTGTGAATCCTTTGAGAGTGGTGTAAGTTGGGGGTGACGAAGAATGGAGGGGGAGAAGGGGTAGGGGACAAACCATCCGAAAGAAGAAACCACGCAGCCAGATACTTGAACGTATTCCTCAACTTTTTCATCTCCCTCCACCTAAGCATATCGCCCAACCTCACCCACGCAGCTCCGACTTCCTTCTTGACGTCCCAATGGGCCTTCATCCTCTCTCCCTCTCCAACAAGCGCATCATCATCCCAGACACCCCCCTCTGCGAAAGGCAGCCAAAGCCACGCAGGAACACTAAACAAGCCCCACCAAACCCCACTCAACCCAATCGCGACGCGCAGAGCAAACGTAGACCCATGCATCATCGTCACAGGCACCAACGCCACCAAAAGGAGGAATATACCCGCCCCATAACCCAGTGCGATGCCAAGTGACGATATTCGAGACGTCGTGCGGGATAGAGCGGCGTCGTATCGTGCTCTAACGTCCGAGTGGGAGTGAGGGCGAGGGATGAGGGGTGAAGAGGCGTAGTCGGGGTTTCCATTATCCCTTTCTTCTTCTTCTTCTTCTTCTACCTCCCCCTCTTCATTTCCTCGTTGCTCTTCTAGAATCTCAACAACCTCCGGCGCCTCCCTCGCCAACCCAGGCAAATACGCATTCATAGCCACCACCGACGCTCCAAAGCCTACGTTCGCGCAGATGGCGAGGAGGGAGGAGAGGTACCATATTGGAGAGGAGGAGGGGAGGAGGAGGAAGAGGGTTGAGGAGAGGGAGCCGAGGGCTGCGAATGATAGGAGGAGGGCTTTTCGGTAGGGTGCTGTGTGTGGGGGGTGATGTGAGAAAAGGGATAAGGGACAAGAGGGAAGAGGGAAGAGGCTTACGGTGGTCTGCGATTCCGCCCATTGAGATTACGGTTAGAGCTTGGAGGGCTACGGATATTGAGTAGACGTAGAGGCTGTGGGATGTTTGGATGTTAACGATTGAATTGAAGAAACGGAGGAGTTGGAAAGTGAACAGTCCCTAAACGAAATGCCTGAATGAGGGGCGGCAGGCAACGTAGACTCTGGCTGTACAAATCATGTAGAGGGGTGCAATAAAGACCACTCCTGCAAGATATCAAAGCGAACCCGCTAACCTTGACCAGGGCGACTGACCCCGAAGGTTGAGAGCGAGGAAACGACCCTCCCGACGCACACACTGGCATCCTCCTTCATCCATTCACAGCGGACGACAGACTGGTCTACCAGACAAAAGAGAGGTGCTCCAAGGTCAAGTAAGCGTGGGGGGGGAGGGGAACCGCGCCTCTCTGATGGCTGGCATCCACTGCGGGAGGAGGGTAACCACGGTAACCTGTGGCCTGTGCCCGAGCGAATCACGAAAAAGCGCTATCGGGAGGGGAAAGCCCCCGAACCCCCCAAAGTTCTCGAGCATGAAGATCCCCCCCCGTAGAATCACCACCCCCCCAAACACCTATATCCTCTCTCTCTCCACAATCAACCAAAGAGGCGGAAATCCTAAACGAAAAAAAAAAGAAGACCTACCTGAAACTCGCAGTATCAATCCAAACCCCCGCAATCCTGACGACACACCTCGCAGTCGAGGGCGTCATCCTAGCATTCGTCGTCGCAGCAGCAGAAGAACACCGCTCCGTCTTCAAAGGCGCCAAATACCCATTATCCCTAGCGAATTGTTCGAGGCAGATGGGGAGGAAGAGTGTTAGTGAGACGATGACGAAGACTTCGCTATAAAACAGAGGGAGGGGGGTTAGTTAGTTTGTGGTGAGGACTCGGAGAAGGAGGAAGAACGGACCTGGCAAACGCATAACTCAACCACCCATTCAGCTTCTTCTTGTATGCCGAGTTGGTGTTGGTGTTGCGTGGGAGTGAGCTAAGGAAGAGCATAGCATGGAGATGACGATGCGAGTTACGGTGGTGATGGAACGGAAAGAAGAAAGCTGATCTCACGGGTCAGTGTTTCAGTGGTTCACTTTAGCACTACGGCAGCATATATATCAAAGAGGAGAGACGACGCCCATGGAAAAGATATAGGGGGATGTGTACAAGTACAACAACAAGATACAAGGTAACCCATGGTCTAGCAACATCACGGTATCCTCCTTCGGATTCCCCTCACCCACCCTCCTCCTCCGACCTAAAAAGAACATTCCCAACATTCAGCAAACCCGAAAAAAAACTCCCCAATGAAAAAAAAAAAACAAAAGGACGTATGCGTACCTGCCCAAGATGCGCATCTACCTGATCCCCATCCTCCATGCCCAGCTATGTATGGTCCGCGTCAGTTTTCACATGAAACAAAGGAAGGAAGGAAGGGGACCTACCGAAGCAGGCGTATCCTCTTTGTTTATCCTATTGCCGTCGTACGTGAATTTGAAGGTTCCTGTGTGGAAGAGAGGTGGTTAGGAAGGATGGTAGGAGGAAGGAGGGAAACAAGGCGGAGGGAAGGAAGGGAGAAAATGAAGGAACGGGAAGGGACCGAAACGAAGAGAAAGAACAAAAAAAAAAAAAACGCGCCTGGTTCTTTCTGAAATCGTTTCTACCACATCCCAAAAAGTATCACATCAGTATCCTCAATCAAAGAAAAAAACAGGAGACGCATGCTCACCTCCGCCGCCTCGAATATCTTTGCAAACTTCATATTCGCCTTGACTTTTACGGTGATTTCTGGAGCACGCGTCAATACGAGTCTGACTATAGGTATAAGCTTTGAGACATACGAGAGCCATCATAAGAGATGTTCAAATTGAGCTTTGGCTTCACGTCTTCGTCTACTGGTTCTTGCGACATCTTTTGGAAGTGGTGGTGATGGGAATGATCAACCTGATTTCAAAGTCACGGTCACGCTTAACAGCAATGAGGCGCGTGGCACGTGTTGTGTTATGCTGTCACACAATTGCCGTTTAGCGGCGAACCCAAGCTTTGAACGAGCTTGCGAGCCGGACTGTCACTCCGAGGAACACCCTTATCAAATTACCGGATAGGCTAATCCTAGGCTATGCATCCCGTCTCTAAACCCTCCGCAAGATTTTCTCGGACCCCAGTCGAAAGACCCTTGATCTCGTCCACACTCCAACTTTCAACTTTGAAAAAACAAAAGTAACAAGCTATTCCTGTCGTTACCCACTCCCCGGGTTCTTTTGGCGCTAGTGAGATTCAATTTCAAGCCTCAAGTTCAAAAAAAAAAAGGACAGACGAAACTGAAATGGGATCTCTCCCCCCCCCCTGCCCCAACAACCTCAACCTCAATCTTCCAGAGTGCCAGTGGTCCAACCTTGGGCTTGGAGCTCAGTCCACAAATCCACATTTCAATGCTGTCAATAAGTACCCAATATCTGACAAACTTGAATTCTGCGCTTGTACCAGGCAACCCACATCTTTCTTTGGGACTCGGAGGTCGGAAGTCATGCGACTTGAGTGATGCAGATAACGTGTTTACAAGCACGCCGGAAATATGGGCAAGCGGCTTGTCCCACTAACTCGAACCCTCTCCCCCTTCCTTGCTCTACAGCTCTCCAAATTCATGACATTGCACACGTTGGCACGGACTCCCTGAGAGTCTTTGGCACTAGAGATCGTTTGAAGGGAAGCTCAAGGTCAATGGTTGCCGTACTGAAATTTTGACATCGCAATTGCGCAGGCAAGGCTGCTCGCAAGGTCGAAAAAAAAAACAAAAGGAGATACTATGCACCTGAAGATGTTGAGTCCCCGCCGCTCTAGAAGGCCTCTGATGGGTGTTGTTTGGGTGGGTTGATCAGTGCTACATTTACGACTCGGCCCATTCCATGACTTGAGATATTCAAGGCGAGTGGTTGTGTCGTCCCTGAAATTTGAAAAGTGACCAACTTGCTCCATATCCTGGCGTCTCTCCCTCTTTGGGTGCGGATATTATCATTTCAGGCATGAAATGATAAATAGAAATTCTAGTGTCTGTCAATGAAGTGCTCGCCAGCAGCTAAAATTACCGGCTGGCTCGCAAGAGATTTTCAAGGTCGGGAGGGTTGGTCGGTGCTTCACTAACTTCTGTTCAATCTCTATGCTTGTCCAAGTGGGTAAAAAATCCGCCTACATTTTAAATTTGAATTATTGTAGCGCAGAATTTTTTCTTGTACCTCTAATATATTTCCATTAACCCGCCAACATTTTTCTGGCCCACTCAAAGACTTTTGTAGTCTGCTCAAACACTTTGTAGCCTGCTCAAACACTTTGGTAGCCCGCTCAAACATTGCAAAATATTATTCACTCCGCCAACATTTTCTTTAGCCCCACACACATTTTGTAAGTTGTCAAGATATATTTTGCCTCATGCGCATATTTAATTAAGGCTTTCCATTTTAAGAATGCCGGCTTGCCGTGCTTATGTAATTGATCTCTCTCGGCACATTCGGCACACCCAGGGGGAGCTCTAAAGTACTTCTCGCACTCCTGCGTCCGTCCGGCAGCGTTTACGGGTGGGATTTGATAGTAAGTCTTTGTATCTATGTAATTATGGCCTTGCTTGTGTTCTCGCATGTCGTTTCGGCTCGTAGTAGGTAGTAAAATGTAATGTAACACCTTCTGTTAGTGGAAAACATGTATCAGATGTATTTCTGAAGGTATGTCTCCTCACTGTATCATACTGGGTACATATGCGCGGCACCTATTGCAAGGCTTGCTTGCAGGGTCTTGTGCCGTGTGAAAGCTGCGACATTTTTTGAGGGGAATGTCGCAGCTTTCACACGAAGTACAGGGTCTACCGTTGAGGGAGATCAATTACTTAAGCACGGCAAGCCGGCATTCCTGAAATGGAAAGCCTTAATTAAATCTGCGCATGAGTGGGCTACAACAGTGTTTGAGCGGGCTACGAAAGTGTTTGAGTGGGCTACAAAGTGTTTGAGCAGACTACAAAAGTGTTTGAGCGGGCCAGAAAAATGTTGGCGGATTAACAGAAAAATATTATAGGTACAATATTTCAAATTCAAAATGTAGGCGGATTTTTTACCCACTTGGACAAGCATAAATCTCTGTGTCGTGACCCGCTTTCCCGGCGTGTCTCCTTTCAGGGCGGACATCATTCTATCAGCCATGAATCGAGGCTAGACTCTCGGACTCGGGTTAGAATGACTCTAAGTAGCAACATATTCGCCACTTCGTCCTGGGAATCACGCGAACCAATACACCTTCACATACAACAAACGATAAGTACACTCGGAAAGAAGACGCGCCACCACTATACTATCATATTCTCAACCGGCAAGAGCCTGCTGTCCGGTCAGGACAATGGTGAAAGGACGCCACGTCGAATTTCCCAGGCTGTCCCCAAGTTTAATGGTCGTAAACGACTGGTCCAATAACTTAGATGATTCCTTATCCCACTCAAAATTAATCATGGACGCACCTTGGTAAGCTCGTTAATAACGGCGCCATCAAGAGGTGAACCGCCGCCACTCCCGTATTGCCCCAGCCAAGCTGGTGTAGCCGTAACAACGGGCAAGCCCTCGAAAACGGTGTCGTAAATTATCTGACAAACATGAATAAGTATGAGCAGTAATAACCCTCCACCGTTTGAAACTTACTTGATACTGTCCGCTGGTGCTAGTCTGGTTGACTGAGATACTTTTCTTCGCGGGTAAGCCAAAGGGTGGAAACACAAAGGTGCCGTCAGCCTTCACAATAGCAGATATAGTGATGAGAGTCATTTTCAATGAAGATAACTGATGTTCAGTTCCAACCCTATCTCACTCACTTTATATATACTCCAGCTAGAGTTCATTATCAAATCCAACTTCCGTAAAAATTGAAGACATGAGACCAGGCGTTTACGTTCATCCCTCCGGTACCTGTGCCTCTCGGAATTGTTGAAGTACCGGATATTAGAGAGGGAGCGGCGCGTGGCATATGGCAGTTATTTAGTGTTGCCGTCGAATCGAAGTGACTTCGAGGTGAGTTCGATTGGATTCGAAAATCACACGACTTCGATGCACTTCGAGCTACCGAAGTGAGTCGAAGTCCTTTCGTGATGGCCATCAAAAATCGCCAGAAATGGAAGTTTTCCGCACGTGAGGCGAGTTTATCATTGTCGCGTCCTCCGTCGCGTCTTCAGTCCCACCTCTTTCTTGAACTGTGGGGCTCGATGGCTCCTTTATATCGATGTCAACGTGCGCCGCTCCCTCGTCACTCCATTGTTGTCAACGCCGACCGCCGCAGAAGTAATCTCAACACCAATTCCGTGTGAAATGAGTCATGACAGTGAAAGAAAAACAAGCGGAGGAACGTGAAGATTAGAGCATTGCGCTGCGTGATGAACTCGAGAAGAATGAAGGCAAAATGTTCGAGACTTCAATTCAAAACATGGTTTTGACTGTTCCCTCTAATAAAATGCAACTTGAGTATCTAAAGATGGATGAATTTTGTGGTTTCACCACGGAACTCTGAAGATGACAGTACAGATGTTTAAAACTTTCCATTGTATCACGGTCTAAAGCTTAGATACTCTACTAGTACACTACCTTGGTGCGAGAGGCTTGACAATTGCTGATGATTTGATTGGCTGATCAATATCCGGCGACAACCGACTTCGATTCGATTCGATTCGACATCACGAAGTGGGGCGAAGTCAACACATTTCACCACTTCGATTCGATTCGATTCGCTTCGCGGCAACACTACAGTTATTTCAACCGCTGGCCCTTCAACTAAATTCGATGGTGTGAGCTTTGACGGCGAAACGTGCGTCTTGGCGAAGAGGATTCTAGACTTACACAATAGAAATTTAATTGCCAATTAACTTCGTTTTGGTGTTCGGCGGTAGAGAATTCGAGAAAAGGTGGCGTATGGCAAGTTGACAAGACAGTTAAAATGTTCCTCGCCCAGGGCGCGTTCGACATGCATTCCGCGTTGGTCGAGGTCCTGTCGTCGTTACACGAGTGCTAGCTAAGAAGTGTATGCCTCATTGAGTTGCGTCGTATCTTTGAGGTGTGGATCGGTTCCGCAAAGGTCAGAAAGCGTGATTCGGAATAGTCAAAGGGGTCGGTCGGCACTTCCTTTGTGGCATATTCACGAAATCCTTTCCATTATATGACAGCGGTGTTTCGTGACAGTCGTGAGAAGTGACTGGCCACCATAGAATAGCGAAAATGTCAGAGAATTCATGCACTAAGACGAAACAAATCAGGTATAACAATCGTGGTCTATATTTAGATTTCTCACATGACGAACAATCCTCAGGTTCTGGAAGGCTCAACGTAGGGACCTTGGAACAAATATCAAAGGATACATAAAGGGGGAGATAACTTGGTAGAACTTACTTGAATATTGTCGCGACGAAGGTGTTTGGCCAAAAGAAATAAAACTTCCTTCCCCATTCCGCGACAAGTATTGGAAAAGACAACAACAACAGTTTCAGCTAGGATGCCACAACCATGGCAAGGACATTATTATTGCCCGTGCTGGCGAGGCTGTGTTCTATGGCAGGACTTTGACATTATTCAGATGTTCCTGCCCTTGTCTTCCGATGGCGACAACACGGATAACAATGTCGCGATCGTCAAGCTTACGTGCCGTTCCAAACAGAAACTTTTCCTCGCGCGCATGTCAGAGAATGCGCTCTTTTGGCTAAGTTCAGCATAGCCAAACCCACTCAACAATAGTGAGGCGACCGGAAATCAGGAGACCAAAAAACAGCGCCCGAAAATTTGGACAAACTGCAAATCCCTTTTCGTGCCTTGTATTCTTTGAGTATTGAAAGGGGGCTGGCATAATGGAGTACATTACCGAGAGATCTGTAATAAAAAAGAACAAACTATACCTTTTCTCGAAGAGCAATCGAGCTGCCTTTGTGACGCAATTGGGAATAGATTCCCAAAACTGTCGGGTGATAGCAGGGTCATTACCATCGCTATCGTCATGATCGTCAATCTCCAGGCAAGCGTCGCCCATTGTGACGTTTTAAGCAGCAGAAGCGGGAAAGGACTTGAGTCAGAGAGAAAAGATTGAATGTTGCTTAATGATCATTGCCACTGAGCGCTAAAGCTAAAAATGGTTCCTGGAATTTCACAAAACGACATACCTTCATGCAACACCGCTGTGCCTTTTATTCTCTGATCGTGAATTGATATCAAGAGGAATTTTGAATTTAGTAGAGGACGATGAGGACGAAGAGCAAGTTTTATCGAAGATGTCTGATGATGACGTCGTTTTTTGCCAAGACGAATGGGTGTCGTTCCTGCTCCCCTACTCTGAGCTCCTCTAGTGTCCGCTGACGACAATCACAAAAGGTTAGTTGGTACTGACCTGTAGGACGCTTGGGGCTTCCCCGTTCCATGGACAAGGAGAAGGTCATGAAGTTGTCAGTTGATAACACGCAGCTTGATGTGGGGTGGAATGCAATTCAACTGCAACCTAGGAAAGTATGCTATTCCAAAGACACCCTCATACTTGACCGCACAGCCCGAGAAGCAGCGGAAGTACCTATCTCATTGACCGACAGCCGTCGTCAGCTCAAAACGGGGGATAAAAAGAGTAAGACGTACTTCCACAACGTCTTCGCTAGCCTAGAGGTACTACTCTCAAGCCCACTATCGATTTAACGAAAGTGATAGGGAAGCGGACCCAGTTTGTGCGGGCACCTGTGGGTTAAACGGTAAAACCTAAGCGATCGCCGGAAAAAGAATACTACCCACCTACTAAGCTCCTATTTCCGCAATATCCCGCTCAGTCTACTCCAAGGAGCTTGGCCTCCCCATAAAGCCTCAAGTGCCTGCCAGATGAGATCGAACACCACGTAAAACGACTATGGTTCTTCAAGCTTGGAGTTTGAAATGCCATATTGCTCGCCCTAGGCCCACCTAGTCATACCTCAAAAAGTTTCAAGGTTCAAGATAAAAGTCTTGGCTTGTAACTTCAACATCGCAAGGTGCCTATAAAGGCAGGAAGTACTGGTGGTTTGGGACCAATGGTCATGGAGTTCGGGGATGAAATATTGAAGTTTGTGAGTGTTTATCTATATTACATACTATAAACAAGCACCGATACACACGGGAGATAAGATACGGTCATTTGATTATTGAATCATCAACGCTTGGAAGCCCAATGCGCTGGGTCGCCAAGTTTCCCTATTATCACTGATTATTACAGGTCCAAGCCGTACACTATAGGGCAAGCCTATGTCGGTAAAAGTTTGCGCAAAAGTTCCCCTAAATTTTGGCATAATTTTCAAGGTTGTACACTTCGAGTTCTCCATCTCAATTCGAAGTCGGATGCAATGATAACTGAGTTGTGTCGAAGCACATAAATGTAACGCCAATTCGAGATTGGTCAAAATCTATTGGATTTTGGTGACCCCCCCAGTCAAGAGTATTCGAATGACGCTACAGGTGTTGTACTGCGAACTGAGGGACGGCGGGTTTTGCAGAAGATATACATAGATGGAGAGTAGAGTAGAGTGGAGTGGAGTGGATGTATTCCGGAGCGGTCTCAGTGAGGCCCGGGAACAACCGGCTTCCGACACACAACTGTAGCGCTATACTTCCGTTGGCCCTGAAAAACCATGCTGGAACGAAGAAAATTTACATCTCGGAGTTTCCGTACGGCGAAGGTATGTTGAGCGTTGTTGTAGTTAGGGCCATCCGCTCCAAGCTTTGAGGTGTGACTAGAAAAACTTATGGCCAAACTTAGTTTCTTTAGGCCGAGCTATTTTTACCAACACCTCTTTCCGTGATGAACTCGACAAGTCCAGCTGACCGCCCTATAAAATGTGAAATACATGCTTGTGGGTTGAGAGAGACAGCGCGGCCTCCGTCCAACTCGCGTATAATCAAATTACCCAGTAAATCTGAAACATTTGTAAGTTGCGAGTGATTTTCCAGAGGCGCATGAAATATTGGACGTATGGTCATGTACATCCACTTGCCGAGGTATACCACGCGGCTGGTGCATCACAAAGAACGAAAATCGGCTGTATCAAGCGCGCGGCGACAACCCCTCGACTAACGTCATTCTTTTTTTTTTGTCTTTTTAAAAAAAATTACTTTAAGACCCGACCAAGGCCGTTTTCATTGAGGTAATAATTCTGAGCTGATCACCTGGCAGTTCAGGACTGGTTTAGGACCATTTTTTTTCTTAGCCCCTAATCGTATGGATTGATAGACCAGGTTGCAGTGGCGCTCCCCATCATTGAGTGATGCGCTTCATCACGACACCAGCCTCACCACATGCAAAGCAACGGCCGTGGGCCGGATCATCAAATCTGAGCACTCCTCTGAATGTCATCATCTTCCTTAGTGTCTGTTGCCTGTTGGAATGTATGGTCGAGTTCATCTTACGAGATACCCTGGCGAAGCAACGGTGGTACCCTCATGCTGTGGGAACAACGGTCCATGTCCGTCGTCGATCCCTTACAGCATAATTAGTACCTCATTGCATGATAGATCAAATTGGAGTTGGATTGTCGATATGAAATTAGGTACACTTTGCTGTTCTGGCTCGGCAAGCATGATCAGTTTCATCCCATTCCGAGCCGGGACCCCCGGAAGCGCTCAAGCGCTCAAGGCTGCTCAAGGTGGTTTTCAATAATTTCCCACTTTTTTCTTGCAGATTGGTGCATACAGGTTTCGGCAGCCGGCAAGAAACATTTAACAAATTCCCACGCTATTTTGGAGGTCTTGCCATCACTATCAAGCATTGGAATGCAACGCATTCAAGCTACCACCTGCTACCACTTACCCAAATCTGTCCAGAACTGTCCGTCCCAAACTCCCTTCTTCCTTTGAAACCCTGCCAGTCTGCCGCGCCTTGCCCAAGCCGCACATATTTTCAATCTAGCCTCCAAAGAATATTTCTGGGGTCCTGATGAGACTCTCATCTTGCTTATTGGCGGAACCTATTTTGATAAACACGGAACACCGGTAATCTTTCGTTCTGTATCAACGACCTAAATCTGTGCCTGACTCGGTATCTTGGGATATTCAAAAGTCCTGGTCGCTCAAGACCTTCCACCTCCTTTTTCTGCCCACATCGTCACTGGTACCTAAGGCGCTTAGTGGAATAACGTTGCAAAGATGCAAGTTACTCTCGAGAATACGTCTGGGGCTCTCCAGATTGCCATTTCTATTTCCGTTTTCCTCTTTGGCATCGTAACTATGCAAACACATCGATATTACCATACATTTCAAGACGACCGCCTCATATTCAAGTTCTTAGTATGTGTCTTCCTTATATCTCTCTCCATCGTACCGTTGATTCGTTTCCTACCAAGGTAGCGCTTCTTTGGTGGGCGAAAATTACTTTCCTAATCGACGCCTACCTCATCACTACCCACACATCCAGGGTTCTGGAGTTTGGTCAATCGGTCGCAGTGTCTTATGAGGTCTACAAACAAACAACGAGTACTGTGATCGTCACTCGATTCGCGGGTCTCGGTACGGCGTTACTTTTGGGCGGGCTGATTACGACCTTGGTCCAGGTGCGTGCGCGCTGGATCTTATCCCACATTGCGCTGATCTTATCTTAAGACGTTCTTCGCACTCCGCGTCTTTAAACTTCTACCAAAGCCCTTCAGTTACATCGGCATTTTTTGCGCTATGCTCGCGATATGTCGGTGTATCGGAAGTTTTGTTCTAGGTCATGCCGCCGTACTGACTCACAATGTAATTGTCTGGAGGACGCAGTGGAAATGGCTCATCACGACACTTTTCATTTCCGGTGCCTTCATCGACGTCGTCATAGCGATTTCGCTGGTCCTATTTTTGGTTGAAAAGCGACAGGTAGCTCTTTCGGGGTAAGCGTCGAATCTCTAATTTTCTTGACTTCGTCTTGACCGCTTCATTCCTTAGAGCCGCCCGTGTCATCGATCAGCTTGTTGGGTTTTCAATCCGTGAGTACTCGCCTCTTCCGAGGATGCGCAGCCCTTTTATACCGCTCCAGGGACGGGTTTCCTTACCAGGTGAGGTCACATCGTCGGCTTCGCTTTTCTGCCTCCTGAACTGGACTATAGCATCACAGCACTCGTCGTATTGATATGCGTAGGTACATAGTCTTTTCATTGAGGACATTGCGCTAAAAACTCGAAGTACATAACGATGATTGAAAATTGTGTGTCATTTCCTCCTCTCTGACTTTCAACTTTTTTAATCTGTAAAATTTTTAGACATATGGATGGCCGCGTATACTGTTCTGGCGAAACGTGTGCTTCATCTCCTCATTTTATTAACTCTCAACTCACCTCCCGCAATTTTCATTACAGTGTACTCCAACTCTTTTCTGTCAGCGTCAGTCCCAGTATCAAATATAACCTTACCGTACATAACGGTTGTTTTAGACTGAATGGACGGCTCGAGCTAAGGGAATCGGTGAACGCCTCTCGATCAGGAACCAGCTCAACCTCAAAGAGCTCTTGGAGAAATGCACTAGACATGCGACTACACAGGGTGTGTCGTATTTTGCTTGCCCAAATTCAACGCTAATTTGCTGGTCTTCAAAGAAAAGTCAAAACCATGCGATTTCAATTGGTGTAAAGTCGGAAATAGAAATGCGTAGTGAGGCTATCGAGAATACCAACGAGCGTAAGGAGTTTTGGGACATGACAGTGAGTTACAAAGCGGCTGCCAGTATAGACATTGACAAGAGTTCTGGTTTTTTTTTTTACGAAGCAGCCACCGCCGCAGAATCCTACGTCTGCGTACATTTTACCAACCAAGATGATTTGACATAGCTATTTCACATATTCGAACAATCCTTCCACACCGTAATTATTAATTGACTGACTCCCGCTGCGCTGGAGATTCGCACCTTCCTTCCCCCACCCGAACGCAGGGTTTGTTCTCCCCCCCTGCGCATCTGTATACGTACATCTTGACAAAGCGACGACCTTATGACCTTGCCAATGCTCTAACGTAGTATTTTTATTTATGTATGTACCTTGTTGCAAAGACACTGTATCATTTGGGAAGTTGCGCAGTTTCTTGATCATACCACATACCTTTGTGGACCATTGCGAAAATACAGACACATCAAATCCACAAAATATCCTACATCGACATCCCCGCCGAAGACCATGGCAACTTCGACCATGACGCCAAGCCCAACGTGACATGTGACACATGATTGTGACATGTCACAATCGAGTCGTGTTGTTGTCAATCAAACCAAACTTTTTACTACAGTGCGAAGCAAGTTGCAACTGCCTGTGATCCAACTGTGATCAGGCTGATGATCACCCCGAACCCAACAGTAGGAAATTCGAAAGCTTCAACATTGATTCTCGCGAAAATCACGTTTTTCTTGGTTCGAAACGTTACTAGTAAGGACAGACGATCTTTCCGCCCACAATCAACGACGAGACACGATCTGTCCCACCTGGTTCGAAATCTCTTCATAGAGCAACCTGTTATAACACTAATTATAGCTCGCACGGGAAAATAAACTGGGTGCGATCGAAATTATCCTCCCTTTCTTTGACGAGAACCAAAGGCGAAAATCGCGCAGTGATAGGATCGTGGTACACCCATAGCGGCGCCTGAGGAATGCCACCCAGTCGATTGCTACAACTCCAACCGCATAGAGCGTTCCGTTCGTTCAAGGTCATAGTGGGTCAAGTTTCGTAAACATGAAAACCGCTCAGCTTTCACCTAGGGTACCTCAGCGACGACAGCAATATGCAAAGGACAACTTTCTCTAACATTCCCACCGAGTTATTGTTCAAGATACTAGACCAAGACGATATTCTGTCATCCCTGGATCTAATACGTGTTGCATCCCTTTCGCAACAACTAAATTTCATTGCTCTGACAGTGTTCTTTGGTCAGCACGGGATTCCACAACCTCGAAACACGATATCACTGTATCTCAATGATTGGAACAAACCTCACAGTCGCGGAACCACCTTCCCAGACGTCCTGTGTGGCCTGATGATTGCAAATCACCTCGAAACGGTGGATAAATTGACATGTTACTTCCAGGATCCCCACGTTGGCTCATCGCGTAACACGTATCAGGTTCCCATCAACCTTCCGGTAGCCGTCAGACGGCTTTCCCGTTTCGTCAAGCGGCTCACAACTGTTCGAACGGTGCAGTTGTACCTCGTTTCAGACTCATATTTTTTATTCCGTCAAAAGACCCTCCCGTTGGGCATCACACTCGCAGAGCTAGAAGATTGGTCTTGCGCCCTGGGAGAACTTTTATCCCTGCTCATTGGGCGTGGATGTGGTTCGCTCACTGTTCAGTACGATTCACACATAGATCACATGGTCCAGTTCCATGCCACTTATCGCATCCCACGGCTCTTATTGAATGTCGGACAGGCCATACTTCGATCAAGTGATCATTCACCGCTTCCCAATGGGAGATGGGAATTCCGCAGAGGAGAAAACGGCGTAAATCTGGGATCGTTAGGGGGTGAGCTGACCGAACTCAAGTACGGTGTTCGTACTGGTAGCTCACTCCACTCCATATCACTTCACACACCCGCTCTCCTCCTCCCGCCACTCTACCGTTGGACTCTGTCCCTCCTTCAAAACAGCAGCTCCCTGACCAGCATTACTTTTGGACACATTACACTTCCAAAAACTTTCTGGGAAACTCTTCTTCCAGTCATGGCCCAAGAGGTGTCCACCAAACTCACCAAACTCGCATTCTTTCGATCCTGTTCAAATCTTACAACGCATGACCTTCTCAGATTTATCTCGCACCTTCCACTTCTAACATATCTATTTCTTGATCGTTCATTACAGTTTTCCGCTGATGACCCCTTGACCAGTGGGAGGAAGGGGATACATTCGATGCATCTCTTTACAACGCGATACCTGGTGCCAGAGTTGCCTCATCTCACGACGCTTCACGCTCCCGCTGACTTTATCTTTCACTTTCTCAACGGCAAAACATTTACGATGGTCGTCCCACTCCCGAAATTAAAATACATCGCCGTTTATCCATGCTGCCGACTCTTTTATCCATCCAGCTACGCAACGGCTGCCAGCGCCGTAAATTCGCTCTGTAAAAGTGTGAAGGAGAAACCCCACTTACGAAGCGTATCTTTCGCTCTCGACGATCAAATGGACAACACTGACTTTCAACTTGCCATGCCATACGTTGACGCGAGAACGAAGTTTCTGCAAGATGAGGCTCTGGGATCCAACTTTCCCAATCATCCTCCCATATTCGACGACATCGAACATCTCATTTTGTATAAATTCGATATTCGAGCGAATGCAGATTACAATGAAGCTTTCATTCGGTGGCTGAAGCACCTTTTCCCCTTGTTATCTCAACTCTCTTTTACTTGTCAGCTTCCTGCTCGCCCAGAAAACGTATTGGAGACAGGGCTCAACGTGGAAACAATCGAGTGGCTGTTAGAGGAACTCAGAAAGCAATGCAGTAATATTCGAAATTTGGTCATTGCGCAACGGTTCTTCACGCGAGAGAGAAACGGTTGGATGGAGCATGCCAACAGGGATTAGGGTCTGCCATCACATTGGGCCGTGACCAGGATAGCACTCGGGTACAAATATTCTCTTGATACCCCAACCGATCGGCAGTGGTTTTAAACAATGTACGGTGAGTTTGAACTTGCGTGTATGTTGAAAGTCTAGTATATTTGAATGCTCCATGTTTCTAGCTATCGGAACCAACGTCAAATTTAATTTATTGTGACTTGCGCGAAGACGTAAGGTTTTAGAGGGTAGAATGGATCCCGATGCCATTAGCCTGACACGTAAGGTAATTATTCGCCTTCTACCCACTTTCTACAAAAACAGCCCCGCAACTATCGACCATGACTCTCCGTTATGTCCAGTTATTTCTTTTTGGAGGCACGCCAATGCGTGAACCTGAAACCAATGGCACCACACGCGATCTATCCGGACTTTCCTTCAACATGCCGCTGAGCCTCAATACCTCTGGTGGAATCGGAAGCAGGGATATGCCTTTAAACCCGTTTTTTCGAAAAGCCGAGTCAAGGACCACCTGTGGCTTTTTCAAAAATTTGACGTTGCCAAACCCTTTCCTCATCGAAGTCATAGTGGCTCGCTTCTGAAGGCCAAGGGCCGTAGTACCAACCACGTATTCATTCTGTCCTAAAGACGTAGGACCATCTCCCAAGATATTTTCCATGCTTGATGGATGAAAAATCGCTCCGGGGCTGATGACGGTGACGTCTAAATCAATGGTGGCGGCATACACCCCGGTTGCTCGTCTCATTGCCAGAGCGGCGTCAAGGACCTGAGTGAGCCAGAACTCCAGCCCTGGCCTTTCCTCGCAACCCAAATTCCACCAGCCCGAAGCTCGAAATATACTCTGAATTTTCAGAACAACATCCTTCAACAAGTCTTCGCGTCTCATGGATATGGGTTGTGCGCGAGCTAAGGAGCGCCATTTTCCGGCGACCCAATGATTCCCTGTGGAGGCTCGGTCATTTCAGCACTTGAGAGAGTCGTGTTTCCTCACCAGTGGACGCACAGATCATGTCATAGGTGTGCTGTAGTGCATTATTAGCCAACTCGTCTCCAGGCCTCCATGCCAGTATAAGGGTTGCAGACCATGTCACCATGGCCGTTTGGAGGACGATCTGCGCGATAGCCGTTGTGTAATCTGCACCCTCTAAAGACAAAAAAGTGTTCCCGACGATCTTTTTCGCTTTGTCGACAGTCGCCATTAAATCTTGGCCCAAATATCTTTGCCTATCCTTGTAGCATGCCATCGTTGAAACCATTGCGGAAGCTGCTTCGACTATTTGCAAGTTCAAATAGTCGAGTCTATGCATCGCATCCTCCATTGAAAGTGTAACCGCCCCGCCCATATGTTTCTCAAACTCCCAGAGTTCTTGGCATTTAATGATTTTGCGTTTCAGCGTGTCATACTGGATTTTGCATGCCCCAATCGACTGCTCGACCTTGTTAAGCTCTGCATGTCTTAAATCCAAGAGAGCTTCCGCTTTTGCCAGTTAGGGCAGTCAAATGGGTCCATCACTGATGGGCCAGCGGACTCGGCCGAGCTGTCAAGAATTCGGCCTTGGGAATGACTGGGCCGAGACTCTAAAATAGGCCATGCGACATGGGTGGGCCGCACGAACAGAGCCCCATAGAGGACGGATCGGCCCACTTTGCCTCTGGCGCCCATGGGTTGCGCCCAATTGCACAGATCCCATTGTTGCGCCCATCGTTCTTTCAGGCAGTTAACCAGAGTGCTGCCTCGTTAGTACCACTGTGGGGGACCACACAGGAGAAAGTTAAATAGATATATTATTAACCTGTTGTATGTGAAGTAAGTATTTAAATGTGTTGACAGCAGCCTCGTTGTTGCGCCTGCAGGCAACAACAGGTGAATTTTTCGCCATGGATGGGTGGCATGAAAAAAAGCCCCTCATACAATGGGTCAGCCCACTTTGGCAGAGGTTTATGGCACCCATGCACTGCGCCCATTGGTCTCATTGGCGAGTCCCAACCTGTGCAATTATTTTGCACTCCACGAGAGGCACAATTCTTTTGCGCTCCATGGGGGGCGCAATTATTTTGTGCTCTAGAGGTGCAATTATTTTGTGCTCCATGAGAGGTGCAATTATTTTGCGCTCCAGGGCGCAATTACTTGCACTCTATGGGGGAGCAATTCTTTTGCGCTCCAGGGCGCAATTACTTGCACTCTATGGGGGAGCAATTCTTTTGCGCTCTAGAGGTGCAATTATTTCAAGCTCCATGAGAGGCACAATTCTTTTGCGCTCCATGGGGGGCGCAATTCTTTTCCAGTCCAGGGTGCAATTATTTGTGCTCCAGGGTGCAATTACTTGCGCTCTATGGGGGCGCAATTATTTTGCGCTCTAGAGGTGCAATTATTTCAAGCTCCATGAGAGGCGCAATTCTTTTGTGCTCCACAGGAGGCGCAATTCTTTTGCACTCCAGGGCACAATTATTTGTGCTCCAGGGCACAATTACTTGCGCTCTATGGGGGCGCAATTATTTTGCGCTCTAGAGGTGCAATTATTTCAAGCTCCATGAGAGGCGCAATTCTTTTGCGCTCCACAGGGGGCGCAATTCTTTTGCACTCCAGGGTGCAATTATTTGTGCTCCAGGGCGCAATTAGTTTGCGCTCTAGAGGTGCAATTATTTCAAGCTCCATGAGAGGTGCAATTCTTTTGTGCTCCATTGGGGGTGCAATTCTTTTGTACTCCAGGGCGCAATTACTTGCACTCTATGGGGGCGCAATTATTTTGCACTCTAGAGGTGCAATTATTTCAAGCTCCATGAGAGGCGCAATTCTTTTGCGCTCCATGGGGGGCGCAATTCTTCTGCACTCCAGGGCACAATTATTTGTGCTCCAGGGTGCAATTACTTGCGCTCTATGGGGGTGCAATTATTTTGCCCTCTAGAGGTGCAATTATTTCAAGCTCCATGAGAGGTGCAATTCTTTTGTGCTCCAGGGCACAATTATTTGTGCTCCAGGGCACAATTACTTTTGCGCTCTAGAGGTGCAATTATTTCAAGCTCCATGAGAGACACAATTCTTTTGTGCTCCATGGGGGGTGCAATTCTTTTGCGCTCCAGGGTGCAATTATTTGTGCTCCAGAGCGCAATTATTCTGAGCTCTACAGGGGGTGCAATTATCTCAAGCTCCACAAGGGGTGAAATTATCTGTATTCCATGGGGGGGACAATTATTTTGAGTTCCATAAGGGATGCAATTCTTTTGCACTCCACAGGGGGCGCAATTCTTTTGCACTCCACAGGGGGCACAATTCTTTCAAGTGCCACTGTATGTACCTTGTGCTTTGATAGGGTTACAAATAGTCTGTGTCCAGCATTGTTTCAATGTCAGAGTGCGCCCAATGTGAAATGGGCACGAAATGTCATGTCAGAGTGCACCCAATGTGAATGCACATCAAATGTGCGCACTAAGTATGCATCTGCACCTGTTATTTTTCAGTGTGTATTTCCACCCATTATTCTTTTGCATGAAATGTTGAGTGCGCCCAATGTGAATGGGCATGTGAGTGGGCGCCAAGTCACTATATTCCCATGGCATTTATTTTGCACAAAAAATATGCGCCCCCCCAATTGTAGTAAATGTGTGGACCAAAGTAGTTTGTAGCTGCCCTGCTGAATGACATCATGTGCCCCACTGAAACAATTTTTTTGCGCCAAATGATGTTTGGACTTTGTCAAAATTTGGCCATGTCTGGTATATTTTCCAGCTCAGGGTGTGGGGGAAGAAGCTTGAATGTACAAATTTAGTATCATTAGAGTTGTATAAATGTCCTCTATCGATCTATACCTATTAGAAAAGCACCAGTAGTTGTGTAAATATTTTATGGCAGCAAAAGACTTGAAAGATGTTGGAAGGGCCAAGCAAACAAAGGCAAACATTCCGATAATTCTACAAGTTCATGCTACAAAACATGGGGGAAGAAGCTTGGATGCCCAAACAAGCTGGAATCATAATTTAGACGCAATTCAGCATCTACTGATACCATTTTTTAGAGCAACGGTTGTTTGTGGCCAACCGAATTCAATACTCAGCTGTTTTGTCTAGGCTGTCACACTCTCACAAGTGTGATTTTTCTGTCAAGCATGTTGCGTTGATTATTGTCCAGAGCTTTGCAGTGCTCTTCTTCGTTTCTTAAGGCTCAGCCAAAAGTTACAGAGAAAGATAACTATATATTGGATAAAAGTAGCTGTAGGTTACTGGCTGAGAGCCATCTTGCAAATCTATGGAATCCATCCCGAAAATTCATGAAATCCATCCACCATTCCAGGAATTCCATCTTCAATTCCTGTAGATTAAACCAGGAAGTGTACTTCTGGAGCCCAGAGCCCAGCCTATATCCTGTACCATCCAAGAGAGTGAAATATGGGGCATTGGGAGGCACCAATGTGATTTGGGAGTGACCTGGAGGGTGGGGGAGAATGGGAAGGCAGTAAAAAATGCGAAATATGAGAGAGCATGGGGAGTATCATCACCTACCCATGTCTGGACACCTTAGAAAGTCAGGATAGGACCATAAAATGTTTTGGAAATGGGAGGAGAATGGGATGGCAGAGAAAAATGCGAAATAGGAGAGAGCATGAGAGGTATCATCACCTACCCATGTCTGGACACCTTAGAAAGTCAGAATAGAACAGATTGAGCGCACTCTGATGGGCACATTCTGATGGGCGCACTCTGATGGGCGCACTCTGATGGGCGCACTCTGATGGGCGCACTCTGACATTTGGTGCACATTCCCATTGGGCGCTCTCCAAATACGCAGATGCACACTTGTTGCAGGTATATACTAACTTGGCACCCACTCACATTTGGCACACCTTCACATTGGGCTCATATTTCATTTGGTGCACATTCACATTGGGCACACTCTGACATTTCGTGTGCATTCACATTGGGCACACTCGGATATTTCATGTGTATTCACATTGGGCGCACTCTGACATTTCATGAAGAAAAATAATAGGCGCAAATACACACTTGGCGCCCACTCATGTTTGGTGGAAATCCACATGGCAAAATTGGTGCACAAAATAATGGGCACAGATACACATTGGAATATAATGGGCGCAGATACGCACTTGGTATTGACAGTTATGGTGCCCACCTGAAGCACCAATGGGCATGAGAATCTGACACTGACAGTGTCTTGGTGCCCACTCACATTTGTATTCACTACACAATGCTGGACACAGGCTATTTGTGACCCTGTCAACAGCACAAGGTACATACAGTGGCACTTGAAAGAATTGTGCCCCCTGTGGAGTGTACATCCCTCATGGAGCTCGAAATAATTGCACCCCCCATGGAATGCAAATAATTTCGCCCCTCGTGGAGCTCGAGATAATTGCACCCCCTGTAGAGCTCAGAATAATTGCACCCCCATGCAGCGCAAAAGACTTGTGCCTCTCATGGAGCTTGAAATAATTGCACCTCTAGAGCACAAAATAATTGCGCCCCATAGAGTGCAAAATAATTGCTCCCCCATAGAGCACAAGTAATTGCTCCCTGGAGCGCAAAAGAATTGCGCCTCGTGCCCTCTGTAGAGCCCAAAATAATTGTGCTTCCCTGGAGCACAAAAGAATTGCTAGAGCACAAAATAATTGCGCCCCATAGAGCGCAAAATAATTGCTCCCCCATAGAGCACAAGTAATTGCGCCCTGGGGCGCAAAAGAATTGTGCCTCATGCCCTCTGTAGAGCTCAAAATAATTGTGCTTCCCTGGAGCACAAAAGAATTGCTAGAGCACAAAATAATTGCGCCACATAGAGTGCAAAATAATTGCTCCCCCATAGAGCACAAGTAATTGCGCCCTGGAGCGCAAAAGAATTGCGCCTCATGCCCTCTGTAGAGCTCGAAATAATTGTGCTTCCCTGGAGCACAAAAGAATTGCGCCCATTGTGGAGCTTGAAATATTTGCGCCTCTACAGCACAAAATAATTGCACCCCCCATAGAGTGCAAATAATTGTGCCCCTTGTGGAGCTCAAAATAATTGTGCCTGTAGAGCGCAAAATAATTGCACAGGTTAGGACTCACCAATGAGACCAATGGGTGTAGTGCATCAGTGCCATAAATCCCTGCCAAAGTGGGCCAGGCATTTACTACAATTGGGGGGGCACATATTTTTTGTGCAAAATAAATGCCATAGGAACATAGTGACTTGGCACCCATTCACATACACATTCACATTGGGCACACTTGACATTTCATGCAAAAAGATAATGGGTGGAAATACAACTGGAGAATAACAGACACAGATGCATACTTAGTGCAGGTACAAGTGATTTGGCACCCACTTACATTTGGTGAACATTCACATTGGGTGCACTGACATTTTGTGTGCATTCACATTGAGCGCACTCTGACATCTGGTGCCCATTCACATTGGGCACACTCTGACAATTGGTGCCCATTCACATTGGGTGCACTTTTCATGCATTCACATTGGGTACACTCTGATGGGCGCACTCTGACATTTGGTGCCCATTCACATTCCAACATTTCATGCATTCACATTGGGCGCACTCTGATATTTCAGGCACATTCATGTTGGGTGCACTCTGATGGGCGTACTCTGACAGTTGGTTCACATTTACATTGGGTGCACTTTTCATGCATTCACATTGGGCACACTGACATTTCGTGCAGAAAAATAATCACTGACATTTTGTGCCCATTCACATTCCAACATTTCATACATTCACATTGGGCACACTGATATTTTGTGCACATTCACATTGGGTGCACTCTGATGGGCACACTCTGGCATTTGGTTCACATTTACATTGGGCGCACTGACATTTGGTGCCCATTCACATTGGGCGCACTTTGATGGGTGCACTCTGACCTTTGGTGCACATTCACATTGGGCACAGCACACTCTGACATTGAAACAATGCTGGATACAGACTATTTGTGACCCTATCAACAGCACAAGGTACATACAGTAGTACTTGAAAGAATTGTGCGCCCTGTGGAGCACAAAATAATTGCACCCCCTGTGGAGTGCAAAAGAATTGCATCCCTTATGGAGCTCAAAATAATTGTCCCCCCCATGGAATGCAAATAATTTCGCCCCTCATGGAGCTCGGAGCTCGAGATAATTGTGCCCCCTGTAGCGCTCAGAATAATTGCGCCCCCATGGAGCACAAAAGAATTGCGCCTCTTGTGGAGCTTGAAATAATTGCACCTCTAGAGCACAAATAATTGCACCCCCATAGAGTGCAAATAATTGCGCCCCTTGCAGAGCTCAAAATAATTTCGCCTGTAGAGCGCAAAATAATAATGGCATTGGTGCAAAGTGTGGGTTATTTTCAATAGGAGCACCCATTATTGGCAGGCGCCCACCTGTTCGGCCCAGCCATCACTATGGATGATTTGTTGAGATGTCGGCCGAGTCCGCTGGCCCCATATGGTATGAAGCATTGTCAAGTTCGGTTGGTCCATTTGGTAAGGGCTAGGGTCACTGTCATATGTGCTTTTGCGACTTCAAGTTGGAGCTCTGTATCCACCACCCCGATTGACTGGACCGGTTCGTGTGTTCCAAGCGTATCCGACCCCTTCAAAGTCGCTTCCCGATCCATTACCTCCTCTTCTGAATGTGTCTGCTGGATAATGGGGGGCAGCGGTTTCTCCCATCCCCCGTCGGCCGGAGCAGCGAGAACATCGCCTTCACGATTGATAACGATATCTCTCCCGTCTGGACATAACCTTCCTCTGAGGACGTCAAGCTCCTTTAAGAGCCTGTGATAAGCTGCTTGAAATTCCCACTCCGTCCTCTGAAATTCCCTCTCCCTCCTCGTGAGCTTCCTTGCCATTTCCTTCAGCTCCTTATTCTCCATACATTGAAGGCGATTCGTCTCGGATAGTTTGTAGAGCTGCACCGATTGCGCATCATAGCGCTCTAGCAGTGCCGTCATCAAGGCATCCATCTCGACGGTAAAGACGGGTTCTGCTAGATTGAAAGTCAAACGTACAATCATTGAGAAGGGTAAGCTCAGGCGTCACTACAATTCTCGTCCATCTGGCCATTATCGTTTTCGCGCGTCAATGCAGCTGCTCTTTCAACCTCTCGAATTCTGTACGCCGCTGACAAGAAGGGAGGGACCTGCTTTTCCATAGGATCCGCATGAGAAAGAGATGACATGATTACTTGCATGAATTACGCACCCAAACACAATCTTGTGTTTGCCCGCATTGAAGGGACCGGAATTAGAAAAAGGGATACAGACCTTTCGGAAATTCATGTCCACGTGTTTTTTTTTGTGAAAGAAATAAAATAAATTGTATAAATGTAAAAATTGCTGCGCTGTCGTGTTCTCGCTCTGCAATGCATTTATGGCGAGTGTTTACCATCATATTAGTGCAGAGAGAGACCTCCAGTTCATTGAATTAGGGTGGGACACCAATGAAATTGCCAAGAAATTGCTGCCACCTTTTGTGTCTCGGAAAAAAGCATTGAGCGAGCTATGCAACCCATTGGCACGGCATAGTAAATTAGTCACTCCGAAATCCTTTGTAGACACTCATACGAAGATACTGACGCGTACTATTCGGTGAGGACCCCGTTCTCCATGCCTCGCTTGAGAGGAATGCCCATCTCAGCACCCTTTCTGCCCTCACTTGTAATCACCCAGACAACAGCGAATGTCTTGCCCTCTTGCGAGGAAGCTTTAGGTTGCCAGCTCCAACTTGTGTCATCCACCCTCCAGCCCTTCACCCCCCCATTCTAATCCTCGCAACAGGTCTGACGGGCAGGTCACGGTCATCGTGACGTTCCCCTGGCGCATATACACAATCTTGCACTGTATCACCGCACAAAACTCTTCTGTCACCTCGTTGCAATTTGATAAACGGTGGCTGGCGACGGTGGGAACGATGGGTGGGTGAGGCTGTTCGAAACAGAGACGGGGATTCGGGAATTACGTGCGGGATTTGAGTGGGCCCGGGGAGAGTTTGGAAGGTAGATAGATGACTAGACCGTGACTGCCACTGACTGGACCTATCATAGTATGGCTCACATCCTCCCCAACATCCTCTGAATCTGGCCGCCCACCCCTCCCTTCCGCTCCAGGAGGTACAGGAATTTGAGAGGTTCATTGTCGCCAGAGACTCAGAGTTGTCAGACAGAGTTGTCGGACATAGTGACAGGTAAAGGGATGTTGGAACACCCGGAAATAGAGATCGACGGGCTAGTCGCGTACGCGCTATAGACGACACCAGTCAGTTTTGCAATTATTCAATTTATTTTATTTTTTTGTGAAAAAAAGAATAAATTTCCGAAAGGTCTGTATTGGCCCTGATTGATATTGGAGCCGAAATTTGCCTCTGGTCCTCTGGATGTAAAGCGCCGTTGAAACCCCCACCTCGCAGATCTAACATTTCCGAAATGATATTCCAACTAAACTTGCGCTTACCGAGAAGGAATCGTTATTTCCATTAACACTCGCGCCGTTTGGAGAGTGTCACTCGACTTCACTGCTTAACTTGGTACATTGCTGGGGATGTAGGAACCTCTGCACCAATGTCACCATCCACTACGCCCAAAACCTCCATGAGATCAGCTCGGCCGAACATATGCGCAGCTTGTACGGCGCTCGGTGTTCCAAGACGCGGGTCGGCTCCTTTCGCAGCCAGGAGGTGAACCACACGATTATGTGCTTTAAACACGGCGCCAGCTATCATGGATTGACCGAGGTCATTGAGCCGATTGGTGTCAGCGCCCCTATTTAGGAGTTCTTCCGTGAGGTCTGCGTGGCCTGCGTATGATGCCAACATCAACAATGTGTTGCCTAAACTTGAGTGTGGTCTATAAAAATGCTGGTAGTTCATAAAGAAGAGACGTCACCTTTATCGTTCGTAAGATTTACAGGAAGTCCTGCGTCGATAGCGGATAACAAAAGCGACGAATCACCTGTACGAGCAGCATTGAACATTCGTTGCGCAAAATCGAGGGTATCTGGTGGCAAGGTAGACACATCGAGCTTCTGATCCCCTGCGATCGCCTACGACAGAAAGCGTTAACTCGCAGTGTAGTCTAACAAGAGAGGCAATCACCATGAGAGGGCACAATGGGAGATTGCGTTCGAAGAAAATTGCTGAGAATTTATGGGCGTGACGCGTATTACATAAGCATCTAAGAACATCCAAACTTTACAGGGGAGCTACATAATTCGTACAGATCGAGACAAAAGACAAGAACATTCAAAAAAAATAAGCCCCGGTCAGCGAACAAGGCGATCAATTCCAGCAGGAACCTACCCAGTCAACGATTAGATCAGAGCTGAAGGACAGTCCTTTAAAACAAATAGACGCACCGTCCATCCGTGTGTAGCGGCGGCTCGCTTGAATCCAACAAGCGAATCAGAGACGCTGTAGGGCCTGGAGAGCGGCATGAGAAAGTAACCCAATGAGAAGAGATTTTCATTACTGATTCCAATTGTTCGCTAGACGCGCAGGTTTCGGATCCAGGTTTGAGATGGCTAACTTGATTTGCAGCAAGACGGCAGAGATACTAATCGACGTTCATGTATCATATCCAAGCCCCATTTGAACGACCACGTACCTGTAACTGGGGAGCCAGCCTTTTGCAATTGTTAGGCTACTTTGGCTGATTTTAGAAATGAAGAGGATTCACCATCCGACGTAAGCAGATCCATACAAATTGAACCACCTATGATGCCGAGAAAAGAACAATTTTTAAATTCTGGCATATCTGCTTACCTCCAGTGATATGGCCTCCCCCTCCTTGGATGAATGGTAGGAAACGGGGCGTGATGATTCTGAAAAACGGAGGGGATATTGGAAAGGCGGGCGGAAAACGTATCTCGAAGACAATCGAGTTGAGTTTCCTAAAGCGATCATGGTTAGAAATTTCCAAGGGACAAAATAAAACGGAGTTACTTGTCCTTCAAATCTTTCGCAATCGGCAGCTTTGGGTCAAAAGAGTGCATCTCAACAATCCACTGGAAAAGGTTGTCTCCAACGAGGTTGGGCGGCATGTACCAGCCCAACTCTCGTAAACACGGCGCCATCTCCTGTTCGTCCAACATGGCTTTCAGCTCTCTCTGAACCGCCGCTGTGGAGCTACGCGTCGATTCGAATGGCGGAGGCATGAGGTTCTCAACAACGCTGTTGACCCATTTTTCGTCGTGCTTCCAATCGTTTTTGGGTCTGACAATAGGCGCTTTAGCTTTAGCTGGAGCGGAAACGGGGACGCGATAATCTTCATCGTCACTCCCATCGATGACGATAGCCTCGGACGCTGCCGCTTTAGAAGAATCAATATGGAAGATCGCCATGTCTTCCACATCTGGGTCTTCTAGAACGAAGTCTGTAGCCCGCGCATCGAGAAGGTGTTTGATTTGGTAGGAGGGATCGGGAATCTCGATAGATTTCCCAGATACCGTTGTAGGATGTGTAGGATCGAGTTTAACGACGGGAATTTGGTCCTTCTTCGCTTTGTGTTTGGATTTTGGTTCAGGGGCGATGGTGAGTCCATCCGAGTCGTTGAGGCCCTTGAGAAGCAGATAGCGGCTATTGGAAGTTATTTTATATCAACACGTCAATATATAGGCGACTGACCACATGATCCAATGTGTGTCCTTTACCACAAGATATGGGTTGGAGCTTACAAATTTGGCTGGCAAGTTTACAACTTCCGCCAATGCTACACAGTTGGTAGGGCTGGTTTGGCTTTTACTCCATGTAGATCGGGCAGGCTGCGCGTAGCTGCCCATGGATACCTGCGCATCCTTTGCAAGGTATACACCTATTTTTGCGTTAAATTTGATCGTAGATTACATGTAAAATGAAAACCGACCGTCCCCGTACGCTCGGCCATGCGCAACCGACTTGTACCAGAGGCCGTGACGAACGATCTTTCCCAGAATGAGTTAGATTACTTCGCTGAATGGAGGATGCTTACAGAATGCCAATTTTTGAGTGGAGAACCGTGGAACGCCTACACACGGATATCAGTGGCCGCAAGGATGAGGCGGTAAATATACTGACATAAAGGACGGGGAACTTTTGGGCATGCTTATCAGAGTTAACTGCCTCTTCTATTGCGGTTTTGAACTTGGCTTCCGCATCGGGCGCGCCCACGCTCAATCTAAATTGTCGCCAATTCGGGTCTGACGGATATCAGAGGTGAAATGAGGTAAAGCGGAGAAAATTCTGACCCAAATTTTTGATCAACTCTTGACCCGAAGTGATTTCTTCAATATAAGCCGTGCACGAAGCAACACACCTGACATCTCTTGTAAAAAGATCCCAACGTTTGAAAAATGTCTCACCACCGGAGTACAGACCACGCTGCAGGCAGAATTAAAGGATTGATTTCCTTCAATTTTGGCTTTGATTTTCCAGCTTTTACTTTCCTCTCAAGATGTCTCTTCATATCGTCCACCTGAAAGAAAATATTCTATATGATGGAAAAATACCACAAGCCAAGACGTACCGAAGGAAGACTATCGATGAGCTTGGCGATGCACCCCCTCATCTGCGCAAAGCAATAGTCGAGCATCATAGAGTGAATGATAGGCGAGAGTTACCTGAACGGCATCCATCTGGTCGAATTCACAAAGACCGTCTTCATCGGCTTCTATGAGCTTCGGTTCAAGCGTCGTGGTTTGCTGCCCACCGGCGGAGTATTGGTACTGTTGTGCGTAAGAACCGGTCACAGTGGTGCTTGAAGCCGCAGGAGCTGCTTGGGAAGGGTGCGGTACTTGCAATCCCATCCCGATAGGGAAAGGGTGGTCCATAGCACCCTCAGCTGCTGAAGTGTACGCCAAAGAAACCAGAAGATCGACTGTTCTTGGATTATGTATAATTTCATACTAGTCTCGGAATAAGGAACGAAAAATGAACGACAAACGTAATAACTTACCTCCAGTGAAGGGCCTTGATTTAGAGAGTAATACTGGTATGAGCACAACTTGGAATCGCAAACATAGGGCTTCAGAGCCTCGAAGTCGACATCCAGCTTGTTGTGGCACACAATACAATATCGCGTGCAAAGCTAGGGCGAATACTTAACTCGGATGTGACGAAACCATACTATACACATACCGCAAGACGACGAATCAGATAGCAGAACGCTGTAAGTGGCAGATTGATAGGCTCGTCTTTTCCAAGGCCAGCCAGAGGGTCGTGAGGTAAGTGGGTTGTCCTAGCGAGTTTGATCTCTGCCCTGTCAGCCTCAAGGATCGCCTAGCGTAGCAAGGTCAGAAGTGTGGAGACGAAGTAATCGTATTTGCAGATCACCGGTTTTTTCAAATTTAAAACGTCGTCCGGCTTCATCTGGGACTTCTCTACTTCATTCAGCAAGACTTCGGCGCCTGCCCACCCAAGAGCGTACTTCCTTCGCAGCTGAACAACCTTGAGAAATGCCTGGTCGATCAAAGACTCAAGCGAACTGCTCAAGCTGAACCGGTCGAAGCGTCCCTCATCTTCCTCCGGTTCTTCTTCTTCGACACTTTCTGGGGCGAGGTCCATAGGTGTGTCAATGTCCCAGTCGTACATTTGCTGCTGCTGCGCCAGCTTCTCCGCTTGCAGACGCAATTCATCCTCGGCATCTTGTATGATCAAACCATGCCTCCGAACCGCTTCCTGAACCTGATCTCTTCCCGGCTTGTACCTCTGACTGAGGCCGACCTTGAAGGAGAGAGTAGCGCCAATCATGTGCGCAGCCGAGGTATAGGTGCCGTCAGCCGTGATCACCGGATATACACCTCGAAAACCCGATATCAAAAGAGTTAGATGCTGAGAACGAGAAAGAAGACGGCGGTCCCAAGCCATCAAGGCGCGAGGCGGGATTGAGTCCGCCAAAGTAATCACCGGAAGAGATACTGAAAGAACAAAGTCGTCTCCACCGAGTCGAATAAACCCTGGGCGATATTCCGTCGCCACAATGTCAACAAAATTCCTGCAGAGATGTGACATATGTGCGGAAGATCAGAAGGTACAGAAACGTACTCTTGCAATTTGAATAACAGAGTGTTGGGTTCGACTTTCGTAGAACCAACATCAAATTCGTCATAGTCATCGTAATCATCATAATCATCCCCCGATTGTGCTTCATCCTCTTCATCGGTAGTATCATGTTTACGCGCTTTGGATTCCACTTGAGTGCTGACGCCAATCGCCCTCGCTACGGAAGAGATGAACTCTTCAATTGTTTCTGTGATTGGGCGCGGAAGCTCCTCAGCTATGCCGTCAATTACTCTCTGGAGCCGAGATGAGATATCAGCGTCAGGTGAATAGCAGAATAGCGAGTGGCTGCCCGGATACTCAGAAGTATCTACTCAAGCGTGAGGTTTATTACACCAAGCTAGACAACGCGTATCATGATTCACCTGAAACGAGAAAATTTGCGGAGACAACATGCTTTCCTCCTTGTTCGATGACAATTTCAAAAGCACCCTCATCATCTCCTGGTCTGACCTCTAGATATCAACCAGACCCATTGGCATGCGTTCAAATTACATCAATTCTCACTCACTTGTGAGTTTAAGCCCATGGAGAAGAAGTCCAGCGCCGCATGCCTCCTTCGTATCCGCGAGGTCTGCCGTGAATCGTTTCCTGCCCTTCAAATGCGCGTTCCTGTTGGGATCATACGAATCCCGAACTTTCGGCGTATCAATCGCTTGCACCGGATGTATATATTCAGGATCTACATCCATTCTATCACCCCGAATGGCGACATTGTGTTGGGATCCTTCAGAACAGGAGATCGCGACGGATCGATGAAGAAGTGAGTTCACAACGCGTTTTAAACGCGTCTTGACCATGGAGAACGATGTCAAGACATACCTAGACCTGTCTTCTGTCGTTTCGACGCGGGTTTCTCCTGACTCAGCAGCTCCGAATCGACAGCTGGTGCGTTATGCGCTAGTTTGCTTCTGGTAACCAAAGGCATTTCGATGTTGGACCTATGACGGTGGTTCAAGTATAGAGAACAAACACGAGGACGCCAGGCTGTGCGGAGACCCTCCGAGCACAAACGTTCTTTAAGCGCTCAAAGAACGTAATAATTTGAGTCACAATTGTCACGTGAAACTTGAAAGGAACCGAAATGGGAGAAAATCAAGGGAAACGAACGAAGGCTCTGAAGTTATGTCTGGAACAGTCACAGGTTTTTTAAGATGTACATCCAAGAAGTAGGGTACTTTACAGTGACTACATATGTGAAATCGTAGATCAAGAGCTTGCAAGAGTTGTTCAATTTTGACAGATTTATTTCAATTTTGAATACATAGATCTATCGTTGATCTATGATACTGTTGATAGTATAGGTACAACTTTTTTGCACATGAATATGCTAATAAAATACCTCAGAGTATGTATGTGGAAGCACTTGACTTGCACTTCTTCCTAATGGCGTGTTGATGCACCACAGGCAACAAAAAAAGAATCAATGGGAAAATATAAATTGACAAGCGCAACAACGTGAAAGGTGGGATTCAGTCAATTATTCATATTTTCCTGACAGGAAAAGAGGAAATTGGCTTGGATTAAATCATATATAATTTTTATGGCAAAAAGAATTGTGAAAGGTAACCAAAATTGTGCATGAAAGTATCGGTAAGCACTAAATAGTGGCAAATTGATGCTCAAAACAAATGGAATTTTCCTTCCCAATGGTTCAAAAATGCATTCTAGGTCTAAATCGGTCTGCTCACAATTTTTCACAAGCAAAAAGTGATATTCACATATTTTTCAAGTCTATAGTAGGAGCTCGAGCAGCTGCCTATTTGGGTGTTAATGTTTAACTACATTACGAGACATTTTGCTTATCAAATGACCACACAAGTAGAAGTAAACATAGAATACGAATTTTTTTTCTGTGGAAAAATTTGTATAGGCCGTGTTCAAAATTTACACAAATAACACCAGATTAGGCATTAAGTTGAGACTGAGCCATATTGAGGCATTTTTTAAATTTTATGAGGGCGGCTGAACAAACCTGCACTTTTGTTTCAAGATTTCCAGGTCGTCATACTACACTGAAACGAAACTTCCACTCCAATCCTAGTCTCATTGTTTGACAGTTAGCTGTGGACAAAAATAACTTTTTTATGTGTAGACCCAATTTTCTCAATAAATCTTCAACTATTGTCAAAGATCTTGCAAAATCTTTGAAGAAATTAGCCATATGAAAATATGAGGCAGAGATCTTTGAAGATCATCAAAGATTTCAAATTTTTTACCTTTCATTTGTTTGTTGTCAGTTGTTTGCTTTGATAAGATCTTCAAGATTCTTCCTTCCCTTGGTATAATTTCAATGGAAGATCTTCAACAATCTTTGCTTTTTGCTATTTAATGTCGTCTATAATCCTCAAGAATCTTTGAGAATATTGCAGAAATTAGGATAACAAATTATCTACATTTGTAAAGATCTTAAAGAATCTTGACATCTTGTTTTCAATTGTTTATCGGGCCAAGGCATTGATGTACAGTCTGGATCTTTCTGGCTTGCTATTCTAGTGACCACTGCTCTTCAACATTGCGCAAACTTGAATTTCTAAACACATCACTCTACTTCATGTCTGAGGTTGAGTCTGAGCAGTTGAAAAACATCAGAGCTGCTTATCTTGTCCTGAGTGACCAGGTGAGAACTGCTCTAAGAACCCAACTTGGAGATGCTGCCAGGCTTTCCAAGCAGTGGACAGATGCCCTTCATCTGCTTCAGGCAGCTGAGCCAGTGAGCTTGCAAATGCTTTGATGGTTTTAAAGTTTCTAAGTACATTAACAGCACCAGCATCACTTTCCAAGTGCAGAGTATGCAACTCTACAACAGAGCATCAATGTGATGGCTGCAGCACTTGATCAAGTGTGTCATCAATCTTCTGATCCTCAGGAGGGAGCCTCTCTTGTTGTTTCTACTCGCTCGAGCAATGGCAGGTGAGGATGACCTCATGTTGAGATTGACTCTATCTTTCTTCAGGAGGCCCTGAATCTTTGTGGACCATCAGGCCTTCAGCCAGTTCTTGGATGCAATGCATGTACAATCTGTTGGAGGGCACTTGAACAGGGCCTTGTTTCACCTGGAGAGCCAGTTTTCATATCTCATACCCTCCAGATGGACAAATAACATCTGTCCGTACACAATCCAACCGCAAATCATCCAGTGACATCACAGATGCTCAGCTTGATGCATTAATCACAAATATTCTGGAAATATTTCCTGCCTTTGGCCAATGTATGATTGCTGGGCGGCTAGCTGCTAGTGGGCATCACATAACACAAGAGCGTATAATTGCTTCTTATTTGCATGTCCACGGTTCCCCTGGAAGCTTTGGTGATTGCAGCATCCATCGTAAAGTATACAAAGTCGCTGGCGCCAATTCACTCTGGCATCATGATGGTCAGCATGGTGTGTTTCATGAATGTCTTAGCTTGTGCCACTTCTAATATCTATTGTTGAAAACAGGCCTCATTTGGTTTGGTATAGTCAACCACACTTTTACTGATGGAAAAGGGTGGTTCATCACTGGGAATGGCATCAGCGACAACAATCGAGCAGAGACTGTCCTCCAAATCTTTCTCAAGGCAATCGAAAAACATGGATGTCCAAGTTGCATGTATGGTGATCATGGCACTGAGAACTTGTTGGTTGCTCAGTGGATGGAGGATCATTGTGGTCCTGGACGAGGATCATATATCTGGGGCAGGTCAGCAGAGTCTCTGCTGGAATGGCAAAGTTGATTTCAATCTGATTAAAAAACATCAGGAGTGTCCACAATACAAGGATTGAGTGTCTCTGGTATGATGTCACCCACAGCTTTGGCCAGAAATGGAAGAATTTCTTCCTTGAGCTTGAGGTTCACCATGGACTCAATCCGCGATGTCGTACCGACATTTGGCTACTGCACCACCTCTTTCTTCATGAAATACAGGCTGACTCAGATGAGTGGGTTGAAGCTTGGAATTCCCATAAACTCCAAATATGTGGGGAGCGTGAGTGCAGTCCATGCAACATATTTCTTTTCAGCATGGTCCAAGATGGTCCTCGTGGTCTGCAGTATATCCAAGAACCACCTGATGAACAAGTTGAAGATCCAGCACTGTATGGCATTGATTGGAAGGTTGCCGATGACCCAGAGTTGATGAACCATCTATTGACAGAAAATCTCCAGGACTGGGATGAAGAGAATCCTTTCCCTTTCCCTTCATCACAGCCTCCTACACTCTCTCATGTCCCTTGTGAGCCACCTGATTGCCCCTTATTGATGGAGCAACTCCATCTTCTCGATGAGACGCTGGCATTGAGAGTCAACATTCACTCTAGGAACATGGAGATTAGACAGCTTGTGTGGGTTGAAGCATTAAGTATCTTTAGATACATGATTTCACAGTCTTAGCTTTCTGTATTGATTTTCAATTAGCCCAACTCACTGACTGTCCATGCTCCTGTCCCCTTCATATTAGCACTTATACACAATTTACAATTCACACTGTAAATTCAAGCAAATAACTATACTTATGTGCCTTTTCCTTTGGCCCTGCTTATGTGTTACATACCTGACATGTCACAAATTGTCACAAAGCCTGAAACCTATCTTGCTCTTACATTACCCTGCATTCATGTCTCTGGATCATTTTTTCAAAGGCCATGGTGATACCCTTTTTGTATGAGTGTTGATACAACACACTGAAGAAATGCACTAGTTTCAGGCAGTGAATCAGAGCAAGTTGAAGCACACAACATCAATGCCAACATGCCTAATGACTCAGACCAAGGTGCAACATCTGTACTTATGATACAGAGTGAGTATAAATCCATAAGATATGACATTTCTCATGTGCTTCCTGTACAGATTCCCAAGCTATCATGGAAGTTTTTGGAAGTTTTGGAGCAGCTCATATGGATTTTCAAGGTATTTAGTCAGGTTCATGTGCTGGATCACAGGCTAAGGCTCTACATAGTGTTCGAAAGTCCGGTTAGGTCCGGTTATTGGGTGCCCAGGGGCTCTAACCGAGACCGAGACCAGTTAGCCTTTGTCCCGAAACCTAAAATAACCTAACCGGACCACAACTAACTGGTTACGGTCGGTTATTTGCAGTTACTAACCGGTTAGGACCGAAAAATAAAGAATCGGTTATAACAAGGCAAATAAAGAATCGGTTATAACAAGGCAAATATGCTCATGTTTACTTATTTCTGCATATTCTAGCTTTAAAACGAGCCCAAGAACGCTAAAATCGGTGAAGAATTGACATATTTATGCAATTATCCTTGAAAGTCTACACATTTGAGTGATATTTTAGAGATTTGACCGTAACTTAGTCAAATTTTAAGCGTTTTCGATGTTCTCAAGTGCGTTTTGAAGGTGTATAATAGGGCTGGTTATAACCGGTTGTAACCGGTTATTTAACGGTTAGTTAACCGCAAAATAACCGGTTATTCCATTTTCAAAATCAACTAACCCTAACCGCGGTTAGGTTAGTGTTGCAGTTAGGTCCGGTTATTTTCCGGTTATTTTCCGGTTAACTAACCTAACTTTCAAACACTAGCTCTACATGTACAGATGCTATATTCCCTTCACAACATGTCGTAGTTTGGAGTTTTTTTGGCTGCAAATAGCACTCTGTATGTTGGGTAAATTTGTTGCTCGAGGACAAAGTCTTGGATTGATAGGAGTAATTACTCTAGATAACATCATAACCGGCAACTTGCTGTAAATGCCCAGTTGTTATGATGTCATCACCCTCAAGCTTGAGGGTTGCTGGCACAGCCTCCAGCTATCTTGTTCATCAACACAAACACAAAACACTCTCCTCCAGCATAGTTGGTGAGTTTGTCCTTTAATTATGCGTTATTTCGGAGGCTGTCCCTCAAACGTACCTGGTATGATTTATGCAGGGTTTGATTTTAAAAGGGGAATCAAGGGCAATACTGAGTTTGGGAATTTGAGGATGGGGTGTATATGCTGCTTCTGGCTTTTATACTCTGCTGGTTTAGCTAAGCACTATGATATCTCTCTGCCATATTGACTATGAATAAAAGCTTCAAAACTCCTAAGATCAGGGAAGATAGCCAGCTATGACATCATACCATTGAACAGCAAGTTACCGATTCATTTGAATCACCGGATGTAAGAGGGCCAGAGAACCAACACATAACTGTTACACCAAAAGGCAGATAACTGAACAGTTAATTGTTCAGTCACACGGTTCTATATATGGTGTTGGACCCTGATCCTGTAGGTTACGGCACAGTAGGTAAGCCGACCAGGATTACACCGGACTTCCAAATGCAGACATAAAGCTTGGTGTGTTCCTGTGACTGGATCATATGATCATTACATAATGCCCTTCTCCATGGCTGGCCAAAAATTAAGAGAGACAAAGAAAGCTGAAGATCTTTGAAATGAATTCCATTCTTTACAAAAGTGCTGGAGAATATGGAAGATCTTTGAATATATACAAGATCTTTAGCAATCTAGTATATCTTTGACAATTATTGGAGAAGTATAGATTCTTCAAGATTCTTGACTATTTGTCGCCTTAGAAAATCAACAATCTTCAAAGATCTTCAAAGATCCTCCACAATCTTCAAAGATCTTCTGAGATCTTCAACAATCTTTCAAGATCTTCGTGAAAAATTCATGGGTTTCAAGAAAATTTTATTTTTGTCCACAGCTAACCTTCATATCATTGCCTCAGCAATCAACAACTTTTGCAGTGGTGCTCACGAATCTGCTCTTGACCAGATGGTTATTACGTGTTTCAGGTTTCTTAAACAATGTGGTCTAGATTACATATCGCACTACTCAGCTTTCTCATAATTACCAAGCTATAAGCGGGGTTAGGCGGGGCTATGTAGCTGATTTGCCTCCATGGAAGTAAGGAAAGGAATTGGTACGAGAACAAGAATTTTCCAGACTACTGTGGTATTTCGACCGACTGTTCGGTCACTCGTCACATCGGGCGATGAACTGAACAGATCTGGCGCTTGTCACGCGTCACTTGGGAGGTCGAATAGGGTGAATTTTACCCTAAAAAGGAAAGTTTCTTATTTTTTCTCCGCTGCGCGGCATACAACTATTACAATTTTCTTTTGGCCACGAGTTGCACAGATGAGAGGTTGTGGAGGAGGCTGCAAGACGGTTGCTGGCAGATGCCATATCAACTGCCCAACAAACACTTGTCGCTGGCTGAACACTTTCATTGCTCTGTCACACGCTCATCAGGATTTCGAACACCCCTCCCATCTGTTCGAGGCCGTCACGCGTCACATTGGCTGAACAGTTGGTCGAAATACCACAGTAGATCATTAATTAAACTTTTATGCTATATGCTGACGTGAAAGCTCATTTCCCTGGTAGAGGCGACGGTGGTGAATCTCTTGAGGGGTAATCAATGGAGAGAGACAAAGGGGGATGAATGTGCCTCACGTCTGCTTAGTAGCCCACAAATCCGGGCAATCTCTGTTGCTGTGTTGTATGACCACTCAAATTGCTACGCGCCGTCGAGTCCTATTCGACGAAACAATCAATCTGAATGGAAGACTCGACGCCGAGCATACGCTAGAGAGTGCTCACCTGCCCAGTGCAGCGATAAGCTCTTGCAAAAGCCTGACTCTCCTCTGACGTCAAAACTCCTTGCTGCACAAGAGAAGCTAGACATCGCTGAAGGGACGGAGCGTCGATGACGCTTGTAATATCGAGCGGCTCTTCTCTTCCCGGTGGGTGCGAAATGGAATATGGAATGAGATCGTAGATGGACAGCAATGTCAACAACCGAAGTCGCAGTGCCTCATAATTTGGGGCTGGTGAAGCGTTCTGTGGGGAGTGCATCGTAGGTATTGTCATCTGGAATCGAGAGTGTGACAAAGCGAGAAAGGCAGGGCATGCTGGGGTGTTATAAAGCGTTGGATCAAATGAGGCAAACCGTTCAAAGGGAAGTGTGGGTTCGAGTGTGCATGACACCCCAAATGGCGGTTGAATCGGCAATTGGCGTGAAGTTTCGACGGAAAGCTATCCACACAGGTTAGAAGGCGACCCGATAGAGGTCACTGAAGGAGGAAACTTGCAGGGGCAATTGGAGAGTGAATGAGAGTTTACCGCCTGGGTGAAGCACGGGAGCAGGAACCTGGCTGAACGTGGAAAGGGACCAGGTCCCTGTGATTTGGGTCTGAGGACGATTCTCGGCCGAATGGGGTAGCGAAAACGGCGGGCGGAAACTCTATCAAAGATTACGACCGAGATTGAATCAGCGAGATTGAGTCTGAGTCGGAGCGAGTATGAGGATGCCAATCTTAACGATACCCATCGATGATCTACGGAACTAAATTTCAAGTTCGGAGCGGGGTGAGTACGGGTGTGGACTGGGGCGATCCCTTTTGTCAGCAGTTTGATTCCAAAATATGTCAGCGGCGCCGCAGCTGCTAGGAGACGTGATTTACATTAAAGCGTGTCAAAAATGTTTACGAAGTATGAACGCACATTATCTTCGCGAGTTACAAACATCGGAGCTGGAGTGAGCGTGAAGAGCCGCCAGCGGAATCCGATGACCCGTTCTGATTCGGAAACTAACTAATAGCGAGAGTAGCAGACGAGATGTTCCAAGAATGCCTACCGACGTACTGACCCGATAGGTGCCATAATGGAAGCACGCGGCGGAACATATGTTCAAACGAATAGCATGCTAGTTGAAATGTCACAAGCCTTGTCCCTTTTCGAGCATTTGTCGACATGGTGAGAATACGCCTTAACTCCGCAGAGAAACAGGATCCCCGAAAGTCCCCATAGAGGATGGTCTCCAGCCTGAAAAGAAATCTGGAAAATGGGTGCTTAGGCCAGGTCCAAAGCGGACAAGGTTTGGGGGGTCAGCGCTTCAGCAGTGAAAGGCCGAGTCGAGGTCCAGACACATTTCGACCGGGAGACAAATTTTGAGCGGGTCTTGATTTTTTTCTGCAGACTTGGGACTAGATTTAACGAAATCAACTTCGATCAAGACGATTTTGGACAAACGGGTGTTGGGAAAGCCGTAAACGTACAAAAAAATCCGGGTTTGAGCCCCGTGAGAAACGCTATTTTGGGTTGACCGTTGGAAAGCCGGTTTTGTTGGAGACAAAAAAGTCGGAATTTTGACAGCCTCTGAGGGAGCTTTCAGGGTCCTAGAGAAAAACAAGAATGATAAGAGCCCGACTTTGGAGTTCACATAATGCCGGAAGCAGCAAAAATGTCCCAGTAGACAACCGGATGGGAACAGTCGGGGTGGGGAAACCTGCGGGATGAAGGCTGAAGGCCAGGGAATCGGGATCGATCGCAGTTGAAATGAGTGCGGCCTTTGACGCCCATACTCCTCGGCCAGCGCACCACAGTCACTGACGACTTCACGGCGTCATGTCTGATTCATCGTACAACTGCGGCATCGTCAACGTTGAACATAGTTGAAAAGTTCGTAATATCAACTTTGAGATAAGCAAGCTGGAGCATGTCGGCACGTGACGATACCAAGATTCATCCGGCCATTCGTTGAGATGCCGCTTACCACACTAGTACTCCACCCGTCAGACCAACACGCATTGAAAAATCTGCATATGGGATATATAAGAGGGTAGGTCCAGTCTAAAAACGAACGAAGAAACCCGCCGCCACGGAGCATATTCGGAGGAATGACTGATGAGCACAGCATTGCTCACTAGCAGCCTTAACTCCGAACAAGCGCCAAACCCGACAGAACAACGAGCGCTCAAAGGGCGGTGAATTCCCGATCCGAAGACTTAGGATCCAACGTGATATACTCCTCAGAATTTGGGACCTCCGATGGTGCCCGCGTACTCGAAATGCCGAAGGCTTCGGCAAAATTCTTCCTAGGCGGGCCCTGTGAATCCTCCTCCTCCTCGGAACGCTGACCATGAGCAGACGGCTTGCCCAGGACATAATCGATAAAGAATTTGAAGGAGTCAATGATCTCAAGCGCGAAGTCGGCTACAAAAGCAATGAGAATGGGCTCCATTGTGTCATGTGTGATTTACCATAGTTGATTCTGTTATTCGTAAGGGAAGGATTGTCAGGAGCTGCGGATGTCAGAAAGGCGGTTCAACGCACGAATCCCAAAGGGGTCGCCAGATGCTCGTTGCCAGGGCGCCTTCTTCTCGGTGGTATTCCGCGGGAGTGTACGCCCACCACATCAATATGGCGAAAAACACCATCTTTCACCCGATAAGTCAGGTCAAAGGATCGCACGGAGAGGGGAGAAAGAAGTACCTCAATACAGATAGTCAGGGCGTTCAGGCCGTCGGCAATATTTGTGGCAGTCCAATATCTTGTGGCTAAATTCATCGGTCAGTAGTGAAGTAGCATGTCCCATTGGAGTTCTTGATCACCCTTGATGACCCTTCCTTCCAATGCACTGAACTTTTACAATGATCAATATCCGATAGCTGCCCAGAATCAAGGCAAATCATGCTCACCACAAATGATTGGTAGAAAGTAAACATCACTATCAACTTGATGGACAAAAATTTGGCCAGTGGGCGGCGGTTTTTGAGCTCATCCGCAGTAAGACCGTAGAACATGAGAAGCCCGTAGAGGGCTACACTGCGAAGTTCGTTAATGAGATATACTCGAGGAAGATGGACAGGCACACCTAATACTAATAAAGTCGATAGCAGATAACCAGACAGAGGCGAATCGCCAATTGAAGCCTCCCGCCTCACAAAGTACATCGTAACTTTGGGCGATAATGCCCGCTATTGAAACAGCTAGAAATAGTGTAAAGGCAACGAGCAATGTGGAAACAGATGCAGTTCTTACCGGGCCGAATAATGACATATTGTAAAACAAACCACTAGCAATGCTCAGCCAAATTTCGCCTAGCAGTAACAATCAACTTTACCTTGACGGTGTACATGAAGTAGACCTGAAGGAGCAAAAGTTTAGATTGACACGCGAGGTGGAATGGTGATGTCAAACCTTAGTGGGCCGATATCGCCAACAGCAGAACTAAGGGTAATGGCACGGGATAAGCTGACTGCCTGTACAAGACAAAAGAAACACCGACAGGAAAAGGGAGAGGGCGTTTGTCTTTTCGTGCGATAGCTTTTTCAGCCGAATGTCCCGTTGCCGTGGAGGCGACATAGTCAATTAGAAGAAGACTAGTTCAAGGACAAGTAAGTCTAGGGCACCATTTCTAACCAAAAGAAACTCACAGAAAAGCACTGATCGTTACGGCCTAATGAATCAATTCTAAGATGCAGGTTTGAAGGATAGTCACGGAAGCACGGAACCTCATAAACTGCAGGACGTTATTTCGAGTCACACGAGTGGAGAGAGGAGCAGCAAACGCACCAACTTCAATGAGAGAGTAGTAGGTATAATCCCGGAAAAAGCGGTATGAGAAGAAGGATATAATGGCGTAGACTGGTGGCATGTACAATATCCGTATACTGTGAGCATAGGTGAGCCGATGTCAGCTGGGGCCGAGAAGCACATAGACGGACATTTGTCGCTGCTGTGAACGATTGGTATAATTCCTTCCGACCAATCAGCTCATGGGAACGTATGAATCCATCCTCATCGAAATCACACCTAAAATGCTGAACAACCGTGATGGCAGATATTAAAACTGTCTGTAGCAGGGTTAAAACTGACGGAATGGAACATGGAACATAGAACGCATCACAGACGCACCAGCAGAGCGCAAGATCCCGCAATCGTCCATCCTATCTTATGGGCGTCCCAGTGTATCCCATTGGGGTCCCAGAAAGTGCTTTGATCAACGTCAACAGCATTGTCGGAAGCCGTGCAGCCCATGGGTACCGACGATGTATCGCGAGGGTTAGATGTTACAATTATTATGTCAGTCAAGACTAGCCAGGGAAAGGGGAAAAGCCCGTAGGGACGACGGGGAGCGCTTGTGAGGAGGAACGTGGACGGGTGTTGGTTGATTTCTCATTTTGTTCACGGCATGTTTTTCATGGCCGAGTTATTGTAAGGGTCAACCTTGATTTGGAAGAAAGGCTGTTCTCCATCACCGGATTCGGCGTGTATCCGCCTTCCCGGGCTTCATGGCGTCATCCATAATGCGGGCCAAATGCGGCCACGATTTTCTTGGATTTTACACCAAAAACGCCCATATTCAAGGGGAGCATCAGGCCCCAGGACCAACAGAATCCCTCAAGCAAAACCAAGACTCAGGAACTTCTCCAATCGGTCCTGCGAAGCTTTGAAGGGAGAACCTGTCATTCTTCTCGTTGAAAACGCGACCTATAATCCCAATATAATCCTCCAGTTCAACGTTTTGTACAATACATACGGAGTCATACACGTCTGAAACAAAATACGCCGACATCCAACAAATGGAGTTTCGTCAACAAAATCATTTGGGGCACTTCGCGTCTCACGAAGGGCATTTCTATACACGCCAGGAAGGAATTCCAACACGCCAGAGCAAACTCGACAACTCAAGCAGCGGCAGCCTTTCTCCTCCTAAACATAACCCTCCCATTCCTATCCGGCACAACACTACTCTCAATAAACATATTCGCCGGACGAGGGCCCCCATTCTCCAACCTGACATCATAGTTCAAAATTACATGCGCAAGCATCGACTTGAGCTCCGTGACTGCGAAGAAACGTCCAGGGCTAGAACAAAAGGTCACACACATCAATACACTTCGAAGGAGGGAAGAGAGAAAAAGGCGCACCAAGTTGGCCTCCCATGCCCAAACGCCATATAATCCAAAGTTGGAATAGCCATAAGTGGCTGCTTCAAACCCCCCTCCCGAACGAATCGGAACCCATCAAACACATGCGCGTTGGCGTAGTGCGCCTCGTCGTGGTGCACCGACCACGAGTTTGCGCTGAGCGAGCTGCCAGCAGGGATACACGTCCCGTCAGAGAGTGTGAAGTCTTTGAGTACTTTTCTTCCAAGAGATACTGGATTTTGAGATACAGTTTCAGCAAGGAGAAAGAGGAAGATGGAACAAGGAGACTCACCAACAGCCATCCCGTCAAACCTTTGCGACTCGCGCAAAAAGCTATCAACTTTATACATCTTAGTAACCGTATTCTTCGTCCATCCCTGATTCTCAATGAGCGCTTCGATCTCTTCGCGCATGGGTTGGATGTACTCTGGTTTAGTAGCCAAGTCGTACAGTGCATGCGTAAATGCCTGAAACGACTCAATGAGCATGTAAGTTCAAAGGTGGATAATGAGACGGAGGAGGACCTGAGACGTGGTATGGATGGAGGCAAATGTGACCAGGAGCGTGCGTACATCTAGATCGTGTACGGTACGTTCTTCTGGTCTAGGGTGACCGTCTAACAGCCATGAGAGGAGGTCATTCTGCATTCGGCGCAATGAGCGCGCTGAAATGGCCACAATGAAAAAGAATAGTTACAGGTTTACCAGGCCAATCACGACCATGCAACCTCTCTTGCTTAAGCCTCTCCTCGACCAATGGAGCCATGAGCCTCTTCGTCCTTTCAACTGTTCCGTGGATATCGGTAAAGATCCTGCCTCCTAACCTACACGCGGAGAGGGGTTAAAAGGAATGTAAGGTTAATAGAGGAAATGATACGCACGGCCGCAAGAAAACAGGCAAGAAATTGAGGATCCGCGATTTGACGATCTCCATGGTAGCATGGACGCATAAAAGACGGTATTCTTCGTTCCTACCTATATATCCGCATCCATTAATGACCGTCCAGACACAGAAAAAAAGAAAGAGCGAGAACTCACAAAGCGGAAGCCCAACAAAAAATCTCGCAGATATCTTGGATACAATCTCTAGGGAGGTATCATACGCGGGTAACGTCACCCATTCTACAGGTGTAATTCCAAAACCATCAATAACTCCTCAGTGAATGAGGTAAACGAAACGAACCTTCCCCCTGACTCGGAAGCGGAACGGCCTTATCAAAAGCCAACACCATCTCCTCCTTGATATCCTCAAAACAAGGCTCCACATTCCTCGCAAGCTGGCTGCGTAGAATGTGGATGTGATACGGGTCTCGGGAGACTTGTGGTCCGAATGTATAATCAAATTGGAAGAACTGTTTACGCCGGGTGGGTGTCAGCGTTAGAAGAAAAGGAAGGGGATGAAAGAAATGCGCAGCGCACCCCAGAAATACTCCTAGTAAACGAAATATACTCTTCACTCGCTCTCCGCATATCATCCACCAACTTGGGGCCGTTGACGATGACGAGCCAGCTTTCTAGTAAGGGGACTTTAAATGCTCTGTCTGGGTACTGTGTCGTTCGATCCCCGTTAGTGCTGGCTCGAGTGACAGGGGGAAGCAAGGACGAAGGGAAGGAAAGACAAGACGCATACCTTTGCATAACCCTCCAACACAATCTCCTTACCCGCCCAGATCCATCGGATCGCAGAAAAGAAGGAGAAGAGGTGGGAGGAGTAGCCTATTGTTGGGATGTGGTCGAGCTGTGGGTTGGGGGTGGGTTGTCAGTGTCAGTCTGGACAGACAGGGAGGTAACTCACCGGATGTCTCTTCAAGAACCACTTATATATAAAATACAACGTCAAAGTGAGGAAGAGCCATTGCTTCCACGAGAGTTCTGAGGGATCCATCTTCATGCCAGACAGAGTCTTCGCATACGGTAGAGTCACAGGCAAAGGCAAAGGTGAGGTGATGTGGAAAGACGACATCTGTGTGTACGTCCCATTTCATCGATATCAGTATATAACACAACGTAGCGCCAGACCCATGCCGGATCTGAGTACTCCGAAAGGAAGACCTAACCAGAAAAAAAACGACAGTCCTGAACACGAAGTGGAGGGCCAGGACCTTAGACTGGGTCGTAGGAGGTGTGAGGTCGCTGGATTGAGGAATGATGTCGATGAGGTGAGATGGTGCCTTGGGATGACATATCCTACTTGGGTTCATTCTAATTTCTCAATTGTCAATACAATATGTTGTGTGCGTAGGGTCTGCAGGGCAAGTGACAACTTGAGATGAAATGAAACCCGTGGCCGGTTATTATGGTACACGGCTCAGCTTGCATTTGCACAACAGTGGAAGGCGATCTGATGTGTGTCCAATCGATAGGTGGACACCCACAGATGTCAGACATAGAAGGCAGGTGATCGTTCTTTGGCACTTGTCATACAGGGAGAGAGCAAAGGATCCCGGCTGATCCCGGCTGATCCCGGACGGTGTTTGAGAAAAGAGTGCGAAATGGTGTTCTGATGGTGGTGGTTGTGGATCTGAAAGTCGTGATTGCACCTTACTTATCAAGACGATGGACAGGCTGTACTTAGCGCCGCAAGCGCCAGCCCATTACACGGCAGTCGGCGAGGAATGTGATTATCTTTTTGACCAAACCCTCGTTGTTGTAGAGTCGGAGAACCAGTGTATATGCGCGTAGAACTGGAGGAAGAAATCCCTGAACTGAACTGACATACGAATACATGTACACCAAAACAAAAAAAGTCCTACTCTATTCATGTAACTGTCCGATGCGTAATCATGAAATGAAATGAAGCGCGACGACGTAGCCGCTCGCAATACCGGTGTCCTACAAACCTGCTCACACAACTGGGACCGTATATAACGAAATAGGTCCCAGACATCCTGACGGCCCATCCGTCGGATTCAACTTGTACACAACCTACATTGACAATAACACCATCAGTCCCGTTCCACTCCAGAAAAAAGGAGACTCACATTATTTCCCTGACAAGCATAGAAAGCCCCCTGGAAATTAACCACCAACTGTGCACCCAGCTGACTATTCTCCGTATCACTCTGTATCCGGAACCCCGAAAACTCTGCACATTTGTTCGTCGTGCTCCCGCTCTGTGTAAAGGAGAGCGCGCCGGAGGTTGTACAAGTCGGCTCGGGGACGGAGTTGATGTAGACGCGGTAGGGGGAGGTTGAAGTGGGTGAGGAGAGGGCGTAGAGGGAGCCTTGGGAGAAGTAGAAGAGGGCTGGGGAGGAGGAGCCGTAAAGTGCGCCGTTTAGGAGGACGGGCTAGTTATGACGTCGTTAGTCGGGGATGGAGATAAAATGAGGTTGAGGAGTGTGAGGGCTTACGAGGAGGTTCAAGGTACCAGGTGAGACGGAAGTGGATGAGACGAGATAGAAGAGCGGTGTGCTAGCTCCCGGAGGGACGATGGCGGATACGAGGAATGGGAGGGCGCTGGCAAGGAGGGCGACCAGGGAAGTGTACTTGATCTTCATCTTGTCCTTGGGATGGCGGATGGCATTTCTGACGCTTTTAAGTAGACGTAGACTAAGGGCCGCGGATATGTGCCGATGCCGAGTTGACTGTTCATCAGAGAGCCCGCAGGAGACATGCTTCAAACGTAAGTAAGAAACATCAGAACTGTCGTTTGAGTGACTTGCTTGACGTCGTTGTCACTGTCAGTGGCGGGAGCGATTTTTCCCACGCTCCCCCTTCTGAGTTTCTCCCGTTTCTCCACACCTCCTCCTCAATTCTAGCCAGAACGCGTCGTCTCGGCCAAGTTCTGACGCTCGGGCGCAAGATGTACGTGGTTTTATTTTCGGTATTTGGTCCTGACTTGGTCAACAACAAATATGCAAATCTAAAAAAAAACATCCCAAGAACATTCTTATTCGGAACCAACCCGAACTCGACAGAAAGCTCGAGCGGATCACATACACACGTGAACCGTACAAATCCACAAAATTCACTTGTATCGTGGTACGAGAGACTACGAACGGATCCGCAGCCAGTCCACTTCCAGGCTCTCCCTTTCAGGGTTTCACAGTCCTAACGGCACTTCCGAGTCACAAACACAATTTAACGACACCCTTCCCATTCCATAAGTATTTACAAATTTACTTCCCATGGTGATAATTATCTCCCGACTTGACGCCACTTTAGGCATAACTACGGGACTTATGACCAGGCAAGCCGACGTCGGCAGATGACTACCCCACGGCCCTTACTTTTTAGCATCAGTTGCTGTCAACTATACGTATGAGGCGAAGGTATAAAAGTCTACCTCACAACCCAACTTCTCACCAACTCTTCATTTCTCCCAATCGTCCAAAATGAAGTTCACTCCACTCGCACTCCTAGCTTCCGTCCTCACCGCCGTATCCGCCACCGTCGTTCCAGGAGCTAGCACACCCCTCTTCTACCTCGTCGCATCAAGCACCACCTCTTCCGCCAACCTCCTCGTAAGTACTGTCCCCCCCCCCTCTCTTCCTTTCCCCCACATACTAACGACCCACATCCCTCCAGCCCGTCCTCCTCTCAGGCTCCCTCGGCACCCCCTCCTCCTCAACCCCCGCAGCTCAATTCTACTTCTCCGGAGGCTCCCTCCTGGCCCTATCCTCCTCCACCTCCTCCCCACCCACCTCCTCCCCCTCCCCACCTTACAAAGTCTACTACAACTCCGTGCCCGCATCAGATTGTACCACTTTCGGACAACTCTCGTTCATACAGGGGAGCACGACGAATAAATGTGCCCAGTTTACTGGGTTTGAGTTGCAGAGCGATTCGGAAAACAGTCAGCTTGGAGCGCAACTGGTTGTTAATTTTGTGGGCGGGTTTTACGCTTGTGCTGGGAATGCTGTGAGTTTCTTTTGTTGAATTAGGTGGTTGAAGCAAGCGCTTACTGTTTATTTTTTTTGGATAGGTTTATTATAAGTTGAACCCTACGGATGGACCGTCCGGGTGTAGCCCTGTTTCGCTGTACACTGTCCCCGTCATTGATTAGATTGAGGCCGGGAAAGGTGATGCCGATGACCTTTTTTGTTTTGGAAAGGAAAGGGAGCCTGAGGGCGTTCAAGTTCCAAGTACGGCTCGTCGGACTTGCGTTTATATCTTTTGTTATTGCGTATCGCATTACGGACAGTTTGGTGGACATGGTAGTAGGATTCAATCGTGTTTTTTTATTTTACAAAAGTTGGTGAAATGACATGTTCTGGCTATACACACCTAGAGACAGCCACCATCTACAACGTGCCAGGTTCCAAAAACACCGGCCAAGAGATGCTGTTGCCCAGATAATCAGGCTCGACGAAACATAGTAAGTAAGGTGAAGCACAACGCACATTAACACAGGACATGGGACCGTTGAAATGCAACCCATTGAAATCGGCTGGCGTGGAAGAGCACATGACGTTCCATCCGTCGGCGTAGTCAAGATTTATCAGGTGGGCGTCAAAGCGCTATCACAGGAAAATGTGTAAGTTGCGGGTGGATGCAAGTATAGATTGAAATGTACGTACCCGGAGACCGGATCCTGGAGCTGTGCATCCCTATAAAAAAAAGAATCATCAAGTAGAGGTAGAGGCGAAGGTGACTAAGTCATTAACTGACTTTATCCGTAAATCTATCCCAGAAAGGACGACACCCGCCTTCGTCAAAGTCGACTATCCAATGACCATACGCCCCATGATCCGCTCCCTGTGAGTTGAGTATTCAGTAACAGTGAAAGGGGGGGAATTCAGCAGAAACATACCTTATCCTCGCAATAAGTCGGCTTCATCTTCCAACCATGAATCTCAATCTCCGAAGTCCAACACGCCTCCATAGGATCATAGTCACCAACCAAGGGACCCAACTTCGCCCAATACTTCCTCGTTCCGTACCGCTCGCAACGCTGCGAGCTCTCCAATGCCAACCAATGAATCTGGGCGCGTTTTCTTGCTTCTTCCCTTTGGCGACGCTCCCTCTCCCATCCTTGGCGTTCAGAGTCCCATTGGCGCCGGATGGAGTCTCGGACAGCGGGGCTGAATATACTTTGAGAGGCGGCGCATTGGATGAATGCACCGACGAGTCCACCGATGATGAATATGATGATCATGAGGGTTGTGCGTGAGATGCCTGTTGAACGTTGAGGGCCTGATACTTAACGGTTCAGTCGTGATGCAAAGTAATGACGATACCATTTTTATTGTGTGAACGACCCGAAGGTGGGATCAAGGGGTCGCTCTCTGAACCATCTGTACTGCCATAAGGCGGTGGTGAACTGGAGGATGATGATGGATATGGTTAGTTTTATACCTTTGGGTTGGATGAGAAATGGCAAGGGCATACTTACTCGGTCGAGGATGCCATAGACGTTGGTGGAAGCGAGGTTGAGAGTTGGGTTGAAAGCAGTTCTGGTTGGTACTCCGATTTAGGATTTGGGTGTCTAACATCGGCGCTCAGCGCTCAACATTCAGCGCTCAACGTTCAACGTCCACGTTGATCATGACAGCCTACAATCATCACAAGCCTGAGTCGCCTTTTACTTGAACGCGTGGGCACGAGGTTCAATCTTTTTAGTATTGAGGGTGGCCGAAGAGTCGGACGAGCCTGAGGTCGCCATTGATTAATTACATACAGCTACCACACTAGCCGGATAGCGCTCTACGTCCATCCAAACTCAAGAATATAACATGTCCATGATAGAGGAATTTCTATGCACTAAAAAGACAAGTCCGACCTTCAATATGATCCCCTTCCCACAAAATGTTTCCGACCACCGTCCTTGACTTGACCTCCCCCGCGAGCCCCAATCCGAACTCGATTTACACAACAGGGACAGTGTACAGCGAAACAGGTGTACACCCTGACGGTCCATCTCCAGGGTTAACCTTATACACAACCTACATCCACAACACCATCAGCTCCTTCAACACCAAAAAACGTCATCGGACTCACAGTACTCCCAGAACATTCATAAAACCCCCCCTGGAAATTAACAACCAACTGTGCGCCCAACTGACTATTCTGAGTATTACTCTGGATCTGGAACCCAGAATACGAAGCGCATTTATTGGAGCTGCTGCCTTGGACGAAGCCTAGGCCTCCGTAGGTTGTGCAGCCTGTGCTAATAGGAGAAAGGGAGAGGAGGACGCGGTAAGGTGGGGAGGAGGTGGGGGAGGATAGGGCGTAGAGGGAGCCTTGGGAGAAGTAGAATTGGGCTGGGGGAGAGGAGGAGGAGGAGGGGGAGAGGGTGCCGTCTAGGTGGACGGGCTGTGTGAAAGAGTGAGTGGGAGTGAGTGGGTGAAAAAAGGGAGGAGGGACTTACGAGGAGGTTGGCGGAAGAGGTGGAGCTTGAAGAGACGAGGTAGAAGAGGGGTGTGCTTGCGCCTGGTGGGACTATGGCGGATACGAGGGATGGGAGAGCTGCGAGGAGGGCGAGCGGAGCAAATTTCATGATGTTTTGTGGGCTGGGACGGTCGAGCTGGGGAGTGGGGTAGTGTGGGGCACGCCAATCGGCTTTATATGCACCTTAGCATATATTGTTGATAGTTCTTAGTTGGAAGTTCCACTGAGTACCAAGCAAGGGCCGCGGGGGTAGTCATCTGTCCGGGGTCACTGCTACTGCCCGCACGAGACTACTCGAACACTGGGATCAGAAATTTAATGGCGTTCGTCCGATGGTTGGAGGGAAGGGCACTCGCCGCTGTCGGACAAGTATGGCAGATGGGTATCACGAGGCTCTAGAAACCCAGAAGTGGTGCAGGATTTCACAGTAGGAAACGAACGTGTGGCCAAGGAGTTTGAGAATTATGTCGGTTTGACAGTAGGAAAGAAACGTGTGTTGAAGGGCCAAGGAGGTATAACTGTTGACGTTGACTGTGGGGTTGATCAACTTTCGTCGTCATCGCCTTCACACAACGACCGCCATCATCACCTTGACTGATTCTTCCAAGTTCTCAAACAGAAACAGAACAGTTCGAAAATTCGAATCTCACACGGTCTGCCGTTTGGTCTCCAAGGTAAACCCGACTTCCATCATCATCACTCTTGTTCACAATGATTCGATTCAGAAGATTACGAAAACGGCCCGATTAGCAGGAGGCCCTTGAAGAGGACAAAATCCAAGACACCTGTGTTGTTCTCTTCACTCTAAGGGCCCTATGTCTGTATATGAAATTTGATGGATGGCGAGGCGCGCTGTTAACTCGTGGTATGGCCAAGAACGCAATGTGCAGGGTTCGGCAAAAAGTACGTTCACGTTGCGTTTAGGTCTCAGTGTCAGTGTAACTCAAAAACGTCCTCTAGGTCTAGGCTGAACGATCACACGACGTCCAGCTGGCTGGCCCTGCTGGCCCAAGCTCTAAGTGTAACTCGGACGCCAACTTGGCGCCGCAAAGGACCGTAAACGTTCTGATCTAAGAATATCATTATCAGTTGCAGCATGCCGTTAGCCACCGTTTTCTGTTCCAGGCTGTTCCCTTTCTCTTCCTCTCCTCCCTCTCTTCCTTCCTTTCCCTCCCGTCGTCGTCGTCGTCGCGGGAGCCAAAGATGGCGGATACCAATAGGACCTCCTACACACTGGACGCCTTCGAAGCGCAGGTCATAGCCGCGTACAACACCCCATCTCCATCCAGTGAGGGCGGAGACCCGTTCGTCGACCATCCTTTGGCTGCGGCAGTGGAAGGAGACCAACAACTCCTCACGACGACTACGAGCTTCCCAAGTCTAAGGGCCCAACGATCATCACGAGCAGACGATGCTCTGTTCCATACTCCTGTTTCTGCTCACAATCCCAACCCAAACCTCGTGAATGCCGAAGACACAACCCTCCTCCCACCGCCACCCCTCCTCTCCGAACGCTCCTCACTAACAGTACTAGGCTCCTCCGACCTCGATCTTCAAGGTCCAGTAAAGGAATCATCCCAACTGGCTCTTCCTACGTCCAACTCCACCTACGCTGAGCCCACATCAGATTCAGAATGGCAACGTGGAGAGACGGGGAAGAAGAAGAAGAGGAGTAAACTCTTTTGGATCGGGGTAGGTTTGGGTGTAGCGGTGGTATTATTCCTAGCCGTCTTCTTGCCTGTGTTTTTTGGAGTTGTCAGGAAATCGGGGGGTTCGTCTTCGTCTTCGTCTTCTTCTTCTTCGTCTGGAGGAGGAGGAGGGGGTGGTGGGACGGGTGGGAATGGGGGGAGTACGAAGGGTGTGATTGTGAGTGAAGATATATGAGGGGAACGATGTTGCTGATGATGACTATAGACAGGCGGCGACGGGTCCACCGTAACGATGGACAACGGAACCACATTCACCTACCACAACTCCTTCGGCGGCTTCTGTACGTTCCCCTCCCTTGCCCTCCTCTTCCTCTCCTCCTTTCCCACTCTAACACCCACACCCTGCAGGGATATCCGACCCCACAAACCCATTCAACAACAACGCCCAACCAAACTCCTGGACGCCCCCTCTAAACACATCTTGGACATGGGGTAAAGACCGTGTATTCGGTGTCAACCTCGGAGGATGGTTGGTCATGGAACCATTCATCACTCCGTCTTATTACCAGAAATATACGGGTGCGGTGGATGAGTATACGCTTAGCACGCTGATGATTGCTGATACGGGTGCTGGTGGGGGGTTGGCGCAGTTGGAGGCGCATTATGATACGTTTATCGTAAGTCTCTCTCTCTCTTTCTTGTCTCTCCTCTTTGTCTGTGAACGTGCGCTGACAAGCTCTTTCCCCCCCTCGTTGTATAGACCGAGCAGGACATTGCGGAAATAGCAGGTCCGTCGTTCTAGCTCCCGCCTTTCCTCCCCATGCTCATCCATATACAAAGGTGCCGGTATAAACTGGGTCCGCGTCCCCATCGCCTTTTGGGCTATCGAGACATGGGCTGGGGAGCCGTTTCTGGCTAGGACGTCGTGGAAGTGCGTTTGTCTTCTTTCTCCTCCTTGTACCCCCCCTTTCCCTTTTTGCACTTATTTTGATTTGCACGGGGCGTCTGCCTTTTTTTTCTTGGCTTGAGCAAGTTTCTGCCTTGTTCGCTCTATTTCTTGACTTGCGCGAGCGTCTTTGTCCGCTTCCCTTTTCACTTTTTACGACGCCCCTCCCTCTTTCTTTTTTTCTTGAGCCAAAGGCTGATGGGGCTTGGTTGACAGATACTTTCTCCGATTCTTGGGCTGGGCGAGGAAGTATGGTCTGAGGGTGTGTTTGGATTTACATGCCGTTCCTGGGTCTCAGAATGGGTATAACCATTCGGGGATGTGAGTATGCTCCTTTTCCCCCGCCCCGGCTGACCCACACCCTCTCAGGCTAAACGTCGTCAACTTCATGCGCGGCAACATGGGCCTCGCAAACGCCCAACGAACACTCGACTACATTCGCGTCCTAACAGAGTTCATCACTCAACCGGAGTATCAAGACCTCATTCCCATCTTTGGGATCGTGAATGAGCCTACGGCGGGGACGGCTGCTCTGTCAAACTTTTACCTCGAGGCACACAATTTGATCAGGAACATTACGGGGTTGGGGGCTGGTCATGGACCTGTGAGTTACTTTTTCCATCACGATCAAACAAAGAAAGGGCAGGTGTGCTGATTGAGCATGTGTAGTACATCGCCATGCACTCTGCATTTAACGGTGCCGGTGACTGGGTTGGTTTCTTGAAAGGCGCTGATCGGATGATATTGGATGAACATCCGTATTTTGCGTTTGGGGGCGTGAATACTAGTCCTGTTAATACGACTGGTACGACTGGTCAACCTGGAGGGACGTGGCCTGCGTTGGCGTGTAATATCTTTGGGCAGCCTACGGAGGATGCGTGAGTTCCTTTTTCTTCTTCTTCTGTTCGACAGGAAGGGGTCTGACAGATTGGTTGATAAAGGCGAACTTCGTTTGGAGTAATGATTGCCGGAGAGTTCTCAGCTGCGCCTAACGACTGTGGGTTGTTCATGGTCGGTGTGAATGTTGTCTCTGCCAACCCGCAGTGTCCCGAATACGACGACTGGGCTAATTATTCGGACGCGATGAAGGCGGGGTTGTTGAATATGGTTCTGGCTACTATGGACGCGTTGGGTGATTGGTTCTTCTGGACGTGGAAGGTCTGTTTTGTCGTCCCCTCCCTTGCTCTCTTTTCGCTGACTGAGAGGTAAATAACGCAGATCGGACCAGACCAATCAGGAAACATATCATCCCCCCTATGGTCCTACAAACTTGGCCTTGCAAATGGTTGGATCCCCACAGATCCACGTACAGCCCAAGGCAAATGTGCCTCCTTCGGTGTATCCATCGACCGCTTCTCAGGAGACTTCCTACCCTGGCAAACGGGCTCCGTACCCTCCTCCATACCAGCAGCGTCGTCAGTGGCGTATCCCTGGCCACCAGCAACCATGACGAGCGCAGACGTTTCTGTGAGCTTGTTGCCTACGTATACGAATACGGGGCCGGTGATTACGATGCCTGTGCCTACGACGTTTACGAGTGCGCCGAGTAGGGTTACGAGTGGGTTTGATGGGTGGTTTGATCAGGCTGATACGGCGGGTGGGGTTGTTACTGTGAAGGGGTGTACTTATCCGAATGAGTACTCGCCAACGTTTGCGGTTGTGCCGACTGCGGCTTGTACGGGGACGTGAGTGTTGGTGTAGGTGGGGATTCGGGGGATGGCTGCAGATGGACACATGTAAGGATTTCGGATGGACGGTTAGTATCTAGTGTGGATGCAGCTGATAGCTGTTACCTGTCGTTTTTCGGATGGACTTCTTGTTGGATTGTATGTACTTACGCAGACTAGGAGGATACAGGAACATTTGCTTCACCCCTATTTGGTTGTCTTGTCGTTACGATTGAGTTATAAACAAAAAGTAGTGCGCTGACTAGCACCCGGACCAGATTAATGCATCCTGCCCAAGGCTTTTCTGTGAAGGTCGTGCGCGTTTTACCAGTGCCAAGAGCGACTCTGCGCTTTCCATATGCGTAGTCCACGTCCTTTTTTCACGTTGCAACCTGTTGGCAGTCTCGTGACTCGCGCATCATCATCATGGGCCCAGCACGTTTACGTCGCCTTGAGGGTCATTCGCGTTGACGTTGAGCGCCTGCTTAGGGTAGCAAAATGAGCCTAATCGAAGCCGAGCCCAGGGTTCCGGAACGAGTGGCAGGAGAAAGCCGTGACCAGGAAAGAGAGTACTTCAACAAAAAATCCCAGAGCTAGCCAGCCACTTATTTGCGCGTCTGGTACACCAAAATTTGAAAATCCGATACATTCATGCCTTAAAGCAAATTAGGTTTATCAATAATGTTAACGCTTGCCTTCTCGAGCTCAATGCCAGCCTCCGATTCGGAGCTCAACCCGATGATGAGCTTCGGCACTCTCGAAGACCTGTCCCTCACACCACCTTTCTCGAAATCTGATCCGGTCTGCTCAAAGGTAGTCCCGTGTTTCCTGTCAAAACGTAAACAAACGAATGGAGGGATAGGATTTTGCGTAGGCGTACTCGGGCCCGATTATAGTGATGAATACAACGAATGCGGTGACTGTACCGATGAATATCCCTTGCACCTGCGATTCCGAGTTAGTAATTCCGAAACAAAATTCGTTCGCTTCATAACACGGACCTTTGCGTAATCCGGAACAATGATCTCTTGACCATTTTCGTAGATGGTAGTTTTAAAGTGATGACCACCGACTGCAGTATTGTGTTATTCAGGAACGCGTTGGCGCAGAAACATAGCAGCTCACTGGTTTCTATTTGAGCAGAGGCAGCAGATATTATCTATTCATCCAACGCATTTGTTAGTGCGATTTTCTTAAAATTCTAGAAGCTCACGTTTCCAAGCTGATATGCGACACCGGAGAAGGTTACGCGGAAGGCGGGTGGTGACATCTCGGCAAGCTGAATTGGAATCTATGTTAAAAGTCAATGAGAGAGAGCAAAGTCGACAGGAATTTGAGGCTCACCACACCCCACGCGCCCTGTATACCAAATTGAATGCAGAAAGCGCCAGCTGAAAGCATAATAAAAGAGCTTGGCAGAATCCAGAGAGGGATGAATGCTGCGTCGATGAATGGAGTGAGATCTCAAAGGGCGAGACACTTGAATAAATCACCTCCGGCGAGCAAGACCATCAGACTTCACGAGTTTAGTTACACCTGGGTAATAAATGTGGGGCACTTACATCATTGTTAAGCGACGACCAATCCTTTGACTAAGAATTCCTGCGAATATACCGCCTCTGTGAACGTGTTATTGTATCGACCGACCCTAGATTTTGAACACGCACGAAAGGGAGCCCTGAACACAGGGGAAGGCGACACCCACCTAAGCAGAATCCTTGAAATATAAACGGGGTACTGACCACGCTTCCACATATAGTAGCAATCGTTGCATCACGCGCCGTGAATCCCTTTGTGGTCTCCAGGAAGATCGGATATAAATCCTAAGGAGTGGACCATCGGGTACGTCGAATCACACTCGCTTATGGTATTAGGGACTAAATACCTGAGAACCATGAGAGAGAAAGTTGAATCCTGAATTACGGCACAGCGTGAGGTAGGGCATAATCGTGACAACCATAGGTGATAAACACATACCTGCCATGAGTAAAACAGCATAAACGCATAACGCCCAATGCCTTTTGAGCATTTCCTTCATATTTCTCATGAAGGCCCTTGTCTTGTTTGATGTATCGATTCCGAAGTAACGCTCGACCTCCTTTGCGCGTAGTACGTACTGGCTCTCGGGCAGAAGGGAGCGTAGGAAACAAGTGATAAAAGATAAACCGGAAGCCGTCCAAAACAATACTCTCCAACCCTGCTTGACTTCCGGAACGATGAGTAAGCTGACCAAAGCGGCGAAGAGATATCCGCAAGCGTAACCCTGTTGTAAAAAGCCGCTGGCCATTCCACGAGCTTCGATTGGAAGATTTTCAAGCGCGGTTGACGCTGCTAATCCCCAGATCCCGCCCATTCCGACACCAAAGAGAGACCGAAGTATGAGAAATTGTTTGAATGTTTGAATGAACCCGACACCAAGCTCGAGAGAAGAGATGAAGAGGAGATTACAAACTAGGGGCCATTTCCGTCCGTAGCGATCCGAAATTATGCCGAATATGACCTTGGAAAGTCATGAGGATCGGTGATCAAAGACGGAGAGGTGGGGCATACTGCGCCTAACGATCGGAATAAAAGAGTGAGGGTAATTGCGGTTGTCTACGAGGAAGTGGAGTTGTCGTGCAATTGTCATGAGCTGTACCAAATGATTGGTGATGCATTGGTGACCCACAATTTGGTTAGTAGATTTGTTGAACTGAACTTCAAACTGCTCGATGCTGAGAGGCACAGAGAAAAAGCCGAAGGCAGTTGAAGTCCATGCCAGCCATCTAAGAGTCTGAGTCCGCCACGATCACGTGAATTTTGAAACGACGTACCCAACGAAGAACTGAGCCCATTGAACCCAAGTCAAGTCACCAATAACAGTGAGCAGATTTGTTTGCTGTTTCTGCTCTCTGCGGGGTATCAGATTCCGTAGGAAGAAAGGTGCCATGATGGCCACAAGGAAGCGTGAACTGTTATAAAGCACCTTCATATCTCCATTAATTCCCCGTCCTGAGAAATTCTGCCCACCTGACTGTGAGATCGGGTTTCAAATATTAAACTCAGTGGGTGTCCGGTCTTGTCTCGGCTTCAGCGTTGGCCTAGCAATTCAGAAGACCACCCAGGAAAGAGGCCCTCATCAGGTAAAATAACATTGGCAGAAAGTCCTAATGTGCCAATTTAATCGGAAGCATTCAATTAGAGGCAATAGTTGGGACCTTGAAATCAAGGTATTTAGAACGCTTTTCCCAAGGGGTTATATATGAGTACGCGTTACTGCTATTTGCCAAATACCAGTAAGATTCCACTCCAAGGCTTGAAGTGGGATCGGATGCGAGCGATTTCAAATCCAAAGCCTGTTGCTACTAGCGAACGCAGCCTCTATAATAATAATCGATCTATTTCCCTGTCTGCGAAGCCCCATTTTGATGACGTTTGCTTTCCCTTCAAGGTTGGTGGATCAATGTTGGATAGTATTTGATGCTTCCGAGCGAAGAACCATGTCGCACATACTTATGTACAGATCTTGGGCGTCCTGTTTCTGTAACTGAATCTCTACAATAAGGCATTCATTCATGATTTGAGTTAAGCGGAAAATGGAAGTGTAAGTCAACAGCGCTAAAATCCGATCACGTCGAAGACTCGAAACGCGTAATGATTGATGACATGTGACCTGAAATTTGACTCACGTGAAGTTGGCGATTCGATCACGTTTCAACCCTTTGCCCGCTCTGCCGCTACCTCAAGTTAGCGGAAGTTGTGGCTAGACTCCCCACTCTGAGTTTGTTGTCATTTTCAGATCGCTCACTGGCTGTTATCAGATATCATGATTCTGTGTCGGCGATAACCTGATTCTCCGTGTCCTTCCAGGTCGCCTGTTCACGCACTCGTCGGGACTCCGGGAGTCTGTCAGTGATTCCGTAAGTTATGTACCAGTCTGAATTGAATCGGGCACCTTTTGCTTTTCTTATCCGTCTCGCCTCCTCTCTCGTAACGCTCATTGGTTTTATTATCAGCCCCTTATCTTACTTTCCTCCAACAACAATGGGGGACCTCATCTCTGCCTCGGTATCGTGACGTGCTCTCTCTTGAGTCTCAACTCGCAGTCGCAATTTGACATTCGTTCGTCGCAAAAATAAACACAATTCCTCCCGAGTAGAAGGACCAGCGCGGGCGCCTAATCGATAAACATAGCTCACGTCAGACACATGGTTTGATCTCTTTGATATCGATGTGCATATGTTATTTTTACTTATCGCAGGTGACCCAGTTCAACTCGAGCCTCGTACTAATGTAACGAGTTTTTATAGAGGCTGTTCTTGCTCCGTCAACGCAACTCAAACGTAGTTGCGGAGGAGGGTCAAGGTGAGCGATGATCTCATTTCCATTCTAACTTAGCACCCTCAGGGCCGCATAAAGGAACAGTCCTCGAATCATTCCAAATATAAGTCGGGACCAACGTGGTGGGATCTTTATCATATACTGCCACGCCTAGCACTCGTTTGCGTCCCCTTCCCCCCACCTGCGCGGACTTGACTTTGCGATGTCGAACAGGGTCTCTCAAAACTTGGACACCTCCCAAGCGAAGATCGCCAACGACTCTGACCCGTTCACTGATCCACCAGCAGCACAAACCGATAATGAGGTGGTGTCTTCATATGGTTCCCAGCTAGCGACGGGAGCTGTCCCCCAGTCTGCCAATGTTGAACCTGACGATACGGAGGTTGTCACAACTCAACCAGTAGACTCCTCTTACCAATCGGACAGTACCGCGCTCCAACCCCCAGTGCCCTTCGTCATATCAGAGCGCTCATCGTTATCAGCCCTTGGCACAAATGACCTCGGCGCGTCGAAGGAGTCCCAGCCCCTCGCCTCGGTCATTGTCCCAACATTGCCCGCCGGGGACAGCGCTGAAGTATTTGGAGAGCGCCCAGCAGACTTGCAACCTGAGAGAAAGCGGCCCAGGAAATTTTTTTGGTTGTTGGTTGCAGTGGCTGTTGTGGTACTGATCTTCCTCGCTGTCTTCCTTCCCGTATTCTTCGTCGTTGTGAAGAAGTCGTCGTCTGCAGCGAGTGGGTCGGGTGGGTCGACGGGGTCGGGTAAGCCGACGAAAGGGTCGCCCTCAGCCTCCAACGCTATCGTGAGTTTCCTTTAGTTGCTCAAGGATTTATGTTTGACTTGCTGGCGGCCTTGAAGACTGGGGGGAACGGCTCAACAGTTACGATGGCGAATGGTACCACCTTCACATACAAGAACCCTTTCGGCGGATTCTGCAAGTCGTCCCACCACCTACCCTGAGTCTGCTAACACCTCTTCATTTCTAGGGGTCGAAGATCCTGCTAACCCATTCAACAACAATGCACAGGCCAACTCGTGGACACCGCCCTTGAACACCTCCTGGACGTGGGGTAAGGACCGCGTATATGGTGTCAACCTTGGAGGGTGGTTGGTCATGGAGCCATTCATAAGGCCCGATATATATCAGCGCTACCCGGGTGCAGTGGATGAGTTCACGTTGAGCACTCTGATGGCAGCGGATACGGCGAACGGCGGGTTGGCACAACTGGAGACGCATTACGACACATTTGTCGTAAGTGTTTGATTTGTGGCATTGTCGCGAACATTGACGAAGCAATTTGATGTAGACGGAAAAGGATATCGCCGAGATGGCAGGTTTGTGTTCTGTCTTCTCACGTCCTTCCAAGAGTAAAACTCACCGATTTAGGTGCCGGCCTCAACTGGATACGTGTTCCCCTGGCGTTTTGGGCTATTGAGACGTGGGAAGGGGAACCGTACTTAGAGGGGACATCGTGGAAGTCAGCTTTTTATCCTGCTTTGCTGTGCGAACTGCAACTAATCCATCCCAACTGTAGGTACTTTGTGCGTTTCTTGGGTTGGGCACGAAAATATGGGATGAGGGTGTTTCTTGACCTACATGCCGTTCCGGGGTCGCAGAATGGTCAGTTTAAGAACTTGGCTCACTACTGGTACAGTCATTGACCCGCGTTCTATTCCAACGACAGGCTACAACCACAGCGGAGTGTGAGTGTCCATCGTCGTTTGCCTTCCCTTCCATCTAATGATCTTCATCCTTGACGCAGTCTCGGTGTGCACAACTTTCTTCAGGGGATCATGGGCCTTGCCAATGCCCAACGAACATTGTACTATCTGCGCATCATAACGGAGTTCATCTCCCAGCCCCAATATCGAGATGTGGTCCCGATGTTCGGAATCATCAACGAGCCTACTCTGACCATGGACATCTTGACGCCGTTCTATCTTCAAGCCTATAATATAATTCGGAATATTACAGGAGTTGGGGCAGGAAAGGGACCTGTGAGTTTGGTTTCACCATGATTCAGGACATTGGCATTTATAGCTCCGTCAGTACATTGTCATTCAGGACGGCGGGTTCATTGGCGATATTTCGCAGACCGGTTACTTAGCTGGTGCTGATCGCATGGCTTTAGATCAACATCCGTATTTCGCCTTCGAGGGCATTACTGACCCAGTTGCTGTCGTTGGGCCATCTGGACAATATGGCGGGAATTGGCCAATTCAGGCATGCACTAATTGGTTGCCGGGTGCGGAAGCTGCGTAAGTGCTCGAGTTTCATTTTGAGTTCACCTTTTGAGGGAAACGTTGGCATATAGTCGTGCGGGTTTCGGAGTGACTGTTACGGGAGAGTTCTCCGCCGCTCTTAACGATTGTGGCTTGTTCATGATTGGGGTCAATGTCAATTCGACGAACCCTGAATGCCCAATATACGAAAACTGGGAGAACTATAACGATACGATGAAGCAGGGCGTGATGAATGAGGTCCTGGCCAGTATGGACGCGCTCGGTGATTGGTTTTTCTGGACCTGGAAGGTAATCACCTCACCTTAGCCGCTTCTTTTGCGTGTAACACATGGGCATGATAGGTCGGCCCAGATCAAACGGGCAACATTAGCTCACCGTTATGGTCTTACCAACTAGGCCTGCAAAACGGATGGATCCCTACAGACCCACGCACCTCTCAAGGTAAATGTGCGTCTCTCATTACCGCCCCCGCCGATCCTTTCAATGGTACCTTCCTTCCGTGGCAAACAGGAGGCGTACCTTCTTCCATCGCCGCCTCATCCTCAGCCTTGTACCCCTGGCCTCCAACAAGCATTTCGAGCGCGGGTTTGTCTGCCAGCCTGTTGCCGACGTACACAAATACTGGGCCCATAACCACGTTGCCTGTGCCGACCTTCACTGGGGCAGCGAGCAAGGTGACACAGGGTGTCAATGGATGGTTCAACCAGGCTGATACTCAAGGCGGGATTGTGACCGTTGCGGGGTGTTCATATCCGAATGAATATTCTCCCACGTTCGCTGTGGTTCCCACCGCGCCTTGTACAGGGGCGGCAGGGCCGACTGCCACTACGAAGTAACTAGATTATGGTGTGTTACGATCTTGAACATTTTCACGGTTTGGACGTTCACGTTCAGTGCTAGTAGTATGTTAGATTATGACTCTTCCTCAGATAGATGGCGGATGGGCTTCAAAAGGATTACTATAGCTATTATTTACGCATGGACCGTTCCCCCATTCCCGCGGCCTTGCTACACTTACTATTGCTGATCTACCTCGTAACTTACCCCCTCATTCCTTTTGCCTGTCTGCGTTGTACAGTACATATTGTCCTCGGACCCAATTATGGATCTACGTGAAGATTGTCGAAGGCTAAAACGTACTCCTCGTAGGTTAGTCATAAAATATTTCCCAGCTTTCTTAGTCCAAGAAAGAAAAGCCTAACAAATTCAAACACTACTTTGGCTATCATGGGAATGTTCCATACACCGTCAGATGGAGGTCACGACCACAGAATTCCGTTGGGTCCCCTTGACATGTTTGACCGCACTGGCTATCATCGACCTTTACTCCCCTTGACGGCGAAATACTATTGCCGCAGACTGTAAAATATCAGAAACCTTCATGTTATCGGTGAGGTGAATACTTGCAGCATTGACTCCCATACTCAAGGCCGGCCAACTTGTAGTTGGATGTGCAGGCCGAGGCGCACATTTCAACGGTCATCAATTCATCAGTGAAAAACGTCCCATTGAGAGAACGCGAAGTGGCGTTGTTATCACTAGGGATTTATTTGTACTGACAACAATGGGGGGAGAATGAGAGAACACACGTGTAGCATCCGTTATACTGCAAACCGTTCACTAATGGCTTGTTGACCGGCGTCACCGGGTGGCCGTAGGAGTAGATGAATATTTTCCAGAAACCCCCACATGTCTGGGTACTGTTTCCTGCGCAGGTCATGTTACACTCATTGACGTTTGCAGGGGTTGCTGAGCTCTGGATGCTGTAGCCGCAGTCTGAAAACACCAATGAGATTCTTTCAAGGAGCGTGACTCGGAGTAAGCGCGCATACAGCATTGCTGGAGCAGAGATAGAATCAGGGTTGGCCAGAGTGAAATAAGTAGGGCGCACGTTTCCATCTTCAACACCTCAGTATGGGTAGCTCCCGTTCCCACCATATGCAAGGCATTGGGCCGGGGTCATTTCAGCGGAGCTATGAGTGACCGCGAGCAGAGTACGCGGATTCCCGGTATCACTAGAGAAATAATTAGAAAACAATGTTAAAGATTGTGTTGTAACGGACTTGTAACAACCAATAGGGTTCCATCCAGCAAGGGGAGATTGTACAACATGCTAAGAAGGAGTCAAAAGTGGGAACACACGAAGATATAGGAAAGGCGAGAGAGGCTCACAGCGCCGTTGTTGTTCGACGCCTTCCGCACAACGATGATGAACACGGGGAGGAAGACGGCGAGAATCACAACGAGAATCACGGCGACCGCAATGAGGCGGGTGGATCTTCTAGGCCATCGACCATCCCCTTTTGAAATCGCATGGTGATCCCATTCGTCAGAGTGAGAAAGATCGGCCTCTTGAGCTCCATTCGCCTGATTGGGTGTCGTCAAACTTTGGGTAACCACAGCCTCGTCTGGGGGTTCCATGAAACGAAGTCTAACTTCGGGCGGACGCTTTCGTTGTGCAACCTGAACATCGGTGGTGTGGCCATGCGCGGGTAGGAGATGTTGGATTTCAATCTGCCGTGCAGATAAGGCAGACGCCGAACCCCCAAACGGGACAGTATCTTCTTGGTAATACGCTGGCGGAGCATCAGGAGAAAGGGGGTGATCTGTAGAGGGAACCGTATTTGTAGGTCGGGAGGAACTCGTTCCTCTACTCTTCGCCATTACGAGGGCGTGAACGGGGGAGAATGTGAGGCAATGACATGCTTATGGCCTCAACGTATGAATTAAACGAGGCGCGTGTGTGGCTCTTGAAACCATTCCTGACCCTTCAGCCCCAGGTATGGACTGGTATGTACCAGTGCGGTGCACTGACTTGCTGCACATGCCTGATTTGCGCCCACGTTGCCGAGGTCACATCTCGCCTTCCAGTCGAAAAGGACATTCACATACAGAAGGAAATTTTTATTGGTTCAATTGCGGATAAGAGAGATTTGTCGCATTATCATTCCCTCTCCCCTGGAGTATAGGAAGTGAGGATCAAGCAAGGATCAAGCGAAGCCAAGGAAGGCAGATAACGCACAAGGAAGCCTGATACTGACTGCTGATTGCGAACGAAGTGTTCAATAACTCAAAACGAAATGAGTATGAAGGTGCCGTCGAGTGCATAAGTACGTCGAATGACACGGCAGCCATTCTGAGGGCAAGTGGAATGTTGAATGGAAATTCAAATTTTGTTCAAATTGGACACGATTGATTTGATCACATGACTAATATTGCCATTCCCTTAGCATGCAAAAATTCGCGAACACCAATCCGTCCACGATGGCCGTGTCACCCTCCACCAGCTAAAGGGCTCAAACTACCCTGTTTCCCTTCCCCGCCCACGAGGCTGGCTGGATGTACAATATGAATTGCACCTGAAGCATCCCTCGAAACGTTTTTCACGTTCTTCAGACTTGGTCCTCGCGTACGGCTGTCTATGACGCTGTAACTCACGAGGATATCGTTTGGGTTGACACCCATACGACCGATGCCACTCTTTATTGTTCAATCTGACAACCGATTGCCGAGAAGCTGATGACGTTCGAATGGCAACGTCTCTTGCATCTGGTACCCTCGTTCGATACCTCACTACAACAGTTTGCCTTGGAGGTGTATGAGGTCAAGGACGCTATCCGGGTCAAGAAGATGCAGCTGCCTATGGCCAAGGTAGACGGGAATAACGAGGAGGAGGAGGAGGAAGAGGAAGAGATACACAGAACTCCAAGCTAAGACGCTTCATCAGGTACCCTTTATCAAACAAGAGGCTTTCAAGAAAGCTCACGAGATCCGGATGAAAGCCGACGAAGAGTTCGCCATCGAGAAGGTATATATCAGTATCCCCCTTCAACGAGAACGCCTCGCTAACTAACACTTACGCAAGGACAAACTCGAGAAGCAAGAACAACAAGCAATTGACGCTCAGTACGAAAAGAAACGCAAAGCGTCTGAGGTCGCCCAGAAGATGTCGGTTTGACGCGTCGTCTATTAACCTCACGCACACCGACTCATGAACAATTTTTAGCAACACTGCGCCCAATCCTATGGAAAGCAAGACTGATCTGCTCGGAATTCTCGGTTGCCGATTGATGGCCGCATATTTGCTAAGTAATATAATTGATTTGTGGTATTTGCACCACAATTACATAATATACAGCTATGTTGTTCAAGTGCCTTTCTTCATGGTCTACTCGATGCCTTCATCATGTAACAGGCAAATTACATCATGGCCTTGCTTGCTCGTCTGATATTCCACTTCAATTCATCCCAGGGCTTGACAGTTATATGAGTGTCCTTGTGATTTTTCCTGACAAGTTAATTTAAGGGTACAACTTGCATTTCTATGCGGCACTGTTTTCTTCAGCCAGCATTGAATCTAGTCACATGAATTATATATAAATAATCTTTCTTCTGTGGCGGATGATGAGTCCATCACCCATTTTGCCATTCACTGGAAAAGACTAAAGAAATTTACTATCTTGTTGTGGTCTATTCTGCCTGTAAAAAATATGCATTATTTTCTTGAAGGTCTCTTCAATGGAAGTATGATCCCCACCCCAGGAAATCCTGCAGGAGAGTGGGTTATTTATCAAAAGTGACTGAGGAACAAGACTCACCAGTTCAGCAATGTCTCTCATGTTTACATCCAGTCCAATGGTAATTGATTTCATCTTGAGGTTTAAAATTCCTTCTTTCACTTCTCAATCAGGTGGACCAATCAACATATAGAATGTGATCAAGTCTTCTGGGGCACATCACAGTGTCCTATCATCAAATAAATTATCACAAACAACACTGGGTGTTGGGGAGTTTCATGATAACTTGGAGGCAGTTGTTTGCTGCAACAACAATGCCCACAATTTCTTGCATAGGGGTGCTCATGGTAGCCATTTTTGATTCATTTTTTGTTCATTTTTGTAGACATAGAACATCAAAAATGAAGTGAAAAATGAAGTGAAAAATGGCTACTGTGAACCTGCCCTCCTTGAAATTTTCGAAAATGAGATAAAAAATGAGTGAAAAATGGAACAGCCCATTTTTCGGCACCCTGGCAGCCTTGAACTCTGCACCTTGTTGCAGACCCCACCTTATCTTATCATTTCTCCAATAGTATCTGTCAGCTGCAATTCTTCCCTGAGCCTCAACTAATTGGTTTTCAGTCTATTAAGAGTAATTTATTTTGATTTTTTTGCTCATTCTGCAGTGCAAACGGTGAATAGAATAAAGTGGTTGTCATATCGGGAAAAAAGAAAAAGAACAGACAACACTGAAACACCCTTCAGCAACTTGAAACCTGAACACAAAAAATGGATGAAAAATGGATGAAAAACAGAAACACATCAAAAATGGACACGATGGCTGTTTTTGAAAAATGGCATTTTTGGGATCATTTTTGATGTGTTTCTTTGCCCGTTTTTGATTCTATTTTTCAGAAAAACGAGATGAGAAATGAGATGAAAAATGATTCAAAAACAGTAACTGTGAATGGCACTAATGCCATCCACCCAGTTTGTTTGATAAACTAGTTACCACAACATCATGTGCAAGATGGCATTGCTAATAGAAAGTATGTGAAGTTGTGAGTGTGTCTATTCAAAATTATGTGGGGAGAAGCCTCACATCCTTTTCTGAATATTTCCTGAATACCTCTTTCTGAGTCAGCCACAAATTGATTCAAAAGGTGCAAGATCACAATGAGTCTGCATGAAAATTTGCACAAAATCATACTCATCTTGGGACTTTGGCAGTGACAAAATTACTCTGCTTTCACAAGCACAACCATCCCTGCATGGTCTGAGATGCCACCAGATGCCATTCCATGATTGGAGGCTAGTCTACTGTCATCTGAGAGCTGTGTGAGGCTATAGGGTGGGCTTTGTTGCACCTGGAAGCATTGTAGTGTATTGGATGCAGCAAAACTACTTTAGCACTGACATAGCCATGCACTCAAGATGCTAATGCTTGGAGGTTGGTTGGAGGATCATTGTGTGATGTTTCTTCAAGGAAGTATGTGCAAATGTGCCTCAGTGTTGGTGTATTTTGTCAATTTGAGCCTGAAACATCTTGGGAACATCAAGTAAGTTGATTTAAATCTGTAATTACATTGCAGAATTACTGATATTCTTTAAATTAATAAGATACCCAGTAATGATATGTGTTCCGACAGTGCCAATACTTGATGGATGTTAGACGGCAAGACTTGGGCAATGGCTCCGTGAAATTCTTCATTGCAGATTGCATAATTATGGTACAAATACCACGAATCAATTATATTACTTAGCAAATATGCGGCCATCAATCGGCAACCGAGAATTCCGAGCAGATCAGTCTTGCTTTCCATACAATCCACACTCACCAACTAAAGCTCCTCCATTGACGAGAAGAGAACCTCCTGTGCCTCTTCTCCTCCACTCAATCGCAACCCTAGCAACCGACTAAAGCTGATATGTGCAGTTTCAAGAGGGCGTCATCCTGCTGCAGATCATGGAGGCGAGCGTCACTGTTTGTTGGAAATCAGACCTTGTCATAGCTGTGCAAGCTTCAGGAGCAGTTGCCAAGCTGTTCAAGGAGATCAGTGAGGGCGATATTGCTTTCGAAGTATGTAGATGCCAGCTTGGGTGACGGGCAAGTTCCCTGTTTTGTTCCGTTATTGCTTTTTTTAATCAAATGGGATCACCTTTCAGTGTTGGTGGTGTTAGACTCATTAGTGGTTCGAAACTAATAACACTTGACAATACACTGGACGAGAGACGATGTCATTGGAAGATAGGGTACGTGCATTCATTGAGCCGCTTTCAGATCAGAAAGGTCCTCTTCGGTATTAATGAGAATTGCAAGTTTCATACATGAAATAGCACGCCCCATCGATATGTGTGTTTTCAAACAATATCATTGCGTTTCTCGGAAGATGCAAACGTCGAGGCCCGAGGGTTTCCGGATACTCAGTGTGTGTTTCATTAAGAGGAACATCGTTACTACGAACATTGCAGTGTCCACCTCATAGGTCAATCAAGCCATTGTTGCAGACTTTGGCATCGCTTCTTGCACATGCTGAACAACCCCTCCCCCTAATAATCAGACAGCCCGTGCCCGCTTATCAATCGCTCAAGAAGGGCTATGTCTTTTGGGGCGCCCTCATTCATGCTTTCGGCTGAATTGGGGTTGGTTGACATGCGAAGGTCGAGCCCGCTACGGTTATTTCCATTGATGGGGGGTTGCACTTGCGACGAACCCTAGTGGCCGTGCTAAATCTTCCCAGCTTGTAGGGGCGTTCACCCATTTGAGGTGGTGCGCTAAGGACGCGCGATCCGTATCAGCAATTTCGCCGTGAGCGGGTGGACCCGTAAATCAAGTTGGTGGGGACGAAACTCAAACATGAGGAAAGCTGAAAGCCGGAATGGCTGTATTTTGTGATTTATAGTATCGCTACTTTACAACATATAAAAAATACTGACGACGTGATGCTTGATACAGGTCTTCTCTGAATAAAACCTCTCCTGCAAGCTGGCGGGCATCGGCGGTGTGGAACGCCGCGTGCTCCCCAAAATACCCAAAAAAGAAAGGTGCGGGATCAATCATGTTATTCCCCCTACGGAAGTCCTCAAGCAACCTCTTCATCCGTGGATGGATGCCATTGGCTGCGTCTGGGTGAGGTTTTTCCGAAGTATTCCAACTTGCAGCAACGTACTGAAATGGCACCCGATTCGTGCTTTTTGAGATAGCGGTAGCCTATGTAGCACGCTGCAACTCCGGCTAACGCGGTTTCAAAAAGAAGTCAGAACTTGAATGTGTCGGTGAACCAGATCGAGAAATACCAATCGACTCGTCACTGGCCAATTACGACCATCAAAAGAATTGACCTCTGAGCTCGTCTGAGGCTGTCACTCACTGCTCAGAAGCGTCAGGCCTGAACTGGGGGTTTCTTCAGACTCGGAAGCAATCTGGGCCAGTATATAAACCTCTTTTAATCCTCAGGCCTCATCTCCTACCAGTCGTCCTGTTCTCTCAACCATCTGCATCCAGCTAAGAATCCAAGACCCTTTCTTCCTCCACCAGTCGAAATGCTCTATATCCGCACTATCCTCGCTGCTGTCCTGGCCGGGGCTGTCGTTGCCACCCCCAGCACACTGATGAAGCGTGACGAGAAGCTCACCATGTCGTACTGCAACGGCTGCGTTCCTGCCGGTGAAGACAGCGTTGATTGCGTGAACAACTTTTATATCCACTGGGGTGACAGCAGACTCGGATCATGGTATTTAGGGCCCCTTTTTTTGTACTTCCAGCTTCTGACCATACACTCCTCATCACTAGCAACAATTCTTCCTTCCTCTACGACGACGGGTCGTGCTCCACTTCAGGGGCGACGATTCCGACGCCGTCTGGCAGCGGCACTTGGTCGACGTCCAACTGCGGTGCGGCCACTGACCAGGTCCTGGGTACCATCAACGCCGGTGGCAACACCTACACTTGCTACCGCGCCAATAACCAGAACTTCGATAATGACTGCCTTGGTGAAACCTTTTTTTTTTTTTTTTTTTTTTCGAGTCAAATTTAGAGTCTATTAGGGCGAGGCCCTATGTCAGACTTTACAACTATGTAGACTACCTATGGCCCCTAATGCCATTTATACCTGACCCCCTTGAGATTGCCCTATGCACTGGTGAGGGCACGCCCACGGTGAACATTCCCCCACCCAGCCCGGCACGAAAACGCCGTTTTGGGGCACATCTATATAGGTAAGCGGGGTAGTCTCGTCATCTTGCTTATCTGTGCAATCCATCTTGGTAGTCTTTCGGCTTATTAAGTACCCGATCGCGAAGCGACAGGCACAGTCGATTGGTGAAACCTACGCTTGCTCAGTCTATGCAAGCTGCTACGGCCCGTAGGCATATTGGGTCATGCCACAATCTGTTCTTAGGTATATCATGAGTTTGTTTATAAGAGGCTGGAGAATAGAAGACGTTTCAGGAAGATTGTTGGAGGATTAGCACAGGGAATCAGGCGTCATTCTTTTTTCTCAGTTGTGTTTGTAGATATTCTCTCTTCAATGCCTTTGACTTTCTCTTCATCTGCGCCCAGTCATGAACATCTTCCCTGTGTCAGTGCCCACAACGGAGATGCCAGAATATTATCAAAGACCAAGTCACACGACGCCCACACGACAAACGGAATCCCCTCGTTCGTAGTCATATTTCTTTATTCCAATTGTCGACTTTTCAAGGTATTCTGAATATCCAGGATCATGTCCCACGTAAATGGGTGTCTCTCACTCGGATCGAACAGAAATCTGCAATTTATCCTTCTCGATTTCATAAATATAGGCGAGGGATTCAAGGCGGCCGACCAACTTGATGGTTTGCTGCAAGCGATGATTCTCCATCGCCATATCATATGTAGAAACTCACTCTACAATAGCCAACAGAACAACAACAATACGAACAGCAGTATTCCGACAAAACCCTCGAACACTGCGGCTGGCTGGAAGGATGGCGATTATATATGTTCCACTACACTGGCGATTGTGGTTTACTTGTTTTGTTACATATCGTGATACTCATCATGACATTGATACGAGTAGAGCTTGGGTTGCAATTTGTCGGGGGTACTAGGCGTATTTAAACAATCGTTTACTTGCTTAAACTTGAGCATGCCGGCGCCAATGGTCAAAATACAAGTAAGGTTATTATTGACATTGGAACAATGTCAAACTCTAGTTCTACATTTACGAACTCATTTTTTTTTTCATGGCTTGAGACTTCAATGCGAGCGGTTTTCTGTGTCGTTCGTAAAAAATGACCAAGGTACTTTACTATATCCTGGCGTCTTTCTTTCACGGCAAATATTATTATTTCCGATGAAATCAAGATGAAATGGTACATAGGAATTTGGTCTGTCAATGAAGGGGGATGAAAATTACTGGCTACTGCCTCGCAAGCGATTTTCAAGGTTGGAAGCCTTCTTTTTGGGAGCGTTGGTCAGTGCCTTGCTAGCTTCTGTTCAATTTCCGTGTCGTGATTAACTTGCTCTCAGGTCCCGGTGTGTCTCCTTCTTCCAAGGCTGACATTATCCTGTCAGGCATGAAATTGTAAATCGAAAATCGAGGCTTAGAGTCCCAGTTACTAATTTATAGGCGGCCAAAATGAACCCAAGCCAGGCAAAAGTGCTCTTCTTCTGAATTTGCTCGTATTTGAATACTTACGTCTGTGCTTCCCCCTCGAGGTTTTATTGGTCATGCTCTGCATCACTCGGCAACAAGCTCAAGACGCTTGAGGCGGTTGTGGCGTTTTGCGCAATCGTATGTGCAACCGTGACTCAACGCGATTGACTAGTATGCGAGGTGGGTGAGCTGGGAACGCCTGCGCCTGTGGCCTTATTGACTCGGGTGAGAATGACTCTAGCTACACTAACTGGGCAAAAAGATTGTCTGATCATTTTTTGGACAAAGTTGGTGCTATAACACAAGAATCAAACATTTTGAGAACTAAGCTCTAGTGTATAAAATATAGCTAAGGAGGTGTAGATTGTATATACCAAGTCTGGGGATGAACAATTGAAAACTCAGGATAAGGCAGGGAATTGACTGTGACAAGTGCCAAAAATGGGATGTAACAAAGTGGGAAATTCTGAATGACTGCAACCTACTGAAAGCAATTCACAACTTGAGGAAGAGATATTTTGAACACTGGATCTCCCTGCTATTGTTATGAGTTTCATAAAGTCTCTGGGGTAGAAAATTTTATATCCTCCTCTAAAAGGTAAATTTGAACTTATTCTCCATTTTATGTATTTTTCACTCAATATATTTGTTGGAATGAGGTAAAATGACTCCCTATTGTTGTTTGTAGTGTGTATAATACAAAAGGTAGGTAGAAATGTTAAAATGAACATTGCATGATGTCTGTAGGAGCTAATTCCCAGAGTTTTTCTGGAAGTAAACAAATATCTACAACATTGGTCCTTCTTTTCTGCAAGGAGAAAAAATGCTACCATCCTTTTGAATTGATCCATGGAGACTCAGGATGTCTTTTAAACAATGCCTGAAGTATAGCATGATAGCAAATAAATTTACACTGGGTATAACTTGAAAAGTCCCCAACAAAAGTAAATTTTGCATAGAGCAATCATCCTGGACCAATCCTTGACATTTTTCTCAGTGGATTGGGGCTGAAAATATTTCACAAGGCACTTATCATGCCTAGTAACACTATCACAAAAAAATAAACAGAGGTCCTATTTATACAAGGATCTGAGACCCCACAGCTTTCTTGCTCTATGCAAAATTTAGTTTTGTTGGGGACTTTTCAAGTTATACCCAGTGTGAATTTATTTGCTATCATGCTATACTTCAGGCATTGTTTAAAAGACATCCTGAGTCTCCATGGATCAATTCAAAAGGATGGTAGCATTTTTTCTCCTTGCAGAAAAGCAGGACCAATGTTGTAGATATTTGTTTACTTCCAGAAAAACTCTGGGAATTAGCTCCTACAGACATCATGCAATGTTCATTTTAACATTTCTACCTACCTTTTGTATTATACACACTACAAACAACAATAGGGAGTCATTTTACCTCATTCCAACAAATATATTGAGTGAAAAATACATAAAATGGAGAATAAGTTCAAATTTACCTTTTAGAGGAGGATATAAAATTTTCTACCCCAGAGACTTTATGAAACTCATAACAATAGCAGGGAGATCCAGTGTTCAAAATATCTCTTCCTCAAGTTGTGAATTGCTTTCAGTAGGTTGCAGTCATTCAGAATTTCCCACTTTGTTACATCCCATTTTTGGGGGCACAGGAAAATCTGCATGCCATCTGCAGACACCTGCGGACACAGGTTGCGTGCCAGTTGCGAACCGAAAGGAAGTATCTGCGGTCACTTGCGTGCAGACCAATCCAGTTGCATGCACATTAGACCTAGTGAGCCGAGTATCTGCGGGCATCTGCAAGCATCAGCGCACCTTGCTGAGATTTCATATTTCTTGAGATTTCTTCAATGAGCACCATAATTATCCTTCTAGTTTAACGTATCTGAATCTCTCTTATTCTTTCTGACTTGTTGGTTTGTACCTATAGGTCTGTACTAAGACCATTTTTATGCTGAAATGTACAAGTAACGCAGTGTCTGAGGCTATGACTAGTCAGCCACCGGCTTCTTACCACTATTTTCCTTCTTTATCGGATGTGATTGTGGTCGATTTTTTTCCAGAGACTTCGGGACTCAATAGCCAATGTCTGCCATTGGCGAGTGATGGAGTCTCACCTCTCGTTCAGACTCGCTCTCTTCTTCCCATCCCAACTTGATTCCACACCAAATGAGGGACATTAGGGAAAACCAACTTTGGAAATCGACGAAAATCTCTCGTTATTTCCCGACTACTTCCCCAGAAAACCTGGATTCCGGTGTTTCCCCCAATTTTCTCAATTAGACCGGTGTCAGCAGATTTGAAGGAAATTCTTGGGACATTCATAATGTATTTCACTGTCATTTCCCTCACTTTTACAATGTATTTCAATGACATTTCCCTCACATTCACTAATTTTGGAACCATTTCATTCATGGGATTCATAAATTATACTGGTGACATATATTGCTCTACGAAATGACCAAGATGTCCTGCATCCAATCAGCATTCCACCTGCGATACACTTGCGTTCAGCTTGCGGTACACTTGAAATACATCTGCGACACACCTGCGACACATTTAAGATACACTTGCGAGAGTTAGTATCCATTGCGAGACTTGCGTACACTTGCGTGCAACTTGCGCATCACTTGCGATACACCTGCGAGACCAATGCGAGACACCCTTGCGAGAATCTGCGCACAAAATGGATGTTTGCGAGCCACCTGCGGTCAACTTGCGAGTAGGCATGAGTAAATAAGAACTAAAACTCTTGTGTATAAAATTGAACACTGTATTCCAGACTCGTATCGCATAGCAATGGCCACATTTTAAGTTCTCAAGTGAAGATTACATTTCTTTAGTTTAAATTTACTAAGTACTATGTTGTAGTAGACTATCTATCTGCGTGACACCTGCGATACCTGCGATCCTTTTTGATTATCTGCGAGACACTTGCGGTCACCTGCGAACGGGTGGTCCACAAGTGACTGCAAGTGGCACGCAGATTTCTATATGCCCCATTTTTGGCACTTGTCACAGTCAATTCCCTGCCTTATCCTGAGTTTTCAATTGTTCATCCCCAGACTTGGTATATACAATCTACACCTCCTTAGCTATATTTTATACACTAGAGCTTAGTTCTCAAAATGTTTGATTCTTGTGTTATAGCACCAACTTTGTCCAAAAAATGATCAGACAATCTTTTTGCTCAGTTAGTGTACATACTTATTCCGAATAAGTATGTAGCTAGAGTCCGCGAACCAATACACTTTCACATACAACAAACTGTCACGGTAAGTACGCTGGGAAGAAAGACGCACTACCGTACTGTCATACTCTCAACCAGTCATTTGGGGGACTATTCGTTTGACCATCCCGACATTGTAATTTATGGGCCTCTTCCTTATGCTCGGGCTTCTTGGGAAGACGCTGACAGTGTCCAGTAAGCACAATAGTGAAAGGACGCCACTGCCCATTGCCATGGCTGTCCCCCAGCTTCACAATCACATATGTCTGGTCCGAAAACTCAGATAATTTTCTATCCCGTCTGATTTTACCATGACTCACCTTCTTAATCTCGTTAATAACGGCATTATCGACAGTTAAACCGCCAGTACACCCGAAATTCCCCAGCCAAGCTGGTGTAACTGTAACAACGGGCGTGCTTTCGAAAATGCTGTCGTAAATTATCTGACAAAACCAATAACTATGAGTAGTGCTAGTGATGACTTCCACCGTCTGACCTTACCTGATACATTCCAGTGGCAGTAGCCACTTGGTGGACCGATATGCTTTTATTCTCGGGTAAGCCATAGGGTTGAAAAGCAAAAGAGGCGTCAGTGTTAACAACTGCAGATACAGTGATGAGAGACATTTGGAATTTTTTAGTTCCACCACCACTTTATATATACTCCACCCCAGACATGTTTTGCGTATGTTTCGGTTCAACCCCATCAGGAAATCCTGAGACTCTGAATTAACCCTGATTTATATGATTTATATAGAATTGACCGTAAATTATACACAATTGAATGAATTGAGACTTTTGACATATTTGAGAAGATTGAGTAAAATAAAACGGGCACCCGTTAATTGTGCGCAATTGGTGATGCTGAACGTGCAATTGCCCACCTATTTAATATATTATACCACTGAATTGAACCTTTTTTTCTGCACTGTTGCACTTAATTCCACGGGAATAAATTGAAATCATCCAAGTTGACAGAGTATATTGCACGGCGACTACTGGATATAATAACGGGGCTGACTAAATAAGCTGCAAGGGATAGAGCCATAATTAAATCGGATAGGGGAGAGAGAAAATTTTGTAAGCATAATGGGTTCATTAAATATTAAAGATGGATGGGTGCGAATAGGAGGTTGGAACGGGGGGTGAGGAAGTTGTAAGAAATGTACGACTTAGGGTTAGGAGTTACGTATGCGAAAGGGAGCGGGTATACTAGTAAAACTGGATGAAGGCAGGCTTAGACATCCATGTCTGCCATGTCATCGTTAGAGGTTGTGGTGGTCACGAGATGGGTGGAGATGGAACTGAAAGTAAAATAGAACAGTGATGAAGCGGACAGCTGGAGGTAGACAACCACGTACGAGGTGCAATTATAAAGGTCAGCCATGAGACGATGATAAGCATTTGGACTGTTCTCACAAATCGTGGCGAGCATGGCCATATGCGATCGATAAACATCTTCATAGAGATCAGCGTTGAACTCAGTCTTGCGACGGACACCTGTGCTATAATCATCCAACGAAGATGCAATCTACGAGCAGAATATCATGATGAAGTGCAACCATGCAGGGTGACGACTTACAGAAGTGGCAGCCATAGCAACCATGGCCGCAGGTAATTCTCGTTCTTGTTTTCGTGGACCATCAGTGATCGACGAAACGAAGCGATCTTGATAGCGTTCGGCAAATGAACCTCTTGACCCAGTAAAGAAAGCTTCGCGGAGCGTTGAGATCATGGCGAGGTGGAAGAACGGCTTGGTGGGTTGAAGGTCTCCCTCCTAATGTAGGAGGGGAATGAGTCACGAAAGCAGAGCGTATGACAACATACGTACTGCATTGACCGGATAAATATACCTCTTCTTGGAACGAAGATGCTCAATGACATCTCTGCAGTCAGGCCCCTCGAGCAATTTGTAAAAACCTTCCACCTTGGCCATGGCAACTTTCTTGATATCACCACGATACTTGGATACCCGCCCATTCAGCTACCAATGATAGACCTAGTGAGAGATACTGTGATCAGTAAAGTATATCACTCACCACACGACCAGTGACCTTGCCGAAGGCGTGGTCAACTCTAAAGCGGTGGGCGTATGCATTTGCGCCAAACTTCCGCGCACACGACCGAAGAGTCTTACGGTTATACTTGACCTGCTCATCGACTGAGCGGTAGGCAGTATCAAAAATCACATCGCCTATCGCTTTACGGATAGCCGCTTTGATGATCCGTTGGAGGAGCTGTGGCTGTTCCGAGATATGAATCATTCGCATGTTCGGTCCAGGAGCGACGTAATCGGCATCTGCAAAACCTGAATATGGGTCCTCGTCTTCCTCAATCGCACCTCCCCCAGAGTCACCATCGTCCGAAGGCTAACAGAGTATCAATCAGCGAAGGAATATCAATTCAACAAAATATGTTCACCTCGTCATCCGGGGGAGCCATGGTCTTCCACATGGGGCGCTATGATATCGATGAGTCAACGTGGAGGTAAGTTCTAGGTCGTGGATGGTTTACCTCAGCTAAACGTTCTTGACCACGCTTTCCGACCTTCAACAGGGTAAGTTATGAGCAGATACAGAGGTCGAGCTCTTAGATACCTTGCGGCGACGGGATGCAGGCTCATCCTCATCCTCGTCATTGGACTCGTCATCTGACGGGACTTGGCGGCGACGAGGTGCTGGCTCATCCTCATCTTCACCGGACTTGTCTTCACCGGCATTGTCTTCACCATCACCTCGCTCATCGATCTCGTCGACGCCGGCGTCATCGTCGGTGCCCCTCAGTGTGCGTTTCCCGGTCCCTCCATCGGGATGGAATGTTAGGGAGGTGATCTTGAGTTCCTGAGTGATGATTGACGCTGGATTACCAGCATTTGAAGCTTGGATCAGCTTCGCTGAGCACGACTTCTGTGATGCCACGTAAAATATGAGGCTTCAACACTGCAGCTAAGCGCTTACAAAACAGGCGAAGATTTGTCAGTGAGTCTACGCTTAACTACAGTATAATTATATCAGTCGAGCGCAGTAATCCATGGAGTACTTGACGTACCGCTCCGGCCATGATTAGTATGAATGAGCTCAGGCGGCAGGAGCTGAGGACTGGCGTAATCCATCATTGCAAGTGTGAACAAGAAGAGACTACAAAGACGTAGAATGAGCGGCAAGGCAGCCTTCTGATTGGCAGGACTTGCTGAACGATGGCGACTGTGCCGTTTAAGGTTCATTTCAAATGTTCACGTTGTGGTCAAGAGGAAGGGAGGAACTATATTAGTAGTACTATGTAAGAAGCCAACGATGATTCAAAGTTGCGCGAAGGTACTCAAGATGTTGCCAAATCAGTCGGACCCCATTGCTCCCTAGCCGTAAAGCCGCACTTCTACATATGTTATGCAGCTTCCTCTTCAGAGTCTATCACGGAAGCCTGATCATCAGCAGCGCTCGGTAGGGGATTTGGTTGCGGAAACCAACCCCATTGCGTCAAGGCGACTCGCAATTCGCCAGTTCTCCCGACAATTACCTCGACACCTTCTGCCACTAGGGCATCCCTCTGGCGCTGGGCGCCATCGGTTCCAGGTCCACGAGAGGATATTGCGCCGGACGAGCCAATGACACGATGCCAAGGAACCATGGGATGAGCGTTAGGAGATATGAACTTAAGAGCTTCATAAACGTGTTCGTTGTTGTGAATCTTGACTGTCAAGGAGGGAAAAAAACGTGCCTTGTCCTACGTGGCGAGAATGTCTTGGCATACCGATCATCTTTGCAATGTGACCTTCCAAAATCCACGGCTTGAACGACTTGGTCATAGAGATCTCAAGGCAGCACAACACTCACCATAAGTTGTGACTCGACAAGTTGGTATGAGGCGGACAGCATCATACACCTACTTGCTTGCTCTTAGCAGCTAAATCTCAAAAGAAAAAACCAAGGACATTACTGCGGCATGAAATTCTGCACCGTCCATTTTTTCGACGTGCTGTTTACGTGCTGGCACTGCTGTGGAAATGGGTAGTTGGTAAACAAAGACAAATGACCATCTGGAGGATTTTCGCTGCTTATGTAAGACATCGCTCTCAGCACAAAGCCATGTCGCTGGAGTACAAAACTTACTAGTACTCTCTGCTCAGTGCTTGGTACGTAACGCCACTTTTTTCTGGTCATGCACTTATTATTTCACTTAGGTCTCGCAAGTGCGCGATGCCAGACGCGTGCCAGTGCGTTAAACGTCTTTTACCAACTGGAAACAAAAGTAAGTAATAATAAGTATTCTCAACATTGGTTTTCAACGCAGGGCAACAATCAAATTGTTTAGAGCAAAGAAGAGCGTTTAATTAAGCCTGTGAGTCCTCATGGGCATCACTGTTTCCAGTGGCTTGCTCATACAGGTTTCTCTTGCGATGAGTCATCAGCATCACCATGATTGTCATCCTCGGCCTGATGACGGTGCCTTCGGTGGTTTGCTGCGACATTCATGAACTCAAGATGTGAGCCAGCTACGACTGAAAGCGAAAAAATGTAAGTTTCGCAGCGTATTATTGAATCAACGTGACAAACCTCGATCAGAATCCACGAGGAACAGTTCATAGACGACCGCAGCGAGCAAAGTGGCTGGAATGTTCACAAGTGCCGTTATTGCCGAGTAGGATCCTCCCGCAGCTGAAATGTTTTTGAGTGACAAATTGGACGGGACGGGGTAAGATAATCTTACCTGACTTTCCCCAGATGGTCAATGCGAACAAACGGCAACCAATGTCACGGGCCGAATTCAAAGAAACTGCGAGGATGTCAAGGTCAGAGTCGGAGTAATTGTTACCACCCATGACTCACTCGCGGGTACCGCATAACCCCAGATAGAGCCAGCGCTAAAAAGCAGATTCATCAAACCAAAGTCCGACTGCCAAACAAGTCACCTACTATGCCGCAGCGATGATGAAAGGAGCCATAACGGGTGGAATCATGAAACTAGTAGGGTCAAGAGCAGCCCAGATAACCAAGGCGAGCACAAAACACTGAACGGATGAGTGTGAGCTTCCAACCTTGCCCATCAATAGCGACTCTTACATTAACGAATTCATTAAGAAAAGCGCGAGGCAAAGTTTGCGCTCCAGGAAGAAGATAAAGAGCGAAGATTCCGGCCGGACCATTGGGCGTGAACATCGTCGTTTCGTAGACGCCAGCTTGTTTCAAGAGAAGTTCCGACTCCACGATAAGGACCTTCCATTGATTGTATACAAGGGCGGACGCAATGTAAGCTCCAAGAATTTGCGCAACGATATATCTAAGAGACCGTCAATGCTCGACTTAGTCCGCGCTCGAAAGGCATGCAAGCGAGTACCTGACAGCCTTCAGGGGTGGAAAGCCTCTGAATATCGTGAATGCGATGGTAACACAGGGGTTGAAGTGTCCACCAGAAGTCGCTGCACATACACCGATGGCAAACAAAATGCCAAATGCGTAGGCAAAACCGATCTGGAAGACAGCTAGTTATGTCAATGAAGCTGTCAATCGGCAATGTCGTTGAAAATGGTAAGGCGTCGTACAGGAGAGCCCAGACTGTTTCAAGATGTTCCCAATCACCCAAGCTGCGGTAGATCCGAGTCCTATTTCACCATGGGATAAGGGTATGCGTGAATCTCGGACACTCGTTGGACTTGCCAAAGTACACGTAGAAAAAGACGCCCAACTATAAGTGGTTCAATTTCAGATTCGCATCATGATGATAGAGGCGATGGATTTATTACTCACAGCTTCAGCGAAACACTCCATCGCCCAGTGCACCTGGGGCTTGTTCCGTACCCTCTCCCATGCGTTCAAGACTCCAGTGCGCTTTTTCACGTCGCGCAGGTGGATGATTGGAGTAGCGGACATGACGGAGGGGGGTGTGGAAAATCCGATCGACAGGTGCGTTTTATACTGCTCGACGGTGTGAATTGCTTCCTTCGTCAGAACCCCAGATACAGGATCCTGCCATCATAGAGCGGCTGCTGTATGGCCCGTTCAGAATTCAGAAAGTTGATACCCACGCGGAACGGAAAGATCGGAATCTGTAAGTTCAGATAGGGAAGATCCCCCTCCGTGGCTACGCATCTGCACGCACCTACATCATCCCAGACGCACTCGAATGCATTTATTATTTTATAATCACCCTTCCCCACATCGGCCAGCGACGTAGGTCCAATTCGTTCAATAGGTCCGACATTTTTCCCCCGTTGACATAATTGTATGGCGTCAAAGAGAACCCTTCAAGGTTCAGGTCTATGTCAAGCCTGGAATGATGAAAAACACTCTCCGTTTTCATCTCCAAGTCTGTAATGATAACAGCCCCATACGTAGCTTGCATCCTGCCACTGGGGGAGGCTCTCGGACCTTGCGTCGCGTTCACTATTCGTACTTCCAGACTGCGCGGAATGCTCGATCTAGAGGTGATCCTCACGATTTATGTTATAGAGTTAGGGCGTCTTGTTGATTGAGCATTTTCTCACGCGGAACCTGTGCACAATAAGGTCGCAGTTCAGCTGACTGCACAAATGAAGAACAACCTGACAGAGCTTGACAGGCGGACCTACGAGCGTGAGATGTGGTGATCAGGAAGAATAGTTCTACATAGCCCATGGCATTATCTGTCCCGTAGTGTCCCGTTCGATCATTGCTGCGGTCGAGAGCTTATAGGTGCCTCCGATAAAGCTCCGTTGCCTCCGAGCGGCAAACGAGAAGTCAAAGACTTTATCAATAGTCAGTCGAGGATGAGACTACTCACAGGCTGTAAAAGTGGAGGGATTTTGCTCCAACCATATACAGTGTCGGACTTGTGCGAGAAACCAATATGTAATCATGAAAAGTCTGGAGCTAGATATTTAGTCTTCGTCAAGAAGGAACTTTCCTGTTGATGTCGAGTAAAGAGTTGCAATAGCTAGGCGTCGTGTTGCAGCGGAAATTAAGCGGGAAACTTCTTGCAAAGTAAATGTTGTTGATGTGTATTTGCTGGTCTCCCTCCTCTCGCTGTACCAACTAGGCATCTCGTCTAGCGCCATTAGACCCAGACACGACGGTTCAGCAGGCTGGCAAATCGAGATGATCCTCAGGAGAGTTTAGCTGTCTTGGCGATGAGGATGTGGACGGCCGAGAGGACAGTTCTCACAAGGCTTGCCATGATTGAAGATGGATGGGTGTGGTGGGTTGAGGGCTGAGGTATGTGTGATGTGCCTTTTTGAGTTGGATACTGATGGACGGTACTAGGCCGTTGGTAGGATATGTTGCGGTGCAGGCGGAAACTTAGAAACTTGGAGGGGTCCTGTAGGGCCCGACCATTGGGCGGGAATGACTTGGGAATCGGTGGATGGTGATGCTGCTGCTTTGGGTACGCCTACATCAGTGGTTCAAGCACCTGTTCCCATCTCAGCCTCCCTGCTGGTGTCAACCTGTGTGTCGCGCAGTCTAACGTTGCGACTTCGGCCATGCGTCATGCTGAGTCCTCACATGCACACCCAAATCTAGTCCCATCTCGAAGTCCGGGAAAATCATGCTCGTTGGTGGTCACGCCTCCAACTACGCAATGCCGTCGAGGAAGCAAGCCGCCCCATATGGTCGTAAGACGCATCAGCGATCGAGATGCTCGAGTTTTCGTCTCTCACCAAATGGACCTCGCGCAGGATGTCATGCTTCCTGCCTCCCATGCCCACTCTTCCTATTCGGTCGGTCTGTCTGTACCCTCCAAGAGATCGGGCATGGTCGCGCTCGCTCCCGCGACGCAGCACTCTCAACAGCAGAAGGCATCGCAACTGGCTGGAGATTTGACAAAGAGCCCAACCGTTCGGATTCCTGAGGGGGGCGAGGTTCTCATTCGGTGCTGATGCCAACCATCATCGTCTGGCGCATTCAAACGACATGGCTCATAAGACCCATCGTGTTCTGTTTGAAGCAGAGACAGCCTCCTATTACCAAGCTGCCCCAGGCTTCCGCGCCGATCAACAACTTCCTTCACGTCCCTTAACAAGCCGTAACCCTCCGTACAACCAAAAGACATTTTTTCGGTCTCACTCGGCGACCTCCCCTCTGTGTGCCCTCCGCAACCATCGCCCAACTTTCTGCGACCCTTGACGGCCCGCGCTCCACCCAATTACCCCTCAACAACTCACCATCCATCCAACCCAATCTCGACAGTAAGCCCGCCGACCTCGACCAGGAGCCTCCAACTCCCCATAAAAAAGAAACCGGGAAGCCAAAAAAGGCGGTAATGGGGCAGGTAGGAAAGGTCAGGCTGCTCGAGCGTCTAAATTGGGATTGCGAGATGAACTTGGAGTCAGAGACCTTGTAATTTATCCTTTACTAAGTCCTGAAGCGCGGTCACTCGCCGCTGTGGGCATTACTGTTGTTCGTCGAGTGTTCTTGCTTGATGAAACCTTTGACCTCCTTCTATGTTCATCCGCTGCTGTTGGCTTCACCATCAAATCCGCCGGGTCTTTTTGCTCAAATTAATCTTTTCTTGTCGCGTCCTGAAGTGGGGTCGCTTGTTGCAGTGCGCTTCACCGTCTTTTGTCGGGTGTTCTTACTTGACTAAACATCACCTGCCCTCTCCTACATCCTGAAGCGCGGTCCCTTGAAGCTTTTTGTTCGTCATGCGACAACCCGTCTGAATTCTCCTTCCCTTTGGCGCGCTTCATCGAAATTCTTCTGCTCCCTGCACATGTCAGGTATCTGAGTCTTTGCTCAATAAACCTTTGCTTGTCTTTTCTTGCTTTGAAGGGCACGGCAATCTGCTGCTGTGACCTTGCCCTTTCTTTGTTCTTTGTCAATAATTCAGGTTCCGTCGCGGTGCGCTTTTGAGCCGTTCCATGTACTAGTTGTCGTTTGCGTATTGTACGTTTTGTATAGGTTTTGGGGTAAACTGTGCTAGTTTTTTGGGCAGTGGTGATTGATTGAGATCGGGTGCTTTTTAATCGTGGTACTTGTGCCAAAATAAATTCGGGTACGGGGAATCGAACCCCGAGCTGCCGCGACCCAGCTTGGCAAAGAATCGTGAGAGGCGGCAATGTTAACCGTTACACCATACCCGACATATATAGGTAGGTTTATTATGTCTTGAATAAGGCTCAACAAAGAGGTTGGAGTCGGCATTTGGGAAGAAGAGATGGTGCATGTTTTGATAAGTTCATCGTGAGTTGAGATGTGGATATGTATATGCTTGAAACCTTAGGTAAGGAGCACCAGGCACAGTTCTGTGGCAACTCTTGTGCTTTAAGTACTACATCTACATGGGAGCATCAAAGCATGTGCTTGTTATCTAGTTGCTGGTCCAAGTTCCCATTTTTTTTCAATCCTGACTTCTTTCAAAATGTAATGATTGGAACTGACAACTCTTGTTACCTGCACTACCTAGCACTGATTTTTAAAACATACATTGCCATTGCACACAAGTTCTGCCTCAATTGTTCATATATAAATTCTATACTTCTTATGTCCATAATTTGAGATGGAGACAGCATCTCACTCCCTCCATGTCTGAGTTCAGGTTTGGGGATGATCGCCTGATATTGTCATGCTAAGCTGTGTGGATAGTGATGCCGCGTTTTTTAGCCGGTAAATTCTTGTTTCGCTTATAGAGAGCGTAATTATTATTTGAACTTTACGTTCTTGGACTCTCCAGATAGATAGGAAGTGGATCTAAATTATAAAAAAAAGAACGTAAAAAAGCATTACGTTTTCGTTGAGCTATTTACGTTTAGCTGGTCGCCAAGTCAAAGCTCAAATGAGCCGGCTTTTTTTCAAAGCCGGTTGAATCTCTCAATCAAATCTCGGTCGTTTTTGGCGATCTTTTTTTTTTAAATTTAGGTCTACTTCTCATCTACATGGGAGATCTAAGAACGTAAAATTCGAGTGAAAACTCCGCTCTGTATAAAAGAAACAAAAAATAAGCCGTTAAAAAAACGCGGCAACACTAACGGAGGATGCACATCCATAAGCGCGTTGCGCCAGCGCACAAGAATTTCACACACAGTGTCAGCTGCGATGATTGTACCGCTCATACCAACGTTCCGAGCAGCCTGAAGGACATGGAGTCCACTCATACTGGATGAGGGCAGAGGAGTCCAGATGGTGTGAAGGGAAGGAGGGCGAGGGAAAGCGGCAATGACAACTCTATGAAGACCCCCAATCCTCCCACGTGGTTAAGGCTGTATGTTGTAGCGCCCTACTCTGCTCGTGTGTTGCATTGGCAGGAACAATGACCAACTTACCCATGTGTTGGCGCTCTGCGGTTGGAACAAGGAGGTTGATCGTGGAGCTGCAGGCAGCTCCATCTGGATGGTGAACTGCTTCTACCGTTTAGCCACCTTCAATTTCACGTCGATTGCAGGCTTAACCACGGAAACGGTCGGTCAATAAGATTTTGGCTCGTCTTCTATTTCTTTCCGAGACTCACGAATAACGTAGGTCATCGAACGACAGAATGCCGTCTTGAAATATAGGCCTTGGATTCTCAGAGAGATTGTCAGTCAGGGTTGGATTCGACGTCCTCAACGGATTACCACAGACGGGCCTTGGATCATCGGAAACTGTAATGACATCATTGTTGACATGTTGACAAGCATGGTTACATCAATTTGGTAGCCTGAAAGATTTCAGCATTCAGGGCTTCCACCTTGGAAAGAAGGAAACTCGCTATGGTTTTACAAGTGCATACCTTCATGAAAATCCTCATCCAAATGGTTTGATGGAGGTACACAGAAAAATCTTTAAACCGTGGTCAGAAAGTCGTTCCGCTTTCCGATGGGGCTGAATCCTTGGGGTACGAATGACAGAAAGAGGTTCGACTGGTAATTCTCCGTCCCTGTTGTCAGAGATCAACGAGTTTTACCATTCGGAATAGAACTGTCTGTTCCCTATGTGCAGCCAGCAACCACGGTAAGTAGATCCTGTAGGGTAGGGCATCCAAAGAATCGACAAGGACGTACCTTTCACACGGAGTTGGCGCGTTCGTCTGCCCACGCTGGTTGGAGATGTTTTGAGCTGAATACAGATCTTCAGCTCAAGATACAAATTCTGAAGAGCAAGTTTGCCCAAGTCAGGTTGTCCGAAGGTTTGTTTTTTCTGAACCCTTGCAACTTTCCAACATGTATCACCAAAGCAGCCGCTCCTTCAGCACCACCAGGCCCAACTACGACGTGGCAGACTGAGAAGACTGGCTGGTATGGCGTTGCGGAGAGCACGGTCGATATAGGTTACTAGCCCGCATCCTTGTCTTTTTCGGATCGGATGATCGTCAATCGATTTTCGAGTTTACATCGCATGGGTTGAAGTATGCTGCATCTCGATTAAGAACTCTCCACCCCGGAATTTGGAACAGACCCAGAGGTAGAAGCGCTCTGCGGCATCAGAGTCCGAGTTTGGGACTCTGATCATGCGATCCTAAAAAGTATCAAGCGGATCAGATGGTAGTCCTTTGGGTCGTGCGTGGAGTGAGGGTAAAAGAACTTTGACCATGGTCCGAGAAGAGGCTGACAGATACTGAGACCAAGCTGAATTTTGGTTTCGTCAGTGGTACTTGATTGAAATTTCTGGTGAATGAATCTTTGCGCATCTATATTTGCAAAATTTTGGCGCTAAACGGATATGAAATTCCAACATTGAAGTAGTTTTATTCTCAGAGGTTTCTGAATACGTACCTGGATAGGACGAGAATGTAATCCTAGTCCAATCGAGGGTGAGAAATCGAATGCAAAGGTGTCACGCGCATACTTGATTTCTGACCACCATCTCAGTGAATAATGTCCATGGCGATGATGAACCACTTCCGGTTGCACCTCGTCTCCATCTACGAACGCGGTCCTTTTTCCAGGTGCGCCTATCCCATGGTACGATAGGCCCGCCGACTGGCAGATGGAGAGCGTGATGGGAGAAGGAGATGGAGATGTGTGGAAGACAGTGGTGCGTATTGTTTTTGTGATAACCCAAGGGAAGGCTGATTTTGGGTAGAACCCTTGAATAAGCTAGTGGAAGGGAAGGAAGGTGGGACGGTTTTGACTAAAGGTGATTCTATGGCCACCCACCACCACTCAGGAGGCTGTATCCCACCCGAGGAATCGCAGAACCTATCAAAAGCTGCACGAACAAATGGAGTGACCCTCTCACTCTACGGTATTCCCTCCTCCATCGACCCCTCAAAGGCCTTTTCTCGGGCCTACTGGTCCATGAATGCCGCTTCCCCCATCTCCCATCGTCTCTCCACCTCCTCCATCTCAACCTCAACCCCACCAACAGCCTACGCCCAGTTCCCAACATGCAGCAAAACCATCGCTGACCCGCTTATACCATTACTACTCCTCCTCCCCTCACGTGCTCCTCGGGTCTTGTCCACTAGCCGTACCAATGGTTCAAGCACCCGTTCACCCGAGTCACAACCCGCGTGTCGTGCATGCTAACGTTGCGACTTCGGCCACGAGCCATTCCCAGACCATGTGTGGCAGGATGCGACGGCATTGCGTAGTTGGAGGAGCGATCACCAGCGAGCTTGATTTTCCTGGACTTTGGGATGGAATTAGATTTGGATGTAAGGTCGTAAAACGCACCAGCGATCGAGATGCTCGAGTTTCTGCCTCTCAAAAGACAATCGTCTCGCAGGATGTTGTGCCCAGTCTTCGTATCCGGTCACTCCATCAGCACTCTCGATGAAAACTAGCACGACCGCGCTCGTTCCTCCCGCAACACACACCCTCAACAACACAACAGAAGACATTGAACTAATTGGAGATTCGACAAAGAGCCCAACCGTTCGGATGCCTGTACCCCAGGGATTCCCATTCACTGGGAATGTAGCTACCGCGTCCAGACAACATAGCTCCTCAGACCTGTCCCCTTCGTTTTGCAGCAGAAACAGCTCTCCTTCTCTACATATCCCCAAGCTGCCTCAGCCTTCCGTGCCGATAACCTTCCCTCCACACCCTTCAACACGCTACATTCTCCGGAACCCTCCACACAATTGGAAGACCTTCCTTTTGGCCGACTGGGCTACCTCCCCTCTTCCCCATTGGTCAACGCGCTCTCCGTGTCTAGTCCTGAAAACGCCAACCACTTTCTGCGACCCTTGACAGCGCGCGCTCCACCCAATTCTGCCCTCAACACCTCATCCTCCATCCAGCCCAATCTCGACAGTACGCCCTCCAACCTCGACCAGGCCTTCAGCTCCCCACGAAGGAAGAAGGCGAAGAACCAAAAAACACTGTAATCGGGCAGGTACATAGGAAAGCTCAGGCTGCTCAGGCGCCTACGTTGGGATCGCAAGATGAACTTGAACTCGGCTCGGAGGCAAAACTTGGATCAGAGCCAGAGTCAGAACTCGAAATTCGAATCAGAGTCATAGTCTTGATCGGGGCAAGAGGTTCAACTTGAACTTGAAGCGAAACGGCGCCTACTTGACGTGTTTCTTTTGGTGTTTTTTTGTTGTAGGTGCAGATTTGCTCCCTGCCCTGAACAACCCGTGGACCGCTGGGATCTGGAACACTTTGGAAAGATGATTTGTGTGAAGCCTTGAAGTGCGTTCCTTCCCAGGTGTCTTCGCTTGACGAGACTTTTTTTTATATCCCCTCCTAAATCCTGAAGCACGGCCAATTGCTACCGTGGGCATCACTGTCGTTTGTCAAGTGTTTTTGCTTGACGAAAAGTTTGAGCTCCTTCTATTTCCATCTGATGCTGTCGGCATCACCATCGCATCCATCGTGTCTTTTCGCTTAAGTCAATCTTTTCTCGTCTCGTCTTGCACCCTCAAGCGCGGTCGCTCACCACTGTGGACTTCACCGTTTTTCGTTGGGCGTTCTTGCTTGACAAAATCCCACCTGTCGTCCTGAAGTGCGGTCACCCGCTGCTGTGGATTTCTGCTTGTCAGTAATTCTCACTTGACAGTCCTTGTCTTGTCTTGTCTTGCCCTGAAGGCCATTCTAATCTGCTGCCTCTCCATTGTTATTTGCCAGGTTCCTTCGCACCGCCGCAGTGCGCCATTGATCTAGTTGTTGTTTGCATGTTGTACTTTTTGTATAGGTTTTGGAATAAACTGTGCTAGCTTTTTTGATTGTGATTCAGAGGTCTTTTCAGTTGTGGTCTTCCTAGTTGTGGCAATCGTCTTGAAGTCATTTGTACTGTTTCAGTGCCAAAAAATTTCGGGTACAGGGAATTGAACCCCGAGCTGCCGCAACCAAGATATGCAATTTGTAAGAATCTGTATGAGAGGCAGCAATGTTAGTCATTACACCATACCCGACATAAGTCCCAAGTTTACAATGTGTTCAATAAATGCTCAGCGAAGAGGTGGAGTTGGCATTTGGGAAGAAGAGATGGTGTGTGTTGATGCATTGAAGCACATTACTTGCTAAGTTCATCATGGGCTGAGATGTGCATTTGTATATGTTCAACTTAACATAAGGATTGGGAGGAGGACATTGGTGACATCTTTTCCATAGGTTCTCCAGATGCACAGTATGGCTGGATAACTCTGCATTTGCCTGTCATTGTTCTTTGGTCTCTATCTAAGTATTTTGATTCTTTTCAGCAAAACATCAATTTAGTTTCCGGTTTTTGCTGTTTTCCCTGTTTCTTCAATTCCGGAAACCAGGGACACCTGAAAAAGGAATATTGACTACAATTAGTAAAGGGCAAAGTTTATTTAGGCTTAACTTGGCAAGACCTGCAGGCAGGTTTCCTGGAAAATGGACATGGGTTTCCAAGTTCCCATGTTTCAGGGTTTTTTTCGGTTTTTTATGGTTTAATTCGGTTTTCTGGGTTGAGAAACTGCTGGAAAGTAAATTGCTTGATTACTGATGTATGTGACCACCGAAAATTTGATTGAAATAAATGCCAGAAGGAATGAATAGCTGCCATGGTGGAATGAAATGACTTTTTAAGTAGCTGAACAGAGAAATGAGACAGGAATGAAGTATTCACTGGATGGAATGAAGTGGTATCTGCATAGGCTTGGAATGAAACAGATGCTGTGAATGAATGACATTGTTCCCTGGTAGAAGTAGTGTTTAAAAGTCTGGTCTGGTCCAGTTTTTTGATGCCCCAGGGCTTTAACCATAACCATAACCAGTCTGCCCTTTTCCCAGAAGTCAAAAGACTGGGCTGGACCACAAAAAGACTGCAGACCATGGTTTTTTGTGGTCTATAAACCAGGCTTGGTCTTCTTCAGTTTTAACTGGTTTAAGACCAGTCTTTCAACCAATATTTAATTCATTAACATTTTTCATAGCTTTAAAAAGAGCCCAATAACATTAAATTTTGGTGTTTCTATGAAAAAGCCTGGTACATCTACTATTTTCAATAATATTTTACATTTTCAACTATATCTTTGTTAGTTTTGAACTAATTAATATGTTTTTGAGTGGCTATTCAGTGGGCTACAAAAAGCCAGTTCTAACCAGTTTACTTAGACCAGTCTTTTTGCAGTCTTTACTTCTCAAAAATGAAAAGACTGGACCACAGGTCCATTTTTTTGTGGTCTTGGTCCAGTCTGGTTACAGTCTTTTTCCAGTCATAAGACCAGACTTCCAAACACTAGGTAGAAGCCAGTTGTACATGATGTAAGTGATAGGTGCCAGTTGTTGAAGGAAATAAATAAAGGGTGAGTAAAGTACAACATAGTTGCAAAGCACATCCAACATTCATCATGAGTATGATGGAGTATGATGGGTGGTGTAGGGATTTCTATGAATATGTACTGTATTCTAATCAAGTCAGAAAGATGTGAAAAAATAGCCCAAGTTCGAAATTACAGGAGTCATCAGGAGTGAGCTGCATCATCCCTCTTCTTACGAATCCCAAGCAATCGTTTGAAATTTGAAATTCTCTTCCCAATATTGGAAAAGAGGTGACCTTGGAATATAAGCATCAAAAATGGGTAAAAATAAGTATGCAGATAACTAAATACCTTTCTTTTGAGGATGAATCATTCTATCATGCACATTGGTGATAGATGGAAGATGTGTTGGAGCCTCCACTGCATCAGACTCATCTTCTTCCAAAAATCTGTTGCTGGCATGTGGAACTCCAGTGTCCACATTCTCTCCTTCAATATCTTGTGTCACAGAAGTTCTGCAGCTTGTATTGAAAACTTGGTTGTCTACAGTATCCACCTTCATAGGTTGACCTATGGCATTCTGTATTGCTGCAAGATTTGCCACAGCTGAAATTGTCTTTGGGTATTCTTCTCCAAGGATTTTCTTCCTGGCATCCAAAACTTGGATCTTCAGCTTCTCTGCTTCTGTGTGTTTTCCCAGATCACTGTATGTGGATGCAAGATTTCCCATAGCTAAGATTGTCTTTGGGTGTTCTTCTCCAAGAATTTTCTTTCTGGCATCCAAAACTTGGATCTGCAGCTTCTCTGCTTTTGTGTGTTTTCCCAGATCACAATATGTGGATGCAAGATTTCCCATAGCTGAAATTGTGTCTGGGTGTTCTTCTCCAAGAATTTTCTTTCTGGCATCCAAAACTTGGATCTGCAGCTTCTCTGCTTCTGTGTGTTTTCCCAGATCACAGTATGTGGATGCAAGATTTCCCATAGCTGAAATTGTGTCTGGGTGTTCTTCTCCAAGAATTTTCTTTCTGGCATCCAAAACTTGGATCTGCAGCTTCTCTGCTTTTGTGTGTTTTCCCAGATCACAATATGTGGATGCAAGATTTCCCATAGCTGAAATTGTCTTTGGGTGTTCTTCTCCAAGAATTTTCTTTCTGGCATCCAAAACTTGGATCTGCAGCTTCTCTGCTTCTGTGTGTTTTCCCAGATCACTGTATGTGGATGCAAGATTTCCCATAGCTAAGATTGTCTTTGGGTGTTCTTCTCCAAGAATTTTCTTTCTGGCATCCAAAACTTGGATCTGCAGCTTCTCTGCTTTTCTGTGTTTTCCCAGATCACAATATGTGGATGCAAGATTTCCCATAGCTGAAATTGTGTCTGGGTGTTCTTCTCCAAGAATTTTCTTTCTGGCATCCAAAACTTGGATCTTCAGCTTCTCTGCTTCTGTGTGTTTTCCCAGATCACGGTATGTGGATGCAAGATTTCCCATAGCTAAGATTGTCTTTGGGTGTTCTTCTCCAAGAATTTTCTTTCTGGCATCCAAAACTTGGATCTGCAGCTTCTCTGCTTTTGTGTGTTTTCCCAGATCACAATATGTGGATGCAAGATTTCCCATAGCTGAAATTGTGTCTGGGTGTTCTTCTCCAAGAATTTCTTTCTGGCATCCAAAACTTGGATCTTCAGCTTCTCTGCTTCTGTGTGTTTTCCCAGATCACTGTATGTGGATGCAAGATTTCCCATAGCTAAGATTGTCTTTGGGTGTTCTTCTCCAAGAATTTTCTTTCTGGCATCCAAAACTTGGATCTGCAGCTTCTCTGCTTCTGTGTGTTTTCCCAGATCACAATATGTGGATGCAAGATTTCCCATAGCTGAAATTGTGTCTGGGTGTTCTTCTCCAAGAATTTTCTTTCTGGCATCCAAAACTTGGATCTTCAGCTTCTCTGCTTCTGTGTGTTTTCCCAGATCACAGTATGTGGATGCAAGATTTCCCATAGCTGAAATTGTCTTTGGGTGTTCTTCTCCAAGAATTTTCTTTCTGGCATCCAAAACTTGGATCTTCAGCTTCTCTGCTTCTGTGTGTTTTCCCAGATCACGGTATGTGGATGCAAGATTTCCCATAGCTGAAATTGTGTTTGGGTGTTCTTCTCCAAGAATTTTCTTTCTGGCATCCAAAACTTGGATCTGCAGCTTCTCTGCTTCTGTGTGTTTTCCCAGATCACGGTATGTGGATGCAAGATTTCCCATAGCTGAAATTGTCTTTGGGTGTTCTTCTCCAAGAATTTTCTTTCTAACATCCAGAACTTGGATCTGCAGCTTCTCTGCTTCTATGTGTTTTCCCAGATCACGGTATGTGGATGCAAGATTTCCCATAGCTGAAATTGTCTTTGGGTGTTCTTCTCCAAGGATTTTCTTTCTAACATCCAGAACTTGGATCTGCAGCTTCTCTGCTTCTATGTGTTTTCCCAGATCACAGTATGTGGATGCAAGCTTTCCCATAGCTGAAATTGTCATTGGGTGTTCTTCTCCAAGGATTTTCTTTCTAACATCCAGAACTTGGATCTGCAGCTTCTCTGCTTCTGTGTGTTTTCCCAGATCACGATATGTGGATGCAAGATTTCCCATAGCTGAAATTGTCATTGGGTGTTCTTCTCCAAGAATTT